AGGGAGCGGGTGAGGGGGTTGTTGGGGGGGCGAAGGGCGCGGGCGGGTGGGTTGGTGGGCTTTGGGGGGGGAAGAAGGAGGGGAAGTGATTTCTTGGGGTGGGATGGGAAGGTGTCACCTTTTGGATTTCGGAATTTCTTGGGGTCTGATGGGTATATCTCCTGGCTTTCTTTAGATATCAATTTGTTTGCTTCTCAATGAGTATTGCTTCGTACATTGTTTAGCTTTGCTTGCTTCCAAAGTACAACACTTCTCCAGTCCCCGTGAAAACTTGAGCAATACGAAAGGATCCGCGTACTCGCATGTTAGACAACAGCTGTGCCGATCCACCACATCGTCAGTAACGCTCTAACGGTGCGGAGAGTGAGTTGTGATCTGGAGTTTCGAAGATAACGGTTTTTGGACAAGATGCTAGCTAGCACACATATCCATTCTTCTACTCCACGTCGCGACCAAACTCCATGGTATTCTAACTCATCGAAACAGCTCCTCTCTTCATGATGGAGTAAGTATAGGTCTGATGTTCAAATAAACTCGGTTTTATGAACAGACAAGCACGGGATGGCGACGAGAGCCAGTAGCTTGGATGTGGGTATGACAGCGTCGAGCTTGTGTCGCTTCTATATGTGTTGTTCGGTTTGGAGGTCTCGGGCTTCTGGTACTTGGGATGTGGGGTTGGGTGGGACTCTTGTGTTGGCTGGCATCTCTTGGAGGATGTGATTAGAGCTGATGGAATGATTGTCGACATGATCTTAGGGTAATGACGGTTGGTTCAGGTGGTGGTTATGTTGTGCTTGGTTTGAGAAGTTTTTTGTTGGACAGTTTTGCTGGAATTAAAACTTCGCTTTGCCCACACTGTTGATCATCATGTAATACACCAGCCATCTAGTTGATTCCGAGGCGGACAGTCGGTCATCAGCCTCCTCACTTGCTCTATTGTATCTCTTGATCGTCTCCTCGCATCACTCTGTAAGTATACAATAATCATACCTTCTAATACAGCAGTCTTCGACAGGCATTGCTGTTTTGACTTTCCCTAAGAGGAACTGTGGGCATCTAGACAAGCAAACGATGAAAGCGGAGAACCTAGTGTGAGACTATGGGGCTGAAAGTCTTACTTGCAGGGTATCATTATCTCTAATTTCCAGTTTGTCCATGCTTGTTCTCACAGCACATTGACGCAACACAGTATAGTTGCTAAAACCTAATTCTTTTGCACACAGTATACGTCAGTAAGTGAATGCAGTAACAGCAATAAAGAAGCTTATCTGATCAATCGTCTCTTGGCGACTTGCTGCTTGATGTATCGATGCAAGCACGTTTGCTCAAGAGCCATCGAGTTCCTCAACTTTGGGCCGTGAAACTCTACAGTCAACGAGTAACACCCTTCATATAACCTAATGAAGGGGTGTATCCTCTAGGCATCTTTTACGAGAAACCCGGATTCTGAGTCTTCTCCAGAGTTCTTCCCAAGACTTGCGCAATGGAGATGTCGCCCTGATAACATATACCAAAGTAGTCAACTCAACGGCCTCATACTTGAGTAGCAATTCGCGAGCTGTCTTCACGGTTTTCATGACTTTTGGATTCTCCCGCAATATTCTGGATAGCTCAAAGTGTCTTGCAGTGACAGAACTGAAACTGCAAACGAATGCAGTTTTGTTTGTAGAACTGCATTCTGTTGAGACGCAGCGCTTCGATTCGTTCCCCCATATCTTCCCACACATCTCAGCTTATGTCTGGACACCTTTTAGGACATTGTCACATGTTGAATTTCATCCATTCTGGCACTCGTGTCTTGGGTTTCCGTCTACCACACACGTGGATTGAGACATACAGATTTGTGTAGCGAGGCAAGCCGCGCATCTGAATCTACACGCTTTCGCGGCTGTTGAGGTTGGTTTTTTCTTTCACCTTCGTTCTCACTGTAGTTCCGTTCCCTTTTACCTCGCCTGTGACGCACGGTAAATTTCATGTGTTCATCCACCCCAACCCCTCCTCACTCCTACTGTTGCCAGTTTGCTCTCGACGCCAGTTCACTCGACGCAAACTTGTATGCAAACTGCCTGTTTGATTGCGCGCGTCACAAACTCACTTGATGTACAGCCTGCGACACGCAAATACATCATTTCCCATCTCCATCACAACGACCAGACAGCGCGATACCTCTCTCTACGGTTCAGTACCCCCAGCGATCGCAAACGCGCCTACAGCTCCGCAAGTACCACATAGAACGCGTTCTCAAGACGACTTGTCCATTTCGATGGCCAGGTCACGTTCAACCTCCCGCTCATCTTCACCCTCACCTCTACACATATATGCTATTCCAGAGCAGACACAAGAACAAAGTCCAACTGGAAGCGGGCTTGACTCAACATCGTCTATAGTCACCATGAACTCATACTTGGATACGCCAATCGTAAACTTTGGAGGCATCATGCCTGCTTTGACGCCTTCAATACCACCTTCCAATCTCGAGAGCGCAAAGTCTGGTATGGACATCTCGAGATCGCTGTGCCCGATTCCTGCGCCCGAGCAGAGTGCAGCCACATCTGTAAGCCCTAGTGGTCCTCACATGCCTACAACGTACAATGGTAGCTCAGTGAAAGCGCCATCGCCACTCATCAATGAGAGGCTGGCGACGCAACTGAGATCTGCAAGGGTGAAGTACTATTCACGCACTCATGTATTTTCCAAGACGCGACAGATGATGAGTGGGAAGACAGAAAAGATGTTTGTTATCGCCTCTCGTGGGTTCGAGCGCGCTGAACATGTCCCAACGAAGTGGACAACACCTCCACTGCTCAAGCGACGCCACAGCATCGATGTCACGACCAAAGATTGGGGACAACGGTCCCGCACCGGATGGTTTGTGGACTTTACTTCTCCACCTGCCGCCGAGCCTCTCACGGCAGAGTGCAAAGAGCTTGAACCACCTCTTCAGCCTGAGCCTATTCTTCCCCTGCCAGATATCCGCCGCTACTACAGCTTCACCATGCCTTGGGCCACGCGACCGCCAGCGAACGATGAGATTTATCTTGAGTTGGGAAACGCCACGATCAGGAACGACGCTTTCCTCTTCATCAAGGCCACCGATCTCATGCGCGACGGCAAGGAAGTCTGGATGCGCGGCGAAAGTCTCGACATGGCTCTTGAGGTCCTGCGCGCAGAAAAGCAACTCGAAGACTTCTCCATCGACGTTGCCAACTGCAACACAGCACAGGTCTTCTACTTCGCCTCGCAGTGCAAAGACGCTCACGAGAAGACATACGATGAATATCGAGCGCGCTTCCAGAACAAAAAGTGGATATTTATCATCTGCAATGACGGACTCGGTGGTACCTCTAACGAAGGAACCAGTGGCACTCATTGGTCTCTCCTGGTCATGGACCGCGTGCATAAAGTAGTATACTACTACGACTCGCTATACATGCACTTCGAAGGAAACCGCACCCTTGCGGCAGACGTCGCCCTCGGGCTGCTAAACATCCTAGGCGAGACCGTGTCGTCCTGGGAATGGAATCCTGACTTCAAGAGTCCCAACCAGTACCAGTACAACCAGTTCTCTGACGACGGCGGTCCCTGCGGCCCCTTTGTCTGGAAAATGACCGACATGTTGACAGATGAGATCCAGAAACACATCAAAGCGGGTACAGAGCAGGAGTGCGATCTCAAAATCGACGACGCGTTCTTACATCGCTTTGCACAGGACTTCCACTCGTTCAATGTGCGCCTGAACATCCAGTGTGGTATCGCACGGTGGAAGTGCTTCGAGGACTCGCTGCGTTTTACGCGAGATCACGACCAGGCGGCGGTTCGGGGCGAGCAGGTCGAGCTGCTCGAGGAGCCGAATATCTTTGCTCTCTTCACTGTTCCCTGGGCACAAGATGAACAGGATAGGGAGCAGGAACCAGAGCCCGTGTTCATCCGGGCCGACTCCGATGATGGTACCATCATCATCTATGAAAGTGATGCGCCTGACGATATGCTTCTCGATTGTGTGTCTGAATATGACGAAGTTTGAGCTTGGCTGGCTGTTTCGGAGCGGTTTAGTCAATGTACAGGCGGTCTGGTTTGGATACGGCGTATATTCGAGGGCGGTACTTCGAAGCGCGAGCGCGAATATGTTTACATGGTCAAAGATTTCGACCATGTGCTCAGGCGTTAGGGTGTGCTATATCAGGCGTGTTGCAATACTCAGGGTCGAGAGGTTCTTCACTTAGTTCGAGATCGTCCATGAAATACATCTCCAGGTGACTCATTCTCTTCGTCGAAGTGTCTGGTTCAAGGATGTTGATTGTATCTCTCTCACAAGAACTGAAACAAGCCTTTTTAAAAGGAAGGATTCATAACGTACGGTGCGAATAATCGTGTGGGATTCGAGAACATGCGTCCTGCAACATGTCGTCCGATAACCTAGATTCAAAGTATGAATAAATGTATCAGAACTCAGCGCTTCAGTCAAGGATATATAGCGGTCAATTAAGAACGAAGAAATGCAAGCACATGAAGCAATCAATTTTCCGAGAAAGAGAGTAAGATTACCGTGTATTGAAAGGATACAGATGTTGTAAAGAGCGTCGAGATACCGCCAGGAAGATTTGTTATGTTTTCGTCACCGTCATGTGAAATGGAAAGAGCAGAGAAGACTTAGAAAATATGAAACACTTCTATATGTCATAACACACTCCACCAAAACTCTATCAAGGTTGCTCATCCCGCTTCTCGCGCCCGTATTCGGAGAACACTGTGCACTTCTTAATGTGCTTCGCTTGCCCGGTGTCCTCGTCGAAGATGTTGCATCCATAGACTGCCGCGTTGGGAGGCGTATACACTAGAAAGGGTGAGAAAGGGTATCCAAGATGAGTATAGGTTAGTGAGCTTACGATGCAGAGAGACGGCATAGTCCTTCAAATCAGGGTTCGAGATGCGATGGAGACCAAGCTTATCGGACATGTATGTGACCTCATTCTCTTTGTATGTCTTCTCTGATATGGTCCGGAGTGGGCGATCCTCTGAGTTGTTGAGATCGATAGTTGGCCACGCATAGCGTGTCTCAATAAGGCTGCCTTTGAGGATCTTCATAATGCAGTGGGCGTTGGCGTGGCTGTGTCGTATTAGAATAGATAGCGTCCTAAAGGGGCAGACGGATGCCGTAGGGACATCATCGAGTGTTCCTAGAACTAGTGAAATATGTCGTCCTTACCGGCGCGTCTCCTGCATGTAGACGCATCGATCATGAGATCGGCAACCAGATGCGGTCGCTTCGTCGATCAGGAGTACAGAGCCATCGAACGTGACTTTTCACGCGCTCAAGCACCGTTTTGTTAAACTTGTCACATCGTGAGCGGAACAAAGAAACACGGATCTTACTCGTGGATAGGGCTTGCCCGACCTGGAGACCAAACAAGCAGAAGCTGTCATTGTTAGCGACGTTCGTCACTGGTTACGAGAGGGTGTACCAAGTTGCTCTTGCCGTTACCCTTGTCCACCAGGTTGCGTGTGTAGTTCATGTTCGGTGCTGGAAAGAAGTATTTTCCCCATTCCGACTCATCCGAGCAGTAGCCTTGCATCAGTTGCTGCAATTCGTTCTCATCGACATCGTCTGAATTGATGCCAGAACAGGGACCGAGTTTCTCGCTGAGTGACTGGACCAGAGCTTGGAAGCTACCTGTCGGCTCCTGTATCGCTTCAGACATATCGATGCTGTTCGACGACATGTCGATTTCCGTCAGGCAAATGAAAAGTCGGAAGCTTGAGCGGTCAGAGATGCAGAATGTGAGCTCAGATATGAAACTAAACAGTAGGCACACAGAGATGACCGGGGACGTGCGATCTTATGTAGAAAGAACGGAGCAAAGATAATGAGACACGTGTGTGCTTGACACTGACACTTGCGTGTGCGAGATAGGCTCTCATTATGTAAGACTTAGGGTCGAATTGCGCATGTGATCGAATGCGGCGATGTTTGTGAATGCCACCTGCGTGTACGAGATTGAGGTTCTCGTCGGCAAGGAGACATTGGCGATGCTCAACGGCTTGCATCGGAAACGTCAGCTTTGAGAAGGAGGCTGCAAGGTGGAAGGTACACCACAAGGACACTAACCGTATTCGTATTGGTGTCTGGTGAGATCGGTGAATTAGTTTCGCCTAAGCCCGGTCCCGCGTCGCCGTCATCGCCATTCGATATCAAATTTGTGTGGAACAACCACCGCCCTGCAAATCGCATTCAACACAGCCAAGCGGCACAATAGTTCAACATGGCGACCACAGTAGACAAGGTGGGTATTCAAAGCGCAAGATTCGAGGTTTTGCAGTACTAATATGTGTGGCGGGGCAGATCAAAGATATTGAGGCCGAAGTGAGCCACGCCCGTTCGCAAACGCTGCACAACGACTTACGCTTCGCTTTTAGATGGCCAAAACCCAGAAAAACAAGGCGACTTCTTTCCATCTTGGTACGACCCGTCCAAGCGTAGACTGCATGTCGACATGCTCATACATGGATAGGGCAGTTGAAGGCAAAACTTGCTAAGCTCAAAAGGGAGCTACTCGAGCCCAGCTCAAGTGGAGGTGGTGGAGGTGTCGGTTTCGATGTCGCCAGAACCGGTGTTGCCAGTGTTGGCTTTATCGGATTCCCCTCTGTGGGCAAGAGCACACTTATGAGCAAGTTGACCGGACAACACTCAGAAGCTGCTGCATACGAGTTCACAACGGTAACTGGCCCACGGTTATATTCAGAAGAGGAATCTGACATATTTGCAGCTTACGACTGTTCCCGGCCAAGTTCAGTACAATGGTGCCAAAATTCAGATTCTCGATCTCCCCGGTATTATCCAAGGTGCTAAAGATGGCAAGGGTCGAGGGCGACAGGTCATTGCAGTAGCAAAGACGTGTCATTTGATCTTCATCGTTTTGGACGTGAACAAGCCTCTCACTGATAAGAGCGTCATTGAAAACGAATTGGAAGGCTTCGGTATTCGCATCAACAAGAGCCCACCCAACATCGTACTCAAGAAGAAGGAGAAAGGCGGGATCAACATCACCGCAACGGTCCCGCTCACCAACATCAGCCATGAAGAAATTAAGGCTGTCTTGCATGAATATCGATTGGCAAACGCTGACGTCGCTATTCGATGCGATGCGACCGTCGACGATCTGATTGATATTATCGAAGCTAAGGGTCGAAGCTATATCCCAGTCATCTATGCGCTGAATAAAATCGACGCCATTACAATTGAAGAGCTCGACCTGTTATATCGCATCCCGAACGCGTGCCCTATCAGTTCCGAGCATGGCTGGAATATCGATGAGCTACTGGAACAGATGTGGGAGAAGCTGAATCTTGTTCGGGTGTATACAAAGCCCAAAGGAAGAATGCCGGACTACACTGCGCCAGTCGTTTTGCGATCTACGGCGTGTACCATTGAAGACTTCGTATGTCTCGCACTTGAAGGCTCGCTTGTAAATGCTAATAAGACGTTAGTGTAACTCGATTCATAAGACAATTGTTGACACTTTCAAGCACGCCATCGTTTACGGCAAGTCATGCAAGCACCAGCCTCAGCGCGTGGGACTTTCTCATGAGCTCGCAGACGAAGACATCGGTAAGTACAAGCTCCAGAACTCAACTCCTTAGTCAGTGACATAAGCTCACTTTGTAACCAGTCACCATCGTGAGGCGGTAAATAGAGACCCGTTATATCAGATCACGCGGCAGTCGCATCATCCGCCATTTGCGACAGAGGGCGAAAGAAGGTTTCGTTGGTGCCTGAAAATCTCACTATGATACCCAACTAGATCTTAACATGGAGGTTGAGGAGGAGAGCGAGGCTCAAGGTCGATTCTGCGTACTGGATTGGCCGAAAAAGCCGACCTCGATAGCCCCAGCGGCATCAGCTTGTACGCTCATCCTGGCATGACAGCCCACGGAGCGGCTCGTCGCTGCCATTCGCCAACAGCCCAGGGACCTTAACGGACCGATGCCGTCCGCAGCTATCATTATCGTGTCTCTCCTGGCGAAGAGGCGTTTCACGTCATGTACGCGTCTCAACGAGCCTTGTGGGGAATGCGCCGCGGACGCTATTGGAACGGTGTCAGCATTTGATTTCTTATTCTGTTGCTTCGCAATCATGAGAAAATGTGATCAGCAATTCTAGCCCAATTTCCAGGCTTTCCCTTTCCTCATTGGTCTACTAATGCGTACAATTGTTGATTCGGAAAGAAAGGAACAGGGGTCTGTTTATTGGCGACTCAGGGCTGGCTATATTTCGGGCGCTAAGAGTTTATCGCTTCCGATTCTGAGTGGCTGTCCGGCAAGAGCTAACGCGTCTGTGGCCTTTGGTGGCTCAAGTCTCATCGGGGCGATTCTTGCAGCTGTTCGAAAATGTTTCAGCCCATCGATGCAATTTGGGTTCCTTCATGCACTGCCGATAACTGACATTTTCTCCCAGGTGAAGGGATGGACATCTTGCGTTCGATACGGTTGTACAACACGAGCGTAAAGCTCCGCGAGTACGCCAACGGCCAACAGACAACGCTAGGCGCACGAAGCGATGCCAATATGGCGCCTCCAGACTATGTCCTCTTTGGGAAGCATCACATTAGCCGGCTGTGAGAGGGCCGAGCGCGGTGCGATGGCCTGGATGGGATGATCCGCCGCCTTGACATCCTATTTGCCGCAGGACGTGGAGACAAGATACCTTACGAGCTTTAGCAAGGTGGCCGCATAATTCTGGCCCGCGTCGTTCTAGGGAGCTATCCCCGACGAGACCCGCATGCGCTAAGCCCAACACCGTTGCTCGTGTTGTGTCGTTTCTTGGCTATGTGGCGGCCAGGATGTTAGTGCACAAGCCATTGTCGGCAAGCTTAGGCTTGCTCAAACAAACAGGGCGTCTCTCCCGCATGCTGCAGCATTCCGCCCGCATCGCACACCAGGGCTTGTACCAGCGTCCCCCAGACTTCTCTCAAGTACGCGCTGCAGACCCATCGCGCCAGGCGGTTCCCTGTCATTGCTGATTATCATCTCAATTTCATTATCCTGCTGCGCCGCTTAGGACCGTTCTGTTTAGCTTCCTGTCATACTGCAGCTCCTCCTGCCAGCGCAATTCTTGTTTTGCTGCAGTGCATCCTCGTCGTTGTTGTTCGCTTCAGGAACCAGAACCCCCCCGTTCCATGCATGCATGCGCGCGGCCGGTCTGAGGTCACTCACGCTGTCCAGGTACAGCAACACCACCAACTCGGTGCAAATGCCCGCCCGTCGACCGACTCTGCTTAGCATCTAACACGGACACACTCGCTACCGCACTCGCACGGGTACATCATTTGCAGTCGTTCAACCGACATTCGATATGAGCCAACTGCAAATGGACCACGAACATCATCACCATCATCAAGAACCTTTTGAGGATGGCTGGCATGAAAATGGTGGATACAATCCTCATCACCATTCTCCAGTGCAAGACTACAATGGCTTCAGCAGTTATGCCCCGCTGTCCATGGAGCCCATCTATGGCACCAGCATGCATCCACCGCACCCGTCACATCCAACGCCCAGGACGACACATCCACATCTCCAACCTTTGATAATGCCACAATGGCCGAGCATGTTGACCAGCCAGTCGACATATCAACCCACTCTGTTCCCATCGGCGCCAGTACCGATAACACCGGCATCAGCAACTCCCGTCTCGGCAACTTCAACGCATTCGCGTGCGTCGTCCACACCACGCAAAACACTCACCGACTCCGATCGTAGACGGATGTGTCTGTATCATGAAGAAAACCCAACAGTGAAGCAAACTGAGATTGGAGGTATGTTTCGTCTACGCTAATTGAACATGGAACGAAGACGTTGCTAATCATACTCCAGCAATGTTTGGCGTCGAGAGAAGGTACCACTGCATGTGTTGTGTGTCTCATGCCGTGCTGACAGCTGTGTAGTACTGTTTCAAAAGTGCTGCGCCAAAAGGAGAAGTACTTGTACCAAGACGACGGTAGTCGATCACCTATCAAAAGATCCAAAGGCAAATTCCCGGACATCGAGAGAGCGCTTGCAAACTGGGCGAGAAACCACCAAAGGCAGGGTCTGCCCCTGACTGACGCGATCATCCGAGACAAGGCGCGCTTTTTTGCACAGACTGTGGGCAACTCGGAAAGCCATTTGAAAGCAAACAGCACCAGCTGGCTCGAAAAGTTTAAGCAAAAGAACCACCTCATGGGAGCAAGATCGAGGAAGGGCTCAATAGCAGAAGAATCAGAAGATGCTTCCAATCCGCCCTCTAACTCGCAGACTCCTGGCGCTACCTCTCCTACTTCTCCAGGCGGAGTTTCACCTGCAACCATGGCAACGAAGAAGAGTGAGGAGAACCTCAAGAATGACAGCCCGAACACCTATGACTTTCCAAAACGACGACCCTTTCATTCGCTGAGTAGTACCTCGTTGTCCAGTGTCTTCACGGATACAGCACCGTCCACGTTCTCGGCAGGCCCAACAAGCCCGACTTCGCTCTCGTCTCCCTTCTTCACACCAGATTCGGCATGTGGCCCTAACCCTTTCATGGGTAATCGCCCGGCTACCAGTGGACACCCAGGAAGTGACAACTTCCAAAGACCACGGAGCCAGACATTCCCCCTATTGGTGGGCGTAGAACAATACGCGTCTCCAGATGTGCTTACTTCAAAATATATCAGCGGTAACGCTCTCGACTCACCCATGGCCGATATGCCTGGCTCTTTAGCTGTCATCGATGAGGCAATGTCTGCGTCGCCATCACAGATAACTAGTTCAATGCAACCACCACCCATCCCGAATGGTTTGTGTGTAATCTCCGACGACAAAGATTCAGCCACAGACTCTTCACCTGTCACACCATCTCAGGAGGAAGCTGCGCGCGCACTTGAACTTGTCTGGACTTTTTTCCAGTCTCAAACGGCAGACTTCGTTGTCGAGCCCCAAGAATACCTCGCGATCGGTAAGCTTATGGAAAAGCTTCGAATCAAGCGCAGTAGTGAGAGCCTCCCAATGGGTATACGTCGCGGATCGGAGCCCGACTTTGGCGCCAATATCGCTGAGAGCGTTGATGTTCTTCACTAGCCAACAGGCTCGCACACCGTGTTGCAGTTGTTAAATCCTGTGCCTCAAGACAATACGTCGCACAGGGTTATGAGCGTAACCGTTCACGCTAACTAATACTTTCCTAGAGTTATCTCCTGTTTTATCTAGGATCGCACTGCTTGAAAACCATCATGGTTATTGTTTATGGGTCTTGGAAGAAAATTACCTGCGCATTTCACACCGCATTGAGATTTGGATTCTCTGCTCGCCACATCGCATCGTCGACCTTTATGCATTAACTTTTTAGTCTGAGATTATTTCTTTGTTTCGTTTACGTTGATCATTGTCTTGTTTTATACCTTGTCTTCTTTTCATTCGCGACGGCCTATACCCCCTTTTAGCATGCCTACATTTCATTTTCTTGCATCCACAAAAAAAGACTGTTACCGCTCGCGCGGGCAATTATTGTGTGCTACTCCAGGACTTAGCATTTTGAGTTCGCACCTTTCCACACGCAGTCTGGCGGCCCTTACTTTGTCAGTGTCCAGTTGGAGTTGTCTCTTTCAGACTTCTGTACGCTCTCTGTTACATATATCAGAACCTAATATAGCTTCTTCAAGCGCGCATCAGCTTGGAACACAGCTAACGCGACGAATAAATGATAAGGGCTGATACACATGTCTTGTTCTGTTCACTAATGTACTAGCTAGCCTCAACATCCGTGTAAATCGAACATCCAGAAACTGAAGACATGCCGGGCGTCTTACCTTGCCGCTATGCCAACTTACGATGCACGAGACGTACCGGGGCATAGATCGAATCATTGCAACTTTTCTAACGGGATACGCCATCGATTGATCCCGCGCTACATAAGGTAGCTGTAAGTTTACTGGACGATAGTGAAGACCACTTGTATATCTGAGCTCACTAGAAGGCCTAGACCATGCCCTTGATAAGGCTGACATCGTACCGTGTGCCGAAATCGTTCCCTGGTACGAATCGGAGGTTAAAAGCGATTGGGTATACTTTAGACGAAGCAACGGTGTTGATGGCTTTGGGAAATCAGGATTAGATCTGCGATACATTGTACCCGAAGAGGATTTCCGCATCGGCATGCGTCTTCCGAGGAGCGGGACTCTGTTTCCGTCTCATGACCATTACGCTATGTAGATCTTGTGAAGTTGAAGTTGAACTGACTCAACGCTCTTGCTAAGTTTTCATCGCAGGATTTTGCTCGCCGACTTAATTTCGGCGTCTCTCCGGTGTGTTCAAACATCGGATCAAGTGCGGCTACGGCCCGTACCGGTGCGTGCCATTTGAAGTCCGCGTGCGCGACCAGACATTTATGACAGAGATTGAGTTGGATACGTGCACTCTCCTTTCTGCCCGTGAAGGTGGCACCGAAGGAACGGTGTCTGTATACACAGCAGCTGTCAGAATGATCATACGTATCACGACGACGGTTTTTGGTTGAGAGCCGATAGGCTAGCCTTGATCTGGTAAGTGCTCCTTTACTTCTCATTTAACCACGATCATAGGATGTGTGTAGCATCGTTATAAATCCTTGTAGACTATAGAGAGAGTGACCAACCCGGCACAAGACGCGTGCAAAGTCGGCAAGACATCTCATAAACCAATGCGATGGTTGTCCCTCGAGATGAGACACGGGCTGGCTGCTCCAACCAAATCCAGCCAAGCGTAGTGTCTTCCCATGCTGCCCATCAGAAACTGCGGTGCTGCCACCTAACGCACCTTAGAAATGTACACAAAAACTGGTGTCCTCGGTCCCAATCGATCGAGCATCGCACAGATATTTCAAATCTCACATACCAATCGCATCTCCAGAAAATGCTGCGTTGCCAATCGGCCCTATTGGTCGGTAGTCATGCATGACCTAGAAAGGTGGGCGTTGCCGTATGAGGACAGGTGCCTTGAGCTAGCCACCCACGTGATTGAAAACGTATGCTGTGCGACGTCGTACGCGCTGAGGTGTGGGTGGGACTGTAGTGGGTGTGTGGGACCGGGTAGAACAAATTTTCTTCGCGGACTTGGCAAAGTGGCGCTGGTCGGGTGCGAATAGCTTGGAATGAAGAGGGATATGACCAAGGTCTGAGCGCTTGAGGGACGATGCTTGCTCATCTAGTAGCAATATAAATTTATGCTTACCACATTTCAACATCGAAAAGAAATCGGTCGCTTAGCTCAGTTGGTTAGAGCGTGGTGCTAATAACGCCAAGGTCGCGAGTTCGACCCTCGTAGTGACCATCTTTTTGCCGGCGTGAGCGTTCCAGATGTCATGCACCCTCACGCCTTGTATGTGGTTCAACATCGACTGTTATTTTGCCAGTCTTAATAATTTTTGAAGTGTTCGCATTTGATTGGCATCGACGTCAATCGGCCGCTGTTCGTAGTTCAACCTTGAACACTGTTCGACCTATTCACCCGCTATTGATGCACCTGTCCGCTCTGCATTTCCTGTCAGACGCACGAAGCCGTTACCCGGATACCCTCGTTTAGTTGTCAGAGCCGGGTCCTCGCGTACGTCTTATTGTGTGACATTGAGATGGACGTCATATAGTCGGCGTCGCCGATACGACCATGTAGACGAGCAATCATCTTTCACGGGGACAAGAGCACCATGAGCCGACGATTATTGGAGTTGTTTCTTGTTGAAATGTCAAGCCAGCCACCACATTCAACAATCTTGATTTGGACGGAAAGCCGCGAGGTCGCAGGATCAAAGCAGGGTTCTTGACACGGCCATGATCACCTCACTTCAGGTACCTTGCACACGTGGTCTATCAGATGTGCTCTGTGCAAGACGATTGTTTGATGCCCACGGCCCCTGGGCATCTCCCGTTACGGCGACAAGAACATCGCGTTCGTCACATCGCATCATGAGCTTTGACGCGGGCAGAGCGCGATGCCTAACGCGTGGTCAGTGAGGGATTTTGGAAGGACCTGCAGGATGCGAAGGATTTTAGTACCAACGGTTATCCGGGGGATCGAGTCATGTTATCAGGATCTTTTTACTCTGACGGATGCGCCTCTTTTCTCGCATGGCTACTGGATAGGGCATGGAAGCGAAGCACGCGGGGAAGGAATTGTATATCCGCGAATTGGGACAATAGCAACAGTTGTTGCTGCCCGAGCAAGGTGGCATGAACACATCAAGATGTTTCAAAGAGGCTTGTTACGTACGTAATTCGAGCCCAGTTCAGCGTCAGCCGCTTTCAGGTACGCTTTCTGCATGATTAGAAAAGAGTATCACTTGTGGCGTGTGGGGTAGTTTCTTTCATGGTTCTTTGTATCGTCGCTTCAACCTTCCGACAAACAAACTTCTCAGGACTTGAAAACAGTGGATCCTTACCAAAGTACCTACTTGGACGTGGCAGTAAAGAACGCGCACGGTGCGGACCGTCAACCTCGGCGTCCTTCAGCCCCAGAACGGGCAGAGGTACGCACAAGCTCAATTCCTGTGTCCAGTTTTTCTGATTGGTCGGCAGCCCCTCTTCCGGGACGGGGCGGTGTACCTTTTCCAAGGCGCTGATGCACGATGAGCTGACAGCACATAAGCGTACATGGCGTTAATGTATAAATCTGAAAACGCATTAAACTTGACTCTAGCTGGTATCGAGTGAACAGGTGGCAGAAATTTCTGAGGTGGGGTTGCGCAACGATCTGTCCTCGGCTCTGCCCACAAGAACGCAAGGTCAATGTTACGTTGTTTATTGTTCGCTGACCAGAGCGTCAGAGCGGCAGTGACGAACACCGAACGCTACTCTATGCGTTCTTCCATCAATTCTCGCACACCTTGCTCTCCTAGCTCCGGAAATAGCCTGATTACTATCAACTCCACAATCTGGAAGATTAAGTGCTTATTGAGATATGCGTCGTCGAAACAGTCCAAAGTCTCCTCGACTTGCCTAAATTGTGCATCATGACTTGTAGTTGCAAAAAAAGCTGCAGCCACTTTGAGCGGAACTATATCCAGTAACGCGGCGGCACAATTGCGTTTGATCTCTTTCGCCTCTTCCTCAGATGGAGTCTGACGTGAAGGGCCCATTGTGTTGTTCGGGAACAGCGTTGAGCGAACGGTACGAAGGATGTCGGGCAGAGAAGCGGGGTTCAGGACGTGGGTATGGATGGCGTGAGACAGGTATCTACCGAACGTTAAAGTCAGTAACTGAAGATCCGGTAGACACGTATGTTCTGATTGGTGCGAAATACGCAGGAGGTATTCGAGAGGTCAGTTTCGCAGGGTAACCATCCGATCATGGAAATCAAGGAGCATCGGAAGACTCATGGCGCTGGACGAGGATGAAGTTGACCTCAAAGTGAGGCGAATGCCCATGTCCGCTAGTATTCTAGCGATCAATCTGGCCACCCGAAGGCTTTGCAATCCCAAGATCGCAATTGTAAATGTCGTAATGTTGAACGACTTGATCTCAGGTTCATGGTTACGAGGACATTTGACAAAGCCCTTCTCGAATAGTCAAACCAAGCTGATCATGCCGAAGGACATCGTCGGTCCGATCTCTTCGGGGACGAAGCAACGGCAGCGACATCGCAAGCCACTAGAGGGGTTCAATTTCCTGGCGGCTTCATTGGCGTGGCTAGGCTTTGCGACCAATGTCGTGCCTGTACATAAGGAACGGCCAGTCCCGAGCTGGACGGGTGGTGCTGGCAGATCAAATGGGCGCGTAAGCGGGCATGCGCAACGACTGGGATCGCGATAAGACGGCCCATGATGATTTTCGTGTTGCAGGACTAACGACACCTTACGTCGTATTGCGTACTGCAGAGAAAAAAGTGTGCTGCAGCATCGGTCCACTCAGGCTGCCGGTATTATAGTGTGGTCCTTTGTGATGTTGAAGAAGAGGGGAATGCTAGCCAAGACCGGGTTCGAGATGACTTGAATTACCGCCCGGGACGGGTACCCAGGGTCTGCATCAAAGGGTGCATTCTGACAAGGGTGTCGTGCGAGAGTCTGTGGGCCATCGCATTCGCTGAAGCGAAGTCAAGTGATTGAAATCGTATGCGGGGCTATCTGCGTCTTGCGTCGCAGTGGATTGGGGCGTTTATGTGGCTGACCAACCAGCAATCAAAAAGAAAAAATTGTGGCAACTCACCTGTCCAATACGCCGTCCGTGTCACCCACCTTGCCTGGACCGACCAATGTGCCCAAACGCAGCATGGATATGAAGCCCAATAGCCAAGGCATGCGAATGTCTAACTCGACAAATTGTGCTGCGCAGCTCCACAACCTCATACTCACTATAGGCCGTTTTACTCCCAACGGGCGCCTGAGGCCCAGAGCATCCACTTGCGGTATTTGCGATTGGTGGGTAGACTCGGATGACTGTTCGCTTACGATCGCTCTCGAGGGAAGAGACGATGGTGCTGCGACAGTGAGGGCCACCACGCGCATCGCGGTACACGCCAATAACGTGTATTGGAGCATAGCCCAAAACAGACCCGAGATGACCGTGGCTATGGTCTCATGATGACGTTTGCTGTCAACCAGTGGCTGTTTCGGCTCACTCCCTTTCTCGATCGGCAAGGACAAAAGTCCATAGCGCTCCAAGCGGGTCAACGAGGGTTCTGGATTGACATCAGCTGATGGAGGATCCTTCTCTTTTGCACCAACGGCCTGTAAACTCTCCGCAATCTTCGTGATACCTTCCCACAACGTCCAGCCTTCGCAGGCTTTCCCGCTGATGCCATTTCCGAGGATCATTTCGGCGAAAATCTCAGCCACTAGAGATCGGAGGCATCCATTTTCCAAGTCCTCGGTGGGGAGTAATAGCACCAATACTCCCTGAATCAGCAACTGGCGCCATGCAGACTCATTCTCCCGTTGCTCCACAACTGTGGACGGAACCAGCTCGGTTGGAACAGGAGAAAGTGCAGGGTGCGGGTGAAGCGTGTGATATATCAGACGAGGATTTGAGACTAATGAGTTGGTAGAAGAAACGTGTTGATTTGCCAGACGGAACGCTTCATTTTGCGTAATTAGAAACACGGCATACTCACAAACAAGGATCGGGATCACCTACACGTGAGATGGGCTTCGAGCCGTTCAGGGATCTCATCAAGAAGTAGTGCTTCCAGATCGACCTTTCGAAGTCGCTGCTCAAAAGCCCTCGTACAGTGAGCGATGATCTGGACGACTTCATTGACAAATACATGATCGGGCGTGATCTTTGAGTACCACGTCTGTACAAACTCTTTGATGATCACTGAGATGATACCGTAGAGCTGGAGATCGATCTCATTAGAGCTAGTCAAGGGCGGGAGTACATCTTCAATTGGGCGCGGTGTGTTGCCTGCTTTCTCACCATTCCCAAGGAGCACATTGTGAGAGCATAGCACCCGTCGAATGAAGGCTGCAGTCGCTTTGTCCGAATTGGTGTCCGCTTGGAAAGTGTGTGTTTCTGTTGAACGGATTGTGCTAGTTGTGCGAGATTGATTTGGCGGGTTGGTGCCTGTGCCCCCGGGGATAGATGAAGTCGAGGCTTGGGGGCTATGTGAACGCGACTGAGAGACGTTGGGCTCCCGATACGTACTCTCCGTCATTGCAGGCTGATGTTCATTGTTGCACCTTGTCGCTGGCAAGTCTCTGGCACGTGATGACGCGTTATGAAGCGTAGTCTCGAGAATGCCGCTGTCGAGTGAGTAGGTGTTGCAGAGTGAGAGAAATGACGACAACGGTCGGAGTTAGTTAGAGTTCAGCCGAGGCCTTGGCGACGCAACGCGTTCATCATTCACCGCGAGCACAACGCTTACAGCTCGCGACACTCACAAGAACATCCTATCGATATTTGTCAAGATGGCTGCGACTAACTCTGACTGTATGAACATTCAATCGGGTCAATGTAGTATGCTAACGCTTATTTAGCCGCTATCAATACTGTTGAAGCACAACTGAAAGACATCGTGCAGAACCTCTACAATCTCATTGTGCAATCCTACGACCACCATGGAAACAAGACGCAAGAAGCCATGAAACGGGAAATGTGCGTAACACATATTGCGGCCAGGCAATTGCATGAGAAGAGCTAATGAGAGTACAGCACGTCGCTCATACAAAATCTGGTGAAGCTGTCGCAAAAGGCTCCTGCAATCCATATCGACATCCCACCTGAGGTTACGAGTTATGTTGAGGGTTCACGAAATCCAGATGTCTACACGCGCGAATTTGTCGAGACAGTGCAGCGAATGAACCAGATGATGAAAGGCCGCTTCGATGCATACCGCATGCTGCAAGAACAACTTGCATGGCAGCTTTCGAGCGCTATACCAGAGATGAAGGACGATATAGTCAAAGTAGTGGAATCGACCGGCGGCAAAGTTCCGACTTGAAAGTCGCACATGAACTTCGTTCGAGTACCGCACATATCTACGCTTTGCTCCGAGACAGCACTCAGGAGCGCTCGCTGAATCGACCTGTCAGGCTATGTTCACCCTTTTAGGTGGCTTATCCCAGTTCTAACGGCCACTGTATCTGAGTTTCCAGACACTCAGATTCAATCTTATGTCATTGCCAGCTACGCTACCGTCCCATGGCTGGTCGAATACATGATTGTGTTATAGCAGCTTGAGTACAAGCTCACCAAACCCCGGGATTTCATTGTTTCAACAGCGATGGAACGTTGGCTCACTGCGGTGTAGACACGCCCAGCGTGCTATACCGAAAGTCTTAGGGAGGCATGACACTGGTGATCGCCTTTCACGCAATTCCAAAGCGAGTCCCATTTGCCGATCGGGGATGTTATGCATTTAAACTCCGACACCGTTCACGACCATATTCTTCTCGGAGCAGGAAGTGCTCTTAAGTTTTCGTTTCTCCTTTATATGGCTGTGCATTTGGCGGGGAAGACATTATATGTGCTGTCAGTTCTAAATTTTATCAAGCATCAATTCGATTGAGACTGGAGCGAGCGAAACACGGTCGTTCTGACGCATCTTTGTGAGAAACCAAAAAGAATGCTGGACCAATTCTTTAAACGGTCATCGGGCAGAGATGCCTCGAAATCGTGACAACTTCTGGATTCCTACTTCTCACCCTAGGAGCCTAATACATTGGTGTAGCTTGATGTTGTAAGTCACAGCATGCGAACTGTGTAAACGAAAGGCCAACATTCCCGACAAGCTGTCTATGAGTGTTGTTGGAGTAGTAAAGCCATACCCCTAGCGTCCACGCATCTTGTCCATCTACTCTACACTACATCTCATCGATACCCGCCCATCAGGATGCGATCATTCACCAAGCACCATCGTTCGCCCACCACGTAGGAAGCAGTCACTCAACGACATCGTAATATTTGGATAGCAGCCATCAAATCTTCACTGTGTCGACTTTCACGTACTGGTTCCAATCCCCCATTTCACTCTCCTGCTCCCTAGCCACGTTCCATAGATATTTTTACACGCTTTGCCTACTGCTTCTAGACCCACGCAATCAAAAGTTCAACCCTTCAAGCCTTGTTTCAACTTGCTTCTATCATTCCCATCACCGCGATGCCATCGTTCTTCAAGCACACATCTCTGCACCGCCCGACCACTTCCACACCATCACCCTCCACTAGCAGAACCCCTTCTCCGTCTTCCTCCAGCCCTGAAACTTCACTCTCATGGTCCGACCTCATCTCCGAATCCTCAACCTGGGACATCATCACCGCGCCCAGCTCCCCCCCTTCCCGCTGCCACATCCCGACTTCCCTCTCATTCCACGGCTCCGCCCCCGTCCCAAGCAACAACCCCGTCCTAGACACGATAACCTTCCCGCCACACGCATCTTCCATCCCATCCCATCCCAACGGAACATGGCGCACCTCAACCCGCCACGCCCTCCAACATCCCCGCGAAACAGCATCATCCGTAGGCGAGGCATGCACACTCGACGTCGCCGCGCTCCGCAGCAGACTCGAGGACATCGCGGACACGGCCTCGGAAGACCTGACCGCCCGTCTGAATCGCGCGTTCGAGGGCCGCGATCTGATCGAGATGCATCATCGCGTGGTGGGCTGTGTCCCAGCGGCTCGCATGCCGGAGACGAGACATGTGAGCCGGGTTGTGGACGCGGTGAGCGATGCGGCGCAGGACCTCGCTGTGCGAGAACGCGTGTCGTCGGCGTATCTGGGTACGGAGCTGCAAGGGGATAAGTGGGCGTTTGCGCGTATTATGAGTTTGTCGGCGAGACGGGCGCTGGTACGGTGTGGGATATGCTGGGAGTGGCAGGTTGCGCATAGTAGGCAGAATCTTGGCTGGCAGGGAGAATTGTATAGTAGTCTGGTAGGTCCTTTCCCCCCTTTTTCTCGTAGTGAGGTGGTTTAGGTTGCTGACGAAAGATTAGGCAGATGTTTTCACGCGGGAGAAGATGTACAAGGGGGTTGCGCATTTGTTTGAGATGAAGCCTGTTTGGACTGCGGATCGGGCGGGGAAAGTCTGGCGTCTGGAACTTGATACGGGACTTATGGAGGTGAGTGTGGATGGTGAGAGGGATGGTTTGAGGGAAATGCCGGTTTGCGTGCAGACGGGGTTTGAATTTCTGGAAGAGTGGGGGTGTATCTCGATTGGTTATCATGCTGGGTGTGGTGTGCAGCTTGTCGAGGATGAGTGGGCTTTGGTTGGGGATGCCTGACTATGGAGGTAGCGGCGTAGATATGGACAGATGCAACACAAAAAGGAGCATGTTGAGACCCATGCATCATTTGGGTTAGGTGAAAACTTCTCGGACAGTATGACCGCCAGACTATAGCAGTTAGATAACATCCTAATGCACTTGAGTTCGATATAACTTCCTCAAGCAACCCAAACCCACCAATTCGCAGCGTCACGTCCCTCTTCACCACCGCAGACACACTCCGAGAATCATCAAGTCCTAGTACTACCATCCAGCGTCACATCCACACCCCGAAAAGCCAGAGCAGACAGATAACCTTCCCGAGGTTTCGAGAGTCCGTCCGAGCTTGAGGAGACGAACGAACAAACCGCAAAGCAGCTCACAACATTGCACCCGTAGTACACCGTCTCTCAACCATATTAACCGCCTCATAGTCACTTCGCGACAGACCATGGATGTCCAGAACGATCTATGGTATGGTCAATAATGGGTTCCTGTGACCTGACTGACTTGCATTATCATCTCTCTCCACGGCCTCATACAGGCGTGCTCGATATATGCATACATGTAAAGCATACGCTGGGAAAGTAATCGGGCCTCTTAACACCCATCTGCACGCGTCGAATTTATAGTGTACCTCGCTGCTTGAGACGGAGACGAATATGTGTCGCTCGCATCTTGTCTTGCATGTCATCTGTTATAGGACACTGGGCAGATAGTCACGCCCATGTACTTCCCCCACGTCGATGATTGGGACAGTCAATTGAATTGGAAACGGCGGTCTTCTTCCCACGGGATTGTCGCTCGGTATCTTCTAGGACTGATTCACTCGGTGCAGGTTAGACCTCTCGACTGACGGATTGGAGTAAAGGGGTGTTGTGGAGTTCGGTACCAGGGCTTTGAGATAAGTAGATGGATGGATGGCAGGCGAGGGACTGGAAAATGCGTGTATGTATATGCTGATTGATTTTCCAACTGAGAAATTAACAAACAAAAGCTGATCTCGAGTTTCATCGTCCACCGATTCAAGCCCAGTGAGTCGGTTCCATCAATACGAGCGTCTACTCTGCATGTACATCGCCCTCCCATCTCCATATGACCTATATCTCACCATCTACACCCCCACAACCTCCCCCCCCTACTGCATAGCCGCCTCAAACGCCCCAACCCTCGCCCGTCCATTCTCCCCCACCCTCCACGCCTCCACACTCTCAGGAACCTCCCTCTCACACCCCTGCGCCCCCACCCCCTCCCCCCAAGTCCCCCAATACGGCACAACCCCCGTCCAAACCCTCTCCCTCAACCCCCCATCCGCCGCATCCACCCGATCCTCACTCGGCCCCCCCGCCCTTACCTTCGCACTAGCCGTCTGCACCCTCACCCGCAACACAGACGTAGACGCCATCTCCGCCTTGGTGGGCGGCTGTCTCGAGTCCTCCCAGCGCTGCGGGAGCATCGCGTTCGTTATGCAATGTAAGGCGTATAGCGCCTCGGCTTCGTCGGTGACGAGCACGGCGTGTCCGTACACAATTGCGCTGCGGTAGTTGCAGGAGTTGTGGAAGGGGGAGAGGGCGAGGACGAGGCCGTCTAGGAAGGTGGCGGCGAGGGATACGGGGAGGCCTTGTGCCTCGCTGTCCGAGGTGGAGGCGGATTTAAAAACACGTCCGCTGACGTACCCGTGCAGGTAGATGTCCATGCTCGTTGTTGCGGGGTCGGCGTCGGGGGTGGAGAAGTTTCCTGTGCTGCCTATCATGGGGAGGAGGACGGGGAAGGGGTGGGAGGGGTCGGTGAAGGAGAGGTGCAGGATTGGGCAGGTGTTGATTAGGGTGTGGATTGTTGTGTAGTCGTATGTTCCTTTTGTTGGTTGGTTAGGGGGTGTTTTATTTGGGGGTTTGGGGAAGATATCTACCTCTCTTTGCTAGGCGCCCGAGGGTGTTGACGCGGGATTTGGGGTATTCCATTGTAGTGGTGTTTGGTCTTCTTTTTTACGCTTGTATGTCTTTCTGTTTCTCTTTCACTTCACTCACAGTCGATCGGTCGGTGATACAGAAACCTCGACCTCCCCTTCCAAGCCACTCTTTATACACCCCCCTATGACTCCTCCAGCTATGATTCCCACTAACGGCATGCACGCCATACCTCCGTCGCAAGATAACAGCTCGATGTAAGCACCCCACAACCCCCTCCCATTGGCGGAAAACCAGCAACACCAGGCGTGTCGGGCGTGTATCGTACACGCGTACGGGACGAACGAGTATCGCTATACAGGCTAACGCAGGCTACCGCAGGCTGGCACCGGAGCATCAGCGTCGTACAATGATTACAAAACACCAACATCTGCGTATAGCCATAGTCATAGTCATTAGGCGCCATGACATCACACTCCACAAGGCGCGGTGATATATATTTCTCCATGTCCTACAACTACCCCTACTTCAACGTCTCAGCTGAACCCCCAAGCGCCTACAACACCCCCGCGCACGCTCTCCAGCTCCAAACACTGGTACGGACTACTCATAGGGTCGTAATACAGGCCCTCGACGCGCCCGTCGCTGCGGCGCAGACAGACATAGTAGAAGCCGCTGATGGTCAGCCCGCAGCCCGAGTCGTCAAACGACGCGTGTGACTCATCTCCTCCTCTGTCGGCGTGGTGGGGGCGGAAGGTGTGTGTGTGGGATTGCTGCTGCGGGGGCCACGAGCTATGTATGGCGTCGCGTGGTGTTGTTGTTGTTGATGTGCGTGTCGGGACGTGATGTGTGGGCGGGGGCGTGAATGACGAGTTGAGGGGCCGCACGAAGCAGCGCTCTTTCCAGCGCATGAAGATCCACTCCCTGCCTACGCTGCTCCACCAGCGCTCGCTGCCCAGACACCGCCCCACCTCCTCGTCGCGCAGGTCGCGCAGAGGGGGCAGCTTGCGCCAGTACATGGCGTCGTTTGCGGCGCTAGACTGGAAGCTCTCCGTCAGGAGTGTGTATTTCCGGAAGTCCAGGATCTCACCTTCCAGGAACGTGGTGATGGAGGAGGACGAGGCGCGGGTGGCGGTATGGGAAGGCACGTTATACGCTTCCATGGTGGCGCTCAGCTGCATCGTGTGCCAGTCGACCGTGTGGAGGGTGACTTTGACGGGCCAGCGGTCGGGGTGGTGGGCGGCGGTGGCGTGCTGGCAGCCGGACAGGACGGCGCCCGGTGCGAGCCAGGAGGTCGGGGCGGGCGGGGGGATGGCGTCGGGGCGGGTGAGGAAGTCTGGGCGGTGGCTGTTTTTGCGCAAGAGGCCTGCGCCACGGGCGAAGGCGAGGCTCTCGTCGGGCGAGTCTGTACTGCGGATGTGCGAGAGGTACTCGACGCTCAGCTCGAGCATGGGCGAGGACGGGGCGGCGGGGGACGAGCGGTCGTGGTAGCCGCGGCGGTAGGCGTCAACGCGGGAGAGCATGTCGCGGCGTTCGCGGTCGAGCGAGGATGTCGGCGGCATGGCCATGTGGCGGTCGAGCGAGGACGTGGACGTGTAGCGGTCGCGCTGCTCCGGGTGATGGGTGCCCCGCAGCGCCTCGGTGCGCGAGCGGGCAGAGAGCCTGTGCTGGCGGCGCTGGGCCTGCGAGACGCCCTGCGAGCGGCGCTCCGAGGCCCAGTGCTCCCTCCCCAGCATGCGCAACATGTCGGGCCCCGGCTGGTCGGCGGCGAGCAGGGCGTCCATGTCGTCGTCGGGGGCGGGGCTCCAGTCGTACAGCGAGTTCTGGCTGGGGACGCGGTCGCCGTACGCGTCGCTCAGGCGGTTGAGGCGGTCCATGGAGCGGCGCAGGCGGTCGCGCTGGTCCTGCTGGTTCAGCAGCCGCAGCCCGTCGTGCGAGCGGTGCAGCGGCAGCTGGTAGCCCTCGTCGTGGGCCGCGCGCAGGAAGTGCAGGCTGGCGCGGGCCTCGTCCGTGTCGCCGTCGTGCACCACGGAGCCCAGCGCGGCGGCGAAGCTGAGCACGTCGTCGGCGCGCGTGAAGCCGTCGTCGCTGTCGTCGCCGTCTTCGTCGACGTGGGTGCCGAGCGTGGCGGCGAGGTTGGGCACGTCGCGGTTCAGCGGTGCGAGGGCCGAGATGAACGAGGCCGAGGGTGGGTACGACGCTTCGGGGTCCTGGACGGCCTACGTCAGCGCAGCGGGCGACTTGACCTCTCCAGCCCAGCCAGGCCAGTCAAGAGAGGACGAGCAGGGAGAGAGGCGTACAGGCGAGTTGGCGGGCGGCATGGTGCCAGTGGGCGTCTTCTTCTTCTCAACGGCGAGCTATGGGCAGAGGCAGGCGTGGTGGTGGTGAGTTTGGTTCTGGTGGATCGTCTTGGTCGTGTTGCGCATAGCGGCAGGCGTGGGTGGTGAGTGACAAGTGACGAGTGACGGGCGACGGACCATGGGCGAGGAAGAGCGGCGCATGTCGACAGCACCCGGCGAAACAGCGTCAAACACTCCAGCTCAGCCATGCATCACCTCATCTATTTCTACTGCTGGCCAAAAAGTGGCGCCAATACCATACCACGCCCGTTGGCTGCCCCTCTCTTATCGCTGGCCCTCGCCATACACCCGCGCTATGGCGATTGCCATCTGGGGAACGGCACGCACATCATGCAGCCGCCGTCAGACTCCGCGCCGCATGTCATGATCTGCAGATGCGAGGGCAGGATCCCGTGCATTCAACCTCACAAGCTGCATCGTGTTATTGCATCACTTCAAGCACACAAGCAGAAACAATATGTAGAGTCAAGTGTTCGTTTTTTATTACATTTACTTGATCGAAGCCTAGCTTCTCCAGCATCTTTTTCGCCCCACCAGGGAGCTAGGAGACGTAACCTATGACCCCACACGTCCAGACTCAGAAACGTCGACGGGAGAAGGTGGCCGTGCCAAGAGTGCATGCATGGCAGGGGAAGACGTGTTTGCTCCGCACGCAGAGTACCACGTCACCCCTTCGCCAAAGCCAGGACAGAGTCGCCACAGACGAACTCGTGTCCCTCTCAGTCCCACCACCACCCCGTCAAACCCCGTCATCCTTCCGCGCAGGGCAGAGCTATGACACCAACATCGCAGATGTGGCGTGTATAACTTTTGTCGCCCGCAGACTCAGCGTAGTCCAGCTGGCACTCAATACCAGTCTGAGCAGCGGTTGTGGAATAGCGTGTGCTCACATCTCATCGTAAGGAAAAGCCGCTGGGGCGTCCGTAGAAGAAGACGAAGAACCCGCATATCCCCCAAAGAAAACGACATTAAAAAAACAAAATATTCCCAACCGAGTGTACCTGCCTGCCTCGTAGCCGCGAGGCTGTCTGTATCTTTCCGTTTGATAATGCTGACATGCGAACCTCCCAGAGATGCTTGTAACAAATAAAAAGGAAAAAATATAAAGAAGAGGAGGGCCTCGGGCCGTCGTCGTGATGCGTGACAATGGGAAAGGAAAAAAATGTGTAATGAGAAAAAAAACGCTCGCTAAAACATGAGGTATCAAAGTAGGAAAATGATAGGAGATAAAAAAGCAAACGCTAAGGTTGGAAAAACGCCGTCCCATGCTTGGTAGTGATGATATCGTTTCGTCTCGTGTCGGGCATCGTGGATGAGGTTGTGCACAACCTACGGGAAGGAATTCGTCGGACGGGCCATGTCCACACTTCCCAGCTTCGATTCGACAGCGGACCTCAGGGCTACACCGGAGTTTTTCTGGGCGTCACGCGCGCAGCTGCTTATGTGAAGGCAGCGTACTGCGTAGCGAACCCAGAATCCCATCCGAAACCACCGCCAAAGCCGTGTACGGCACCTCCGCACTGCTGGGCGAGCATGCTCGGCAGCGGGAGGCAGGGGATCGGGGCAATGGCCGGAGGCGGGCTGTAGTACACGCTCGTGGTGTTGTACGGCTGGCTGAACGACGGTGTGGGCGAAGGCAGCTGGATGGCCTCGAAGCCAGAGGGGCCCATGGTGCTCCAGAAAGAGGGCTGTGTTTCACTGCAGGTGGTGATTGTCGGGCTGGGCGTCGAGGGGATGACGCGCCATGTGTCCACGGGCTGCGGGTGTGCGATGGGGCAAGGCTGCCACCAGTTGGAGGCGGCGTGCGAGCTGGCAAGGAGCGGTGCGGGGCGGACCACGTCGACGATCCTCGGTGGGGGAGGCAGGAGCGGGTGGAAGAGGCCCATGATGGCGCTCTTGACGTCCTCGCTGCGTGCCTCGAGAAGCTCGCCAGCACCCTCCTCCTCGAGTCCTTCCAGTGCCTTGACGCCGGTGCGGAAAACGTAGCGGTTGACGGCCTGCACAAACCCGTCCTGCAGCTTCTTCAGCTGCTGCTCCTTCTCGGCCCATTCCCAGGTGCTGGCTGCCACGTCGACCGAGTAGATGTCCTTGTGGTACTCGATCAGCGACTCGATGGTCTCGGGCGTGAGCTTGAATGCAACCTCATGCTGTGAAACCATGTCGACGTGCACGGCATACGCCTCGATGTGGATGAGCTGGTAGTTGAACAGGGCCTCGACCAGAGGGTTGGCGTCCTTGCGCAGTTCCGCATCCGGAGCCTTTGGGACCATGATGCTGCACAACGACCACATAGCGTTGGGACCCGAAAGTGTTTCTGTCAGGCATCGTGTGTGTTGTTGCACGCTGTTGAGTGGGCGCTTGACTCGGTTTATCCTCTTCAATGTCTGTGTTAACCATGGCTCGACCTTGGACGCAAGAACAACGTTGACGTTTGATCGTGGCGCAAAGGCCGCAGCCGAGGCGGGTAGTAACGAGATCGGCATTGTGAATGGTCGGAGCGTGTGCGGAAACGGTTCGATATTATGTGTGTGGGACGTGTATCAAACCAAAGCAGAAGTAAAATAAAATGTGAACAAAAGAGAAGTAAATAAAAAAAGATGTCTCAGGCGTATATGGATTTTTGACGAGCTCGCCTATATAGGGTTGGAGACAAGGAGGAGACGGACGAATGAGGAGGGGAGGATGGCGAGGTTGGAGGTGGAGGGTAGACAAGCTTAGCGGGAGAGGGTGAGATGTTTCTTAAGAGCATCCGAGCGGCGATCATGGGTCGTAGTCGATTCGGCGTGGCCACTGAACTCGGCAAGGATTTCATGCACACTGCCCCGTTTAGCTGCACTGCGCATCTAGCTTGCTTAAACTTGCATATGGCGAGAGTCTACACCTGCACCTGCAGCTTAGGCGGATCTTAGCTAACTGTGCGGGCAGAGCGATCGCGTGGATAGGTGGACACGTTCACAGCGAAGATTGCGATGCTCTCATGGCGGCCATGGTCGTCATTTGCGGCCATGCGCAGACGGAGATGAAGACGACAGCGGCGCCAGATGGGCTTATCGCGGAAGACACAATGGCAAGAGGAGCCGGCCATGATTTCCATGCTGTCCCGTAGAGACATGCCAGCTGAGGGTCGAAGCTCACGGCTGACCTTGCACAATGCTCGCAGAAACCTGCCCGCGAGCCCGCAGATGGCTTGCGTCAGATCACAGGCATCGAATTCAAGCCCGTATGCGAGCAACCGGAGAACGGCCAGCCCTTGCACCAGAATCTTGCATTTGCAACACCAAGCGAGTTCCAGAAACCTTCCTTGAACGTCCAAATGGAGAGCGCACCGTAACGGCGTTGCTTCCTTTTCAGGAACGTTGCAATCCAGCAATTCTGCCTCCATGCTAGGGGGACGGTGTCTCCCAGGTCGGAGAATGTGGGTGTACTCGATGTCGGCTTGGACCATCTACAGGATGAGGTTGCTTGAGCCTAAAAATGGGCTGGCACCACTGAGCCCAATCAGCAGGGATAGCAGGGATGCGAGCAAGGTTCTCATCCGCATCGCAAAAGCCTCCTCTCATGTGATCGCGGGACTCACGCGGCCGACAAGATGTTTTGAAAATTGCAGAATCCACTGTTTGGGTAGCCCGGGCGCGTACACAAACCCGGCCCTCAACCATTGCGAAACCCAAAAAGCGGACGCTCGACATGACGCAACGCGCTCGTTCGACTTGAGATTGGAGATTCCGCCACTTTTCGCATCTGCCCGAAGCCCTCACGCACGTACGCACGCACGTGCGCCATGTGGCGGTGACAGGTAGATCGCCCCGGAGCTCCCGACCTCGCAGCCTCGTAGTCGTCGAAAGTCTCTTCGTAGATCTCGCTTCCACCGATGCAACGTATCGTCATGCCTCATTCTAAACACCACGCTTTCGTCCATTCGTCATATCTGCCTACGTAGGAGAAGATCTAAGCTGCATGTCTCGTCGTTTCAGCGACCCTCTCTCCCCACCACGTCGCCTCGACCATTGGAACAGCCTCTCCAAATCAAAACGTCCGCATGAGCTGACGACCCCATATATCCGTTATCGATAGGGCATCGTCCCGCAGCTGCCATGTTTCGCATCCTGCACTGGGGGGACCCCGAGCTGCTGCACGACTGCGCCTCACACTGGCACGCAATACGCAATAGCCCGATCGGCTGTGGCGGCCGTCACACTGGCCCAGTCGGTGAGGATATCGCTGCAAAGAGGTGCGTGTCCAGCATCGGCTTCGCAGTCACTTGCACCTCTTCCGGGTCCTGCTCAGCTGGACAGGGGTCATGCTGCACTAGGCCGGTGTTAAGCGTCATGTTAAACTATCCACATGTGCACAAACTTGTCTTCATCAGTACCCGCGATATAGGTGTAGTATAGAGTCATGACGACGCTCTGTCGTGTCTGCTGGCTGTCATTGCCAACGAACTTGCGTGCATGCGAGTATTCTGCTGCTGTTTCAGAATCTGCCGGAGGTCTGGTGGCCGCAGCCTGCATGCCACGCATCGCTACTACGTGGGGATGACTCACTCACCGAAGACGTACACGTTGGAGCAAAACTTGACGTATTTTCAAGACTTCTCTCTAGCAAGTTCTACACGCTGTAGTTTCATTTTTCATGATTCTCATGATCCAGTTTTGGATTCCCAACTTTGGTTGTCTCACTTGATGGGGTATCCTGACTGCAGCCTGCGCTGCCATCTCGAACCCAACCAATCTTATCAGATCTCGCTTACTTGGCCCGCAACCCAGATCCAAGTCCAAGGGCTGTTACCTACACTGAGGTTTTACCAAATGTGGAGAAAACGACCCAGTAGCAAAAGTCGCGCAGCACCCCTGCCACCTCGTCTCGATGCTCGAGCATACACACGGCACAGTATATTTTGAGCTTGCGGGACGGCTTAAGAAACAACCCCCATTCACACACCACATTTATGTCTAACCTCCATGTCTTTGCTTTCTCCTAGTCTCACCCAAGCGGTGGGTTGTGTGCGAAACCTCTTCACACACATGTGCAGCACGCACGCATGCGCGAAGCACACCCCCCTCAGACCTGCCATCAAACGACGTTACTGCACAAGAAACAGAATCAGGCAGTCGTTGAGAGAACCCGCGGGTCCAGGACCAGGCCCCAGGGGACCGGAAGCATGCATGTAATGTAGAAAAATTCTCCTCGACAAGACCTCCATTAGTGGCTATTAGCAAACGCAGCAAACAGGCATAAACGTACCAAGTTGGACGATGGGGGCTAAATAGAAACAACGGGACCAGGGGGGCGTCCGACTAAGCTGTGCTAAGAACTAGGTTCCGGGGGCTGACAACCCTATTCTCTTTGTCCGAAAAGGGCGTGTGGCGTCAATTGTGATATATACTTGCCGCCCCCAACACGGGTCGGGGAGCTCGCACAACCACACGCCTGGGTCTCCTGGCGCTGTGCCTTTGAGATAGGTATTGCATCTGAGATCGGGGATATAGGGAGCGTAGGGCGGGATCTGGAGCTGCGAGAGTGTCTGGAAAGAGGTTTGTGGCTTGGGGGGTCTCGATATAGGCTTAGATATGCTTTGGGGGGTTGGGGTCAGGGATGCTGGGGAATCCGGAGGAGACGCAGTGTTGGGTGCACAGCGTCGTTTCTTACGTGAAGTGTGCACAATGGGAGACGTCGAGACGGCGTGCGACTGGGTCGATGCGTGTGGGTCGCTACTGCGGTTGAGGTGTGTGTGTGCGAGATAGAGATGGACGGCAGAGGTGTCGAACCGCCGTCAGTCTCAGTCTCAGTCTCGGTCTCTGCATCCGTGAGCTTGCAGAGCATCCATCCCCTTCGAGGATGCATGCACCCCATCGCCCTTTGATGCTCCAGGGATCTATGCGGTTGCAGTGATGCCGCCCAGGCTCTTACCCTTACCCTTGGATATGTCGGCGCTACGCCAAACTGCTCGCTGTTTGACGTTGATCTGCTCCCACAAAAAATGATATGGGTTTCGCTCCCTGCATGACATGGTTCAGATCATGATGTTGTGGCGGCTGACGCGTATCGATCTCTTCCTTGCGTAGTCGTAAGCAACGGGAGAGTTTAAGTGGGGTGGGAGCCTCCAATGGTGTTGGATGGTTGAGGGGGTAGTATCGCAGTGAATGTAGAAGCATGTACGTTTAAAGTGGATAAAACATTTGTTGAAAGCGGTTCTCCTTCCTTCTCTTCGACGTTAGTCAAGTTGAAAGGATATGAAAGTCGCATGGGAGAGATAAGTCGACAGGAGGAATGCGCGACATGTATTCCCTCGCTCCTCCACCTTCCTGTATTGCTCTCTGGTGATAAGAAACTGTGCTTGATCGATGATTGCACTGCTGTTCGAGAAAAACAACTTGTTTAATGCTGCATCGATTTGCGTCCAATTTGTGTAAGCTTTTCTGCCAAGCAATGACCATGTCCGCAACAGCACGCATCTCCAGTGATGAACTTCTTATGAAGAGCAGCGCGATATACTGCCCGAGGTTACTCGTCATAACGCAGTGTCTGTGATATACGTTATTGCCGAGTAGAATACATGGAGATCATGTCGGTCATCGGTGCAGTCGGGTAGTCGGCGCTGCATCGGGGGTAACGTGAGCTCGGAAATCATCGGCAGTTACGTTCGAGCGTCAACTTCGCAACTGCCGACTCTACCAAGAGCCACAAGATATTGTTCCGTTCCACACAAGACCAGCTCACAGGTGTCTAGTCTCGTAATAACGGGCGGCAGTTGAAGATGGCGACAGAAATGTAGCACTGGCATACACAAGGTCGCGAAGTATATTGTAAGACACGACAAGGTGAAGCACAACATCCAGGTAGCGATCATAACCTTTTCAGAGGCTTCACGGAATGGGCAAGAGGCGATGTGGCATAGCGTGGAACAAAATGAGAGCGTTGTGTCCCGGGTTCCGTTGACGTTTACCCCGCGTTATCCCCGCGATCCATGCTAACGATCACCACCACGGACCCACGTCAGCATATCTCAAATACTTCATCACAACTGCCGGCCTTGGGGATCTGACGCAGTCTGGTAGGATGCGAAGATCAGGCCGAAGTGCGAGAGCGACGATGCCTTCATATACTGTGCGCCCCAGCGGTCCTTAATCATGCACCACTCTCCATCATTATTTCCGACTTCTACTTGATATATTGTATAGTTCACTATGTTACTTAATGAGATTTTACCGTTCCTTGTACGATATTGGCCTGCTGTTCTCATCTCTAGTACCGTCGCGTACTTGCTTACGAACAAGTTCTGGAAAGGACTGAACAAGTATCCGGGGCACTGGGTGGCAGGATACACCAACTGGTGGAGATTGTACGACGTCTTGGGCTGGAAACATCAGTGGACACAAATAGCTCTTCACCGGGAGCATGGAGACGTTGTACGATTAGGGCCTAATGTTCTCTCTTTCGCGGATCCCAGAGCCATCAAGATCATCTACGGGCTGAACAAAGGCGTAATGAAGGTATGTCTACAATGCTGGAAGCAATATCAAATTCTCACTAATCCTCCTCAGTCCGGTTTTTATCCCGTCCAAACGGCTGTGGCAAAAGGAAAGACCCTCTACTCTTTGTTCTCTACCGTCGACGAGGATTTCCATGCAAAGTATCGTCGGTGTGTGAACAGTGCCTTCGCCATGACCTCACTTGTAAACTATGAGCCGCTCGTCAACTCCACTTTGACTTTCTGGCTCGATAGGACGCAGGAGATGTTTGCAAATACCGGCAACAGCTGCAACTTCAGTCAATGGCTGCAATTCTTCGCTTTCGACGTCATCGGCGAATTGACTTGGAGCAAGCGTCTAGGATTTGTGGAGGAGAACAGAGATGTGGATAACATCGTTGCGTTCCTGGGGAAACTATTCGACTACGTCGCGCCAGTAAGTCAGGTCGTTCATACTTCCAATAGATATATCCATGCTCACACTTTTCCCCAGGCCGGCCAAATGCCCATCCTCGACCGCATCCTATGGAAGAACCCCATCACTCTCTTCGCCCAACGCATCGGCCTCGACAAGCGCATCCACCCAGTCGTCCTCTTCGCACTAAGCCGCTCCAACGAACGAGCCAGCCAAATCGAAAAAATCAAACGCTTCGGGCTCTCCGACGACGAGCGCGCCAACCCACGGGGCATCGACCTGCTCTCCAAGTTCGCGCAAGCAAGCCACGACCACTCCTTCATGGACGACGAACGCATCCTCTCGACATGCACATCCATGGTCTTCGCCGGCTCGGAAACAACCGCCATCTCCCTCTCCGCCGTCTTCTACTTCCTCGTCAAGCACCCGCTCGTCTACGCAAAGCTGATGCAGGAACTCGACGCCGCCGTCGCAGAAGGCCGTATCGAGTCCCGCCCCGATAAAACCGTCTCCTGGGCTGAGGCGCAGAAACTGCCTTACCTCGACGCCGTCGTTCAGGAATCTTTCCGTCTGCACCCCGCCCCGGGACTTATCCTCGAACGCGTCGTCCCGCTCCAAGGCATGCAGATCCTTGGCGATTTCATCCCGGGTGGCACGATCGTCGGCTGCAATGCGTGGGTTGTGCACCGCCGGCCCGAGGTCTTCGGCGTGGATGTCGATACGTTCCGGCCTGAGCGGTGGATCGAAGCGAGTCCGGAGAAGCTCAAGGAGATGAAGGGTACGATGCTACAGTTTGGCGCCGGGGCGAGGACGTGCATTGGAAAGAACATCAGTTTGCTGGAGATTTATAAGTTGGTGCCGAGTTTCCTGAGGAGATTTGAGGTGAGTAATCATGCGTTTGGGATCGATGAACAAAGCTAATGATGTGCAGATTGAACTTGAACGTCCTGGGGCGGAGTGGAAGACACATAATGCGTGGTTTGTTACGCAGAAGGAGTTTAACACGCGGTTTAGGCCAAGACAAGTGCCGGTCTAAGGGGTGTACCAAATAGCAATTTCGTCATTTAGCGTTGGAGTAATGTCAAGGGTCATACACAAATTCAAAAGATATACATTTCCCAATATCCTTTAAAAAACGCCGATGTATTAACACATAACATATCAAATTTCTCCTCGCTGTCCCATCACGACTTCCTTTTCTGCATGCCCGTTTTTCTCTTTCCCAGCACATCTCTCCCCTCCTCAATCTGCAGCAACGCCTCCCTTTTCTTCTCCGTAACCGGCTTTAGCGCATCTCGCACTACTCGTCCCTCAACACTAACACCTTCTTCCTCATACTCTTCCATTTTCTTGCCCACCCTGTTCTCAATCGCAAGAATGAGGTCCACATCTCTCTGCCCGATGAGCGTCAAACTGGTACCCACTCTCCCTGCACGTGCCGTACGGCCAACACGGTGGATGTAGTCATCTGGGTCGCGTGGGACGTCGTAGTTGATAACGAGTGCTACTTCCGGAATATCGAGCCCACGGGCTGCGACGTCGGTGGCGACAAGAATGCGTGCGGCTTGGGCGCGGAAGCGGGCGAGGTTATTCACACGATCAGATTGTTTGAGACCCGAGTGTAGGGCCGTGACGCGATGGTCGAGGGCGCGCAACATGTACTCCAAAAGCGTCGCCGTCTTCGTGCGGTTGCAAAAGATGATGACCGATTTCTTAAGGTTTTCGGGCGTCGCAAGGAGCACATGCAGATAGCATTCTTTGTGCGTGACGGGCGTTTGAATGTACGTTTGCTGCAGCTTTGGCGGAATGGCGAGAGTTTCAGTGTCGACCTCGCAGACGAAGATAGGCGGGCGACCAGGACGTGGTTGTTCTTTGAGGGCGAGGACTTCCGGCGTGACAGTGGCTGTGAAGAGGAGTGTCTGCCGTTCTGTTGGGGGTGGAAGGACAGATAGACAGGTTTCGAGATCGGGGAGCATGCTGCCTTTACCCGGAGCAAGGAGACGATCGGCTTCGTCAAAGACAACGAAGCGGACTCGGCGCAGACCACAGATCGTATCTTCGCCAGAGGTCTTGATGTGCTCTGCTAAACGACCTGGTGTGGCGATGACAACATGCGGTCGAGAAGCCAGGTTTATGGCTTGCTCACGTTGATCTGTTCCGCCGGTAACGAGGATCGGTTTCATTGACTGAGGCGCAGATATAGCCTTGACTTGCTCATAAATCTGGATTGCAAGCTCTCGCGTGGGTCTGTTCCTCCAGTCAGTACGCTGATGAGAATGAGACCGAGAAGCGCGAACAGCCTCACACTACACTTGCAGTTGCCAAATGGCAAGTGAACATTGTACTGAGGCTAATCCGACTGAGGGATGATGATGAACTACTCACGTGACGATCAAGGCGAAGATGCCACTCGGGTCCTCCGCCCATCTTTGGAGGATTGGCACTGAGAAGGCGACGGTTTTACCCGTACCTGTCCTGGATCCACCAATACAGTCTCGTCCCTTGAGGATCTCAGGAATACATGCTTGCTGAATGCCAGTGGGCTTCTTGATCTCCATGGACGCCAAAGAGGCAACGAGCCAAGGAGCGACATCGATCGAGGCAAAGCTCACCGCCTTTTCTTTAGTAATAGGTACTGTCGCTATGTCTTGAGCCCGTATTACAGGAGCTTGAATGTCCTTCGTCTTAACCCGGGAGATAGTCGCGACCGGAATTCTTGAAGGCGCAGGCTCAACATCCGACTCTTCCTCATTTGGTGACAGCCGTCTCCGTTTCCTAGCACCCGCTTGGTGCTCATATAGCTCCTGGTCGGACGCGTTCGATGAGTAGTCGCTCATGGTAAGAGTAAGTGGTGTCGAGTGAATGTTACAGTCCCGAAGTTGATTTGTAGATGTCTCGAAATTTTGTGCAGGGATCTTTATCGATACGCACGGACTTAACATGGGCACCTCGTCGAGTCGCAGCAGCTAGCTCTGAACTCGCACGAATGTGCCCGAGGGTCTTCGGTACTCTATATGTGTCAACGTTCAGCACGTATAGCGACGCGAAGATACTCACGGCTTACGTATAAAGCTGTTGAAATTGGAATTTGCTTCCACCTGTATTTTGCAGCCGGACTGACCTACAGCCTGCCATCCCTCCGATATCTACAGCACGCTTCACCACAGAGACACACTTTGTCCAGGCCTGCCCAATACTTATCGCCGTAGTCGACAGTGATTTCTGAGCTTGCGTCTACTCCTTTGCTGACTAATATTACTCGCTGCGTGTCCAGCCAGTTGAAGGTTGAGAATTGTGCATTCGCCTTGCAGCTGTGATTAACGAACCGTGTGTAGTTCCCTACTCTTCCTTGCCAGATCTGGTAGTTGGCCGATGGTGTAGAGCTATCCATTACGTCTAGGTGTCTGACGCCTTTGGTGATCGATCCGACTAGTTCTCCGACTGCAACTCCTCGGTCGAACGAAACCAGCGCCACCAGTCCATTGTTCTTTCCATCTGGTGTGCGGTATATTTGAACCGGGGAGGGTTTGCGCTTCACGCAGCCGAAGAGCGAAGGAAAGCAAAAGCACGAGTTGGATTTGGGGTCATCCGACTGCTGCTGGTTGCAAAGAGCACAGCTGTTAGCGCTGTTCGTCCGTATGGCAACATTTGACTGCGGCACCCAGCGCGGATCTTCGCATCCCCATACGGATTCATCGATGATCGACTCTTCCACATTCTCAAATGTAAAGTATGGGTCGTGAAGCTGGTAGGTTTGCCGGAGTGGTATGGGATCCGATCCATCCTCGAAGACAACCCACTCGTGCGGATGACCAGGGTACTGAAGAGCCTGAGGCTCTCCGACAATCACTAGTAGTTGTCGCCAATACGGATGTAATGTGTCTGCTGCGACTTCCAATCTCTTCCGTGAATTTCGCAGTCGTCGCATGGCGTCGACGTCAAAGCCTACGCGATACTTGCAAAACCGATAGATCCCCATACCGGCAAACACTAGAGCAGCCCAGCCCGCTGCATCTTTGACTTCCTTGTATCCTCGCCAAATAGCCATCTTATTACGCAGTTCCTTCTCAGACCACCCAAAGTCTTGACATGCTTCCATGAACACTGCTTTCCTGTGCTTGGTCACCGACAATTCGGACATTGCACTGACTCGAAGTTGGACCTGTTCCTCGAACATCTCGATCCATCGTGCTTGCACGATCATCTCAATGGACCGACATACACGGCTCGCTTGCGTAATCTTCCGACAGAAGACATTCATTTGACTGAACGACTCGTATACTGGATGTTCCGCTGTGCTGAGGACTTCCATCGTTGTGATGTCTGCTGATGCTCGACGAATAACATTTGTAGTACTTGTGGGTTGTATCTGGAACTGTTCGAAGATTGCTTTCGGATCCAAGTTGACGGAGCCATGCACCTGCTCCCAGATGCCAATTATCAGCTTGTCTAATGTGGACGGTTGGAAGACAAATTTCTCGGAGGCCACTTTTTTTCTCTTTGGAAAACTTCGAGCGTCAACTTGCATTTGACGCTGGTGTTCGCTGAGGTCCTCTTGAATAGACTGCGTTTGGCATACTCGCAATCCGCCTGTTCCTTTTCTGCGAGAGCTGTCAAGTGCTGTGTCGTCTGTGGCCTCCCGTTCTTCGACTGGCTTATCAACATGCGACTGTTTATCGATTGGTGATGGTATTCTGTCATCTTGACGAAGTAACATTGGACTCTGGGAGGGCGCAGGGGTCATAATTCTTGTCAAATCCAGGGTCCTCTGCATGCACGTTAGTTCCTTTTGGTCAATTATATAGATGCAGCGTCCTCATCTCTCGAGAAGAATTGCGTTGATTCTAGAAACCGCTTGGGGGTGATTCCACGAACATACCGATGCTACTCTGTTTGATCTCGGCCGCATCGTACTCCCTGGGCTTGCATCTTCGAGGAAAGCTTCGAAACGGAGGACAGGTCGAGCTAGGCCATCTATCTGCGGCCACGCAATGTTGATGTTGGACTTCGCGAGATGCTCTTGAATTGCGCGACCGATGCATTCTTCCAGTCCGTCGATATCTTCGAGGGTGTTCATGCCACAGTTCCACTCTGAAGTATAGGTCATGCTTTACTTTTCGTGTTCTGAGAGATTACGCCTTTATGCATGTACCAGAGCTGTTTATGAGAGCCTTTTACAGAGGCGCCAACAAGTGGCGAACGACTTATGCTTTGCCTGTACTTCCTTCATGCGATTGCGGAGGATACTCGGTTGGGCGATCAGAACATGGGCGGGAAACTTAAGGTATTTGAGCGGTCTGGCTCGATTGGCTGGCTTTAGTGGCCGACTACGCCGAAAGAACCTTATTAGCATCCCTATTGTGATGCAAACCACACGCGGAGAGGACATACAATAGATCTCTGCACTCAAAACCTATGTTGTTAGATACTCTCAATATGACGGCGCTACGGTCCTAGTGGATATGCGTACGTTTGCGGGCTCATTCCTTGCGGGCAAACTCGACCGAGACGCACTAAAGCTAGTTCCCGCTAGTCGAATTTTCGGACGTCATCAGACGCTAGACAATGTCAATGTCTAGGACAGCTGCAAATCTTTGAAGTTGACTAAGGGAGGGTATGAGAGAAGCTGCGTCTGAATCGTTAAATAGCTTGGCTTTTGTTAGCCAGAGCTACTCCAGTACAACAGATGAGCAGCCTCACGAATGATTCCCATGACGACAGGCCCACAATTGCCAAGGAACAATATGGGGAGGTCTGCCGAGTAGCACCCCAATTTCGATATGGCAAGTAGGAGCACTTGAGAGTTTTTACTTTGACTTACATAGACTCCTCAAGACATATGCGCCTCGGCCATCAGAGCTAACTGTATGTCAAGGCTCGCTTGAAAATTCAACTATCCTGTGCACTCGTTTATTTTATTCGCAGTGCAACGATTGCTTTTTCCACTGGAAGACCACCTCAACAACCACTGGGAGGAATACAGCTATGGCTACGATTTGCCCAAATGTCATCTGCCCATCAGGATACAACCCTCCGGCAGCCTCAACCATGTTGCGCTGGAATCTTCGAAGCCGGAAAAAGGCCCAGAATTGACCAACAAGAAACACTAGCCCGAGAGTACATACTGCAAGCTATATGCGGAAGGCCTAAGGTGTATCGACTTGAAAGGTCAAATTGTGCGTTCTCAACCATTCCAGCTGTGGTTTATTCTGGCCTTTCACTACTGACAGAGAAATCTTGTAGACGACGATGATGGTCATGACTAGCCAAGTCGCGATGCCAGATGCTGCAATTATGGTCTCCTGCTTCAAAAGGTAGACCTGAATATGTTGAAAACACAAGTCTTCTATCAGATTCCAGTCGAATTCTATGACAACTGAATATGAAAATCTCCAATCTGGCTTTGTCCTATGCCATCCCTGTTAACTCCGACATAGTCAACCAGTAGGTTATCCGGATCGACTTACCGTGTACCAGCCACTCGCGAGAAGAACGGATAGAAAGACAGAGCCCCACAGATTTCAGACCTGCAGTCAAACTTGTTGAGAGAACAACAAATATCAATTCAAGCCTGAATTCAAGCATACTTTGTACTCGTCTAAAATCATGGAAATACATCTTATGCAAAAGAACTCGCAATGAAACACAGAGTGGGGACAAAAACAAAATAAACAAAACTAGAAGACTTCTGCCTACAAAAAGATTACCATAAGAACACCAAGCAGCACAAAAGATATCCTGGCTGCTACAACAATGCGAAGAAAGACCAGACAATAAGTTCACACTTCAACGAGGAGGTATTCAAGTCTAGTCTAACTCGCTGTCACTCCAGTCGACTTCATCTTCAAGTGGCCAGTCCGTGAGTCTCTCGAGTGGGGGTGTCAGCAACCCTGTAGTTGTACAGCCATGCGTGCTTGCAGCGGCCGAAAGCGAGGTCATATTCTCCAGGCTGGTGGTCGAATCGGTCGTTATCGAGACCACCAGCGCCCTTGTAGTCGCCTGGTTGATAGCCAACTTCTTCGATGGTGGCAGTTCAGCTTCTTCAGGCCCTGAGATGAGATCGCGCTTCAAGTTGGGGCTCGGCGGTACGAAATTTTGAGCCCATGCAGGCGTCTCCCCGTCGAAGCGCACCGGTTGCGTATCGGGGATGCCGAGGAGTTTGAGGTAATCTGCTACTAGTAGTAGTCCCCGCTCGGTAGCAACGTGGATTTTGCTGTTGAAGAGGTAGAGATCCACATCGTCGATGGCTTTGACAGGCCCATTCCGGAATGTCACACGACGTCCCATGTCGTATGCCCGGAATCCTCGGGCCTGGAGGGCAAGCGCTTCTTCCTGCAAAGCCCAGGATGGCTTGTTGGATGGTTGACTGTTGTGCTGTATCATGAAAGAGCACAGGATGAGAATGCTCTCGTTATTGTATTCAAAAAAGTCGAGATCGAGGTATTCCTGGTTGTCGAGCGCTAACGTGTCGGTAGTCTGAATTGTGTGCATGTTTGCTGTTCGAAGTAGGAATTTTGTACTTCGGATGATAGTCAGAGGAGTGGCTTGAGAAACTGAGTGATGAGCAGACGAACCTGGGCAACCTTTTTGTACTCTCTGTGTAATGCGAATCACTATGTCCTTTACAAAAGAGTGGATCTTGTTGCTGAACCAGTAATATCGTTGTTATTTGTTCATTTTCCCCCACGGTATGATCGATATAATGGCGGAACGGAATAGTGGATGACCCAAACTTCGCATATCCAAACTTCACATGTCCAAACACAGCGTCCACCTTAATTTCAACAACAGTCAACCCGATTGGTTCTGGTACTAGCCATTACCAACCTTGGTGTAGCTATTGATTAAGACCGACACCATCGGGTTTGAATTATGCACTAAGACATATCTGAATGCAAATCGAGGCCCGTTAATTCTCTAGTTTACATGCTTCTACCAGATTCGAGAGCTGACTGTTTAGTGGGCGCGAACTGCAATTACCAGTTGCTTGACCAGATACAAGACAACGATCGGTCCTTCACCCTTGAGTTTCTGGTTAGGGTAGTGGTTATCGCGTCATATGATTCGGTCAAAAGTGCCAGAAGGTCTTCTTGAACTACGCAGCTGATATTCCAAATCGAGACACCTTCGAGTTTTCCCTCACGATGTCTCACGCAACGTATTGTCTCAAGTCCAACGTTGTGTCTCGTCGGATTCTTTCAGGCAATAGTTGTGATCTCACGATCTTCCAATCACTTGCCATAAAACATATTATCCTACTCATCACGTCCTTTCCATCTTCGCCTGCTTAAAAAACAAAGAACACTGGCCTATCCAACAACATTACAAAACATGTACATAGCTTTGTCGGAAATATACGGAACTTACAATCTCGGCCAAGGCGGCCGTCGTGGCGGTGTTTCTGTTCAAGGCTGCCAGCGAAGCCCTACTCAAGCTATTCAGCAGTGCTCTAACAAAGGTGCTCAGCAGGGCTCCCACACAAACGTTCAGCAGGGCGCTGGTCAATGTGATCAACAAGGTTCTGAGCATGGTAGTGGCAAGTAAATGCTTGTTGGGTAGTTCCTTGATTAGGCTTCCGATAGAATGAGTTACGTGAGTGTAGTGTACTAAGAAATACATCTCGTATGTGCGTCCCTCGTTACAGCAAGGTTAGGCAGAAAGAGTGTGACCATAGAGAACGGTGACGCAAATATAGTGTACAACCTTGTCCCCGCTGGAATAGTGCAGAGCGTTACAATCGTGTATTTGACGGTTGGAAGATCGCGGTGTATGTTTTCTAGTTTGACGTTTTGTATTTCATGTCTCATGATGGTATTTTTAAATACAAATTGCTGAATGCTGGTCCAGACGGGGAAAGGTTGCCAGACCCAATTCAATACGTGCCGACCTTTTTGGGATAGGAATGGAAGGTAGGAGCCGAAGTTAGGGATACAGTGTGCTAAAAGTAGCATGGGAAGAACAGTTGCCAGGTAGGCCTTGTCTGTGAGACGCATGCTTTTTGAGCGGAGGTTTCTGATGGATGATTGAATATATCAATGAAGCAGTACACAGCCATCAACAAGCCAATTTCCATAAAATGCATGTTGTAGCCAATGACAAGTGGACTGTTTGAGGATCAATGTGTACTCAGATATATACAAACGAGAAGCAGACTTACAGATAAGCAAAAGTCATGTGATTGGCTTTGCGCGAGCTATCAATAAGCATAATTGCATAGATAAGCCCAAGATCAGTCAGGAACCTGAGTGATTGCCAGTAACAAATCGGATCCACAAGTTGGAACGAAGTGGATACCGCAGTAAGTGGACGTACTCGACTGTCGATGAAGTCCATTCCGTAGAAGCTATCCAGAGTTTTCAGATATCCTAACTTGCCGACATCTCCTATTCTATTGGATGTTATGTCCCTGACACGTTGCATTATGTTTGGAATGATCGCCATCATACAGTGGAACGCTAGTGCAGTGGTGACAAGAAAAGGAGAAGCTTTTAGTGCTCGGCACAGTTTCGACTCGGAACTGCTCAGTGAATGGGATAAATCGAACGTCATCTTGTCGTAATGTATGCGTTCGTGAGATGAGTGAGGAGTAGGACTTTTTGGGTGTTGCTGACGTTATGAATTCGTGCAGCTGGACGAGTGTGGTATCTATGAGGAACGGCTGAGAGCCAGGTAACAGAAAGATGTAGCTTGTAACTTGTCATAGAGTATGCCACCCCATTTTTATTAACCAATGTAGGCTTCGATTGGCTGTGTATCATGTATAGTATACATTGTCATACAGAAGCCTTACATTATGCATGAGCTGAAATGCGATAATTTGGTACGTTATTATCTTAGTGATTCTATGGTCAAAAGTCCATCTACCTGTTTGTAGACCAAACAATTGATTGCGTACACAGTTAGAAACGACCAAAGCCTGCTGCTGTACAGGAGCGAGATTGCTGTCTCTTTGCGGGTGCGCGGACACATAACTCATGATCACGGCAGAGTACGGAAGGACCAAAGATGATAGGATACAGACACGAGTCGTATGTCTCTTGTTGTTGAAGGAGTAATTATACTGGAGGTAGATTGTGGTGATGTAAGCAGCAAGTGGTTCGGAATGTGGAGACTTTTCAGATGGACAGTGTATCCCCACAAGAACTCCAGCCTCTTCACAGACATCGCCTCTTGGCATGTAGTGCAATTAATAGAGACGATCGCGCAAAACCTACGGGTATCGAACAAAGACATTGTTACCAAAAATATCTTGCCATTCTGATTTTTATCTGTCCCTGCCCGCCTGTTGGTAGCGAAAATTTGAACGCAATTGGGAAGTGAAGTCGACCAGTGACATTCCGACGGTCGGACCTCGTCCAGCTTTTCTGCCTCAACTTCGCAGTGCCATGCGTCCTATCGTCAATATGTCACAGTTCTTGGGATTGGTTCATGCTCACTGAGTGCTAGGGTATGGAGGTCAAAGCATATCCTCTTGCGCAGTTCTGCTTGACGCATACATGATTTGGGTCGAACTGGTCGTACGTGGCTGTTGATAAGCAAAACCGTTTTATTGGTGCAAATATCGTCAATTCGCACTTCACGCTGGATGAGGCAACGAGTGCGATCGTGGCGTTCACGAAAAGTATAATATCTTGAGGCTGAGATCTAGACCATCATAGATCCAAATCTGTCGCGGCAACCCCAACCACCGTCAAAGTTCAACCATCTCTCACCGCACGACCAAAATACGGGGCAGTGTGAATTTTAGACGGTCGAATCAACAATCAAGTGAGCGATAGATCTAGAAATACAAGTCTTTTTTCGTACGGCGGCTGTCCGCTGAGTATGAGCAACTCCAATTGCTTGTAACGCAAATTTTCGATAATTCGGTTACCCCACTTACACAGGTAGTCTCAGCCTCATGCAGCCAAGAGACTTACACTGCAAACATAGAAGACATATAAGTATATGCCTCGAGAACGATGTACCTCAAATTGAGAAGGCGATGAGCTCGCTCCACAAATGACCTGCCGAACAAGACCATCGATTTAGCAGTGCGACAGCTCCGGACGGGTATCAACGACTTGATCAGCCGCAATCTGAAGCCCCCTCACCCCCGGATAGGCAGACCTTAACACTATGTCTGAGCACCTCCTGTCGACTTCTTACAAGTCTTCCCCAGTCGTCGCAACAGAGGAGTGTCTTCCACCGCGATATGGCCGACGACGGGGATTGTCGTATTTCCTCAGTCACAACTGGACTGTCACTCTATCATTCAACACTGGCCTTGTCCTTGTCGGCGCCGTCTTTGTCTTCACTAATTGGTTGAGCAAACAGACTGTTCAATGTCCGGACTGGGCCATCAACTGTACCGTCTCTAAACGTGTCGATTTCCTAACCAGCAATTTCGGGACGGTACAGGGTATCGTAACTACCATATACTCTATTGCACTCGCAGCGTTGGCTTTCTCTGCACACGCCTTGTCGGAATCAGCACTCTGGCCACTGCTCACCAAACATCAACTTAGCATCGCTCAGATGGACACGTACCTTGCTGCTAGCCGTGGCTCGATAGCATCATCTCCATTTGCTCTATTTACAGTACGCAACGTCGATTCAATCATCGTCGTTCTCAGTACTGTAGTCGTCACATTGGTACCTTTGTCCGCTGCTCCAGTCGTGGGTCAGGTCTACAACATGCGCAACGTCTCAGTGGATTTCCAGAGCCAAGCACAGCCTGGTGGCGGTATTGGTCCCGTGTTTGTTCAAACAAATCCGTCGGGATCTTCAAGAGAAAGTTCTGCATCACTCTACACATCATGGCAATACAAGCTTTCCCAGGAACCAATGCCAGAATATAGGGAGTGGTTCATCGATCGCATAGCATTCTCAAGCCGGGGTAACTTTTCAGCAGAAGCCGTCAGAGTTCAACAAGACATAGACTGCAGAAGTTGGGAGGCTTTCCCAACAAAGAAATCTGGGGACTTTCTGTTGTTCGATACAAACATGACTGCTAGCAGTGGTATGACCGGGAAGGCTAGAAAGTCTAAGCATAATCGACATCAAAATCTTGTGGAGGTGCGCGACTCAGCAAGACTCGCTGTCTGGGTGCACGACTACACCTTCGACTCTTCCACCAAAACCACTGCCACGATCATCTTTGCAGCGCTGAACGGAACCATAGATGGGGGCAAAACAACTTTCGACATGCCAGACAAGGCTAGTGTAGTCAATGTCTCAAGTGTCGCGTGCAGCATTGCTGTCGAGTTGGTTGAAGACACGCTCGTAGTTGGCGACAGTCATATGACACCCGTCCAGATCAACACCTTGGACAAGTTAAGACTGCCTCTATCAGTAGACGAGCCCAATCGCTTCAACGAACTCGCCTTGTGGTTTGCGGTCGCCCCGGTCGCAAACGGAGCGACAGCATATGGGGCACAGCCGTTGTATCAATACAAGAAAGACTGGATTCCAGAACGCTTCACTACGACAACGGGCGGAGAAAATAACGATGACTGGACGACTGAATACATAGAAAATTTTGTCAGAATATCTATCGGCGCGGCTTTGCTCGGCGAAGTTACCAAATGGCCCTGGCCGGTAGAGAACCCCGTCAAGATTCCGTTCACCTCGAGAGTATTCGTCAGTAAAATGGACCCCAGGTTCCCTATATCTTTTTTGATCCCGCCGTGGATCATCATCCTGGCTGGTGCATTGTTGATGGGATGGAATGTTAAGATGCATCGGAACATGGTGATCCCGATTATGCGTACCGCCACCTTGAGTGAGGTGCTCAAAAGCAGTCAGACAACACATGTGCTTTCATTAGCAGCACTAGATAGGTCGGATCCGACGACGACATCGAGAATGGATACGCTCAAGGTGCAATTCAAGAAAGGCGACGATGGTGTTTGGGGATTGCACGACCCGAAGGCTTCGAAGGAGTATAGCGGCTTCGATTAAAACAGGATACACGTAAGATCCATATAGTGTAGTGACAGTCTGTCTGTTATCATTCAAATTTAGCACTACAATGTTTCGTGTCACTGACGTAGTGGTTAATCCGAGATGGCAACTCTGATACTGAGAAGGTCTTTGGCGACAGGCTACACACAATGGAAGAAACCGGCTCAGTAGATCATAATTTCACTACGCATGCAAGCTTCCTATCCAGGAAGTACTCAGTCCTTGTAAAGCATACGGTTTCATCTAAACCCCGTTCTTAGTGTCTCGTTCCCTGCTAGCGAGTGATATGCAGTATGCGCGCTGCGAACCACAGCTCCTGGTTTAGTCTGCTTATATCTCGAGGATTTCTACCCCAGCGGTTTTCTAATATTTGCGAGAATACCTGTCTTGATGACTTTATCTAATAGTGGCAAAAAGCCAACATGCGTGACATTCTGCAGTAAATGAGATTTAGACCTAGCACTCAGATCCCTTGTATGGGTACACGCCAGGATATTCGAGGACGTTGTAAGGCGTGCTCTGCAAGATCTCAACCAGGAGAGGTAGGGCTGAGCATGTTCTAAGGGCCAGAAGTTGCTCGTTCAACTGTAAAATACGCTCTAGTTATTTAGGTTTAACTCTTGTGCGAAGATCTTCAACTTGCGTTGGTAAAATTGCCTGATTGCAAGTATCGTTGCTTGGAGTCAAGACATCGCACGAGCCCTGAATCAAATCAACTGATTGCCCAACGGCCTAAATGATCAACGCGCTGGCCTCACCGACTTGTTAGCAAGCTCCGGATTCTCCCATGTCAAAACTACGGTGTACTAGATATGTCTCAGCTGACACAAAAGTATTGCGTATCGTGTCTATCATTATTTTGTTGTTTGAACACGGATTTATCTCAAGCAGTCGTTGCGAGTTGCTATTGGATATCCAGGCGGATTTCCCCGGATTTTCGATACGCAGTGCTTGGGCCATGAGAAAGTCGGCTTGACTACCCGGCAACAGGCAAGTACATGACTGAGGCTATGAGAAAGTCGGCTTCGTTATCCGGTGACGGGCAGGGACATGACTGAGGCCATGGTGAGGCCGACAAAGTTCGAGCAGTGGTGATCGGAATAAAACTCAAATGTAGATCTGGGGAAGATGGTGAGAGGTAAGGATCGTTTGGACGTAGTATATGTCTTGTTTCGTGCGTGTAATTGTTACACTGTGCACAACGATGCTGAGGTTGGAGCAAGGGGAATGTAGTTATGCATATGAATGCGTTGTACAGGGTGTCTCGCCGCCTTGCTATGAGAGGTGGAGGTAAAATACTCTTCCTGGTACCATGGTGTAACGATGAATTGTAATACCTCGAGGGTCATAGTAGCAATACGGATGCAATGGAGATGATCAATGGTAGTATACTCTAGGGTCAGTAGATACCCATATACTAGTATCAAGAGCGGAGACAGGTAAACTGATCTTCGCATGCTAATTGGTTAGATCAAAGTCGGCGAACACAAACTTTATTAGGCCTTTCGAGCACATGACCAGCCAGATGGGTTATTGCGTTAGCACTCGCTTGGATCGTCGGGTCGATCGCGCCGATTTCAACCGTCGTTCAATGCCTCTTCCTGGGCCTCGTGTTCATCCTAACCTCCCGCGTCTGGGCTCTCTCAACTCGGTATTTTATGTGCTGGGTACGGCAGTGCTTTGCACGGGTCAAAATAGTTAGTCAAGCGGCCGCGTGTCTTGAAGGCCTTCTGGGTGTCGGTTGTAAGTATCCGCGGTTGATGCAATAGTTTCTGGATGAAGCGATGCACCAAAGATGGGCGAGACGCATCACATGTTTGGTGAAAGACGGACACTGCCAATAGCGCAGCGCTGGAAGGTGGTCTTTCTCGAGCATGAGTTCTGAGGGCCAGGATGTAGCAATACGCTCCATCGTGTAGGCGATCATCATCCCTGCGAATTTCGACGGTTGTTCGAATCTTGCGTCCACCAGTCATGCCACGGGATCCCCTGGCACCAGCAATTCGGAGTCGAGCGCCACGTTGCCGCTAGCCGAAGTGTCGGAAGCCGCTTTCCTCCAATCTGGACGGAGTATTGCTAGCTATGCAACACACGGCTCAAGAACGCCACGATGGAAAACTTCGATTCAGGAGCTAGATGCATGTCATCTAGAGCCGACGCTACAAGATGAACTCGGACGTTGAGCGCCACTTGCATACCCGATGATGATGTGAACGCTGATCGTGCATTGCCAGGAGCTTGTGCTTTGTTCAAATAAAGTCGCTCTGAATCATGCTGGAAAGTGATCGACATGGAGACGGGGGATTCGAGGGTCCACGGTATCGCGCAATATCATGATTTTCCTGCGCGTCACCGCATCCGCTGGCACGTGGCGCACGGACACCACGCCGAACTCTCTCCGAGGGCCGAAGGGGGGTGGAGAGAGGAGGGAGGGGAAGTGGAAGATGGAAGATGTCCCTCGCCGAATTGTGCCAAACATTACTATAGCAATGAATTGGCCTTCCTCAAGCGAAAAGAGGTACATGGTGATATAGCAGCCCCCCGCGGGCTGTCACCTCAGCTTGGATTAGCTTGTCATCCGTCTTCCGTCTGCTGCCGCGAAATCTCACGAGGTAGGGCGTGTTGAAACTTAGGGCACCTTAACCATAACAAGCGTGGGCTTAATCCCGACGACTAGCATGTAGCGTCCCATGAAACTGGTGCTATAGCTGCACGGAGCCGTCCAATGTCACTGTTGCTCCCAACTTGAGTCAGTTGCATATAGCCTCGACTGGAAGTTCCGCATGGGGACGGGCAGATCCCCTTCTTTAGCTGCAGCAGAAATATAAGGCAAGGTTCGGCCCTTTACCTCCTGTCGAACTCCTGCTCGCGAACGACAGTGCACATACCTATTATGTCGGCAACACTTCAGGACTTCCAACTCGCGGCCGCTGCCGCTGGGTTCACGATCGGGTTTGGGTTTCTTACCGTCTGGGAAGCATGGAAGCAGACACGGCGCAACCGTAATCCATTAAGATCTGTCTACATTTACATGCTCTGGGGAGAAATCGCGGCAAACGTCATCATTGGTATCATCGGCTGGCTGTTTCTCAATGGTAGACTGGGTCCTACGTGAGTAATTTGTCTCTTCGCACGCTATGAACTTGGTTTAACGGATTCATGCAGTGTTCCGGTGTTGTTCTTCATTCTCTTGCTATGGGTATTCGAAATACAGCTCCTCATGCAAATTATCATCAATCGAATCGCTCTCATCGCCGAGCACCGAAGCACTGTCTCGCGTCTCAAGTGGGGTACAGTGGTCCTCATCACTACTATCAACATTGCTGTTTTCTGTATTTGGATTCCTGCACACACAGTTCCACCCATCAGCAACACTTTCGTTCTCATCAACAACGTCTGGGATAAGATCTCCAAAGTTTTAATTCTCATTGTCGATGCTGGCCTCAACTGGTACTTCCTGCATACTGTCAAGATCAGACTACTACAGCAAAACGGCTTGACGAAATATCAACCTCTCATTAGCTTCAATGCAAAGCTGATGATTGTCTCCATTGGCATGGACGTAAGTTGACAATCTGACCTGTTATCTTGCAGTTCATTAACACTCTCAGGCTCTGCTCATTGGCCTCATGTTCCTCAGAAACCCAGTCGTATACATTCAATTCCACCCCGTCGTGTATATGGTCAAACTCAATATCGAAATGTCCATGGCCTCCCTCATCGTCCGCCTCGCGCAAGGAAAGACCGAAAATGATATGGACCCCGAGGCGTTCCACAGTTCCAGCGGCCCCGCAACGTCGCATGCCGACAAGCTCTCAAGAAAAGGCCGCCCTAAAGCAGAACAGTTGCAATCCTTCAAACTGACATCAAAAGGCTTGAAGAGCAATAATGCGCATAGCCGAAACGACAGCGACGAGGGCCGTGGTGAAATTCACTGCCGAACGGATCTGAACGTTGTCTCTGAGCGAATCGATATGGCCAAGGTTGATACGGAGGCTAGCAGCTCGAGAAGCTCACGCGAGACACCACGCTCGATGTTTGGGGACGAGACGCCGTTGCACAAATACAATGCAACAATACACGCAAGAGAGTTATAGTCATTTCATTTGTTAACATGTATATAGTGAGTGAGTTTACACTCTTAATGATATAATACTTCAAATTCCTCTTGCCATGTGAGGCTACAATGCGAGCAAAAGGTTAAACGCGCTGACCTAACTTTCAAACTTACCAGTGCGTCTGTGGATCTTTGAATTGTACGCCTCCCTTCTATCATACACGACCTCATGTTTGCCCCTAATCTTTGTCAATTCAACCCTGTATTAATGGCGCATGCAGAGATAACAGGATCAACAACGTCCGGGTTGTCAGTCATGTTGCATTGATTACACGAGACATGCAGGGAAATCCAGGATGTCTGCGGAGTTGACTTAACGCAAAACCTGTTTGATCGATCCCAGGTTGATGGAGCTTACGTAACTGCGAAGAAAGTCTTCACAGTATTCAGCTTTGTCCATGATAATGTAAGCGAACACATGCGTCGCCATCAGCCGAGGTGAGCATCCAGTTTCTGGAGGTCTCCGTCATTGTCTCCACCCTTCAGGGGCTTCTTCTTTCAGGTCCCCGTTTCGCCTAATCCTCATCATTACTTGATGCCTATTACACGTCTCCTAGTTTGGGCGATCCAGCCGAGAACCCGGATCTGACTCGCTTCACGACCTTATCTCCCATAGCCGACTCCCCATAGAAATTGCAGTTGCTACGTCCATCAAACAAGTCGCGCTGCATTTTGCATATGGACTGCTGGAGACTGTTGCAACATGCAGGCAGTTCAACGAATACACACTTATTAAGACGATTTCCACAAGGCAGCCATGATCTATAGTCTTCGGAGGTAGACTTCCTAGCTACATAATCCGTAACACGCCTATGCCAGGGAAATTGTACATCAATCGTCGTATATCAATTGTCGTACATCAATTGTCTGAGGGGTGGATAATTTCGATCCTGAGACGCGGATGTACACTGTTCCTTTTGATTGCGTCCACTAGATTGGTTTCCCAGCATAGTCCTGTCGAGGGCGTGAACATGTAGTGGATTTTGCAGTTGCATCCGAAGTCCCCACTCTGAGGTGCAACGATGTCCAGATCGTCCACGTTTAGCTGCATGAATGCCATCCGTACGCACACGCCCTCGGCTGTGGAGGCGAACGGGACAGGTTCCCATTGCAACGGTCCATGTTCTAGCCATAGCGTGCGCGCGTCTTCAGATGAGCTTGCTGGGAGTGGCGTCGGTCTAGGTTCCTGTGCGCATGGCAGTCGCTCAGGCGAAGGCGCAAGCCACATAAGTCTATGAGCTAACTCGATCGAGGCTAAAATCACCTAGCTCATTATCTTCTAGGTCGAGATGTGGTATATGTGGATCGTCTTCTACCTTATTGGTTCTCGTAGCGAGTGAGTAATGCGCCATCGATTTTGTCATTTGTAATGTTCACACATTGGTGCAGTTTGACCTGTGATGTGATTGCGTACTTTAACCGTGCACTGTAAGTACTAGCTAACATTACAGCGTTATCCCTCCAGGCGATCGCATAATATACCCACTCCAGTAATATTCCCGCTTTTCCTAGGAAAAGTGGGATAGTTCATATGCCGTTTTCGGAAGTGTTGAACTATAAACATCACTCCTTGTAACGCTGTTTGATCGATTTGGCTACTATTTTTCGTGCCTGAGCACCAGTAGTGGATCATATGGTATGAACACGATTTCTAAGCATGGCTAGTTTGAGCGTACCGATTTACGATAGAAGCTGGTCTGGCGACCGTCTCAACAGACATGAGGGCGATCTGAATGTTGTAATGTCGTATCCGCTGATGAGTCCATTGTTTGGTATTGCGGGCATTTAAAGCAAGCCTTGATAAAAAAATGTTACTAGACCCCTCAAAGGTCACAATCAACTCGACACAAAATATTATTAGTTCTCTGCAACCTGTAGAGGCTACTTACTCCGCTGCCCAGACCGTTAATATATTAGGAGACCCCAGATCAAGAGACTCGCTAGTATCCATGTATGTCCTAGACACTAAATCGATGGTGGCAAAATACAATGTTCGTGAACTCGACGTGTCGGCTACAAGATAGAAATAGTGTTTACAACACACCCTTCCACGAGTCAGAATATGCCTACTTTGACGCAACTCACGACTCTGTTGAGAACGTTAAGCTCATCGAATTTTAACACCACACTTCGACCTTCAGCGCTATCGGATCGGTGTCAGCAAGGTCGAAGGAGAGCGCGTACGCCCACCAAAAGATTCGAGTATGTCCATATGTGCCCCGCAGCTTTCCCATGCGTCAAAGCCTTACATAATACTGTGCATAGTATTTGTAGAGCGACACTTAGCCCGGCACAGAGAGGCATAGACGAAGCGAGAAGAGCCATGTATGGTCGAGAAAACGATACAAGACAAGATTCGGTATGACAATATGAAAAGCTTGCGATGATATCGAGTGAGCTGTGGATGCAGGTTTCATGATATGCTCGTAGATTAAGACAGGAGGAGGTAGTCGACTGGTCGACGTGGAGTGTAGAGGGTCGAAACAAGTGTGTTGATGTATGGGGGAGTGCTTAGGTACTCGTCAAGGGCGGGTGGTGATGAGGGAAAATCCAGCTTTGCACGACTGTTCGTTTGAAGTCTTGACTCTATTGTATGTCTTCCCATGGTCACAGATTGGGGAAATGGAAAGACGCTAATGTCTTTCGAAGCATATGAAACATGCCAAGAGAGGCTAGTCTCTGACTAGATGACTAAGTCGTATAAGCTACGTGTTTCGTGATGGGGCTCTCTGTTCCAAACCGAACGTGGCAAGATACATCGATGAACACACTTCTCTTTTCCCCGCTTCTACAAAGCCTATCTTATAGTCCTTTTGCCACTAACCCTTACAAAGTTGAGGGCACAGTTGTCACAACATGGTGTTCGGCCGACGCTGCCCCGAAAGAAGATTGCCCAGCAACGGAAAAACTCCTTGATTTAGATCAACACCGTTCCATTCCCCGCAAATTCTCCACTTCTGGAGGGCTTGGTATCACGTTCTTGGGATGCATTCTTGCGTTATACGGAAATTTGATGTCGAAATACGCCCTTTCCTTGACGCAATGAGATGGGAGCCGGACAGGCGGATTCTGGACGCAGGTACAAATTGGAAGACTTCAGGCCTGCGGGAGAGCAAGTCAAGCCTGAACTTTGGCTGACCCCTTCCGCTCTTTTCTGCCAATATGTTGAAGACTGCTATCAGTCTGTTAGGTTTACTCGGCTCTGCTGCTGCGCAGAGCGACTCCGTCAAGGTCAAATGGCTTGAAGGAACACCTGAATATCTTAGTGGGGTGACTTTCGGTCTTCCATGGGCCCGTGGACAACATCTCGCCAATGCCACTACCTTCACGGCTTCCGGCGACGCGCAACTCCAATCATGGGTCACTGCGTACTGGCCTGACGGCTCGCTCAAGTGGACTGGACATGCCATCGCGGCGACCGACTTACCCGCCGACGAGTACACTATCACTGCTTCTGGACCTGGGAATTCGACATCGTCACGCCTGAGACGGCAGAGTGGCAGCATCCAGGTCAGCGACTCTGGTGATGTGATCGTGGTCGATACTGGCAAGGTCACTGCTAGCTTTCCTAAATCAGGGAGTGTCCTGGTATCCTCTATAGAGACAGGTGGAAAGACGGTTGGGAAGAATGGCCGTTTAGTCTTGAGGTCTCAAAATGGTACTCCGGACGACGACGAAAACGGCATACCATCTGGCATCGACTACTTCAGCTTCTCCAGCAAGATTGACAATGTCACAGTGTCTGAAGACAACACCGCGCGTGCACTCGTCACCGTAAAAGGAGTGCATTCAGCTGACGGAGATGGTGCACATGATGATTGGCTTCCCTTTGTGGTTCGTTTCTACCTATACGCGAACTCTGAAGCAATTCGCATCATTCATACGATCATCTACGATGGAGATATGAAAACAGACTTCATATCTGGTCTCGGCGTTCGTTTCGACGTCCCACTTGCTGGGGAGGAACAATACAACCGTCACGTGCGCATTGCTGGCGTGGACGGCGGACTGCTACACGAGGCTGTGCAGAGTATTACGGGACTTCGACGAGACCCTGGTACAGCTGTTAAGCAAGCCCAATTCAATGGTTCCGCGACTCCAAACGAAACTACATGGGACACGCGAGTGACGACTCGCACTCAATGGATTCCCACTTGGAGTGACTATCAACTTACTCAATTATCTCCTGACGGCTTCAATCTCCGAAAACGTACCAAAGCTGGTCAGAGTTGGATCAAGATTCCTGGAGGCACGCGTTCAGGTGGCTTGGCTTACTTAGGAGGAGCTACTGTTGGTGGGATGGCACTTGGCCTGCGCGATTTCTGGAAGAAGTATCCTACCAGCCTGGACATATCCAATGCTGCGACCGATGAAGGGTCTATCACTTTGTGGCTCTACAGCCCCCAGGCTGGACCCCTAGACGTTCGTCCATATCACGATGGACTCGGTCAGGACACATATGCGAAGCAACTAGACGCTCTCGAGATTACTTACGAAGATTGGGAGAGTGGATACGATACGCCATATGGCGTTGGTCGCACGAATGAGCTCTACCTGTATGCATTTGCTAGCACGCCTCCCGCAGAAACCCTCGCAACTCTCACCAACAACACCAACAACCCGCCAGTCCTCATTCCAGAGCCTGAGTATATCCGCGACACCAAAGCCATCGGATCATACTGGGATGTTCCTGGTTCTCCCACTAACTCGGTCCAATCGCAGACCATCGAATCACATATGGAATTTCTGATCGAATTCTATACGAAGCAGGTCGAGCAACGCCGATGGTACGGCTTCTGGGACCATGGCGACATCATGCACACTTACGATGATGACCGACACCAATGGCGATACGATATCGGCGGTTACGCCTGGGACAACTCTGAGCTTTCTCCCGATCTCTTTTTCTGGGGCCACTTCCTCCGCACTGGCAGTGCAGACGCGTATCATCTCGCTCACGATCAGTCGCGACATGGTAGTGAGGTCGATTCGTACCATCTGGGCAATTTCACGGGACTTGGTACGCGACATGGTGTTCAGCATTGGTCTGACAGTGCTAAACAAGCTCGTATCTCAACGCCGGTCTACAGGAAGACGCATTTCTACATCTCTGGTGGCGACGAGCGAATAGGGGATATTATCCACGACACGCTTCAGGTTGACAAGGCTTGGGTGATTGTCGACGCCCGCCGTAAGGTCCGGGCTGCTGATGTCGCGTACACTCCTGATCCCGAGGCCCTTTACCTAAACTTTGGCACCGACTGGGCTGGTCTTGCACAAGCTTACCTCATCGAGTGGGAGCGTCGCGGTCCCCGGTGGGAGGAGGCTCGCGAAAAGCTCATTCAGGCATTGGTCACGTACCCCAAGCTGAAGAACGGCTTCGTTACCGGCGAAGCGCTGTACAACTCGCTGACTGGAGCATGGTCACCACCGCCTACCGACCCAAACAATAATGGGAACATCACTGTCTCGCATCTTTCAGGTGTCTTCGGCGTCCTGGAGACCATCGATCAGCTACTTGAGCATTTTGGTTCTTCCGCACCCAACACCACCCAGCCTTTCCTTGATGCGTTCCTGGATTACTGCTACTACTATGGCGCACCAGCCGCTGAGCAAGCTGCACGCTACGGCAACAGCTTCGGCACTCTTAACCTCAAACAGGGCCACTCGCGATTCACGGCTTACGTTGCCAACAGGCGAAACAACGCGACACTTGTGCCGCGAGTATGGAGTGAGTATTTGGGTGATGGAAGCAAGGACGGCCTCTCGCCGAACGCGACTTGGACTACCGTAAGAATCGGCGGGAGCGACGTGCTCATTCCTGTCGATGAGGCTACGTGGGTTAGTACAAATGCGGCGGCGTTGTATGGTGTAGCTGGTATCGAGAATCTGGCGCTCGTTGGGGCACCGGGTGTATCGGCTATCGGTGGAAATGGAACGGCGAAGAGGCACATTTGAGTGCCGCCCATTACGCTCAGTGCTGCGATATTTAAGTTGAAGAGGATATGCATAATGTGTAAGCTGTATTGTGGGTCGATGAATATTCAAGACGTCACATCCGAATATGCGGACGAACGCTTTCGCATATGTTGGCTTATGGTCTATGTTTGTTCTGGCCAACTTGTCCGAGTAATCTCTCTCGTCCTCGTACTTCGTCTTGTCAATTCCAAAGCCATATAGTCCAGGAACAACAGCAATACTCTGGTGCTCTCCATGCCATACCATTTGCCAGTCTTCCATATTTCTCAATACAATATGTCCACTACAGTCTGCTCAAAGATGTGTGGTCTTATTTCGTTCTCGAGTTTTTACACAGACACCGTCCCAGTTTCCATCTCCCCTATTGACTTCATCGTTCTCTTTCCCTCCTTCTTTTGCCTTCTCTCCTCTAGCTTCGCTTTCACAGCACCCCTGACACCCGAACAACACATTGCCGACGCAAATATTGCACTTCCCCCCCATAACAACGCGTTGGCAAGGTTGCACCAAACAGCCCTCCTCATACGTCCCATATTCACACCTTGATAGCGTTCATCAACCCCAGTTGCCAGATACGCTTCGTAAAATACGCCGAAGAGAGCAATCCAAAAGATCGTCAGTACCCACTCGACCATCCAAGAGAAGCGATAGTATCGGACTGTCAGACCATAGATGATCAGGGTGATGAGCGTGCTACCGAATACGACTTGGGCGAATACGAAGCTTGACGTAGACGAGACGCTACCGTGTGCAAGCTCGATGGCATAAGAGATTCCAGACGCGAATGCGAAAATAAGTTGAAGAAGTCGAACGCTGAGTTGAAACAGTGAGACGAGAGGATTGTCAAGCTTTTGGTTGACGGTAGACTTGAAGGAGCTGGGCTTTATGAAATGCTGTTTAACGTAGGGTGGAGGTGGCATGACAGGCGGAGTGTGACGAGATGCAGTTGGTCCAGTATCGGTAAAGGTCGTTTTGCCCATTGTTGTTGCCGTTTCGAAATTTTGCTATTGAATGAGTGGTGAGAAAGTCGTTCGATGTAGGTCTGAAGGCGACGGCGGTGTGAAGGTCGTTTATGTATTTGCCCAGACATGAATGCCAAAACCGCCGAGGCCGAACATGTCCAGAAATAGTACCTACGCTATTCACAGTATCCAATGTGAGCTCATCAATACTGAAGAAGGTGGACTACCAAGTTTGGAAAGAGGATACTGGATACGAGAAGAGAGAGAATACGAGACGAAAGAGGATATGGAAAAAAGGGTGACACGTGACCTTATCAGTCAGCTTGTCTGGAGAAAACCCAAGGGAGATTGTCATCTTCGTATTTCCCTGTAACAGGAATATCAGAGCCGAAACATTACTCAAATTTTGACATGAGATTACCGTTACGACCGTTCACGGAAGTTATGTTTATCTACCATAACCTGATTCAGCCCTATACTACGTGAACTTAACTATGACTCGTGCACTCGAAAATGACACATACTTACCAGCGTGTTCCTCGTTGTTACGGTGTGAGCTTCCGAGCGACGATGTATGAGGACAAGAACGACGCTAGTTCCTAGCAAAACTAAGGTTGTCAACGCGCGTCCATCTCTCCTCCCATTTTGGACGCGACGGCTTGTACCACGCACGCGCTGCATCAACGCTTCCCTCGGCACGCTTGTTAACTTCATTGACGCCATGCAGCACAACTCGCCGCTATCTGAGACCTTGCCAGTTTCTCGAGGGTCGATTACAGCCTCGCCTTCCGCCAATGAACATGATCGCCATATCGGCACTACTGCTGGAAGGATAACGCGAAAATCGCACCGCAAATCGCGTGCAGGCTGCAAGAATTGCAAGACCCGTCGGATCAAGGTGTGTAGCCACGACATGCCATTCCGATTAAGTCGAGTTTCGGTTCTTAGCAACCAGCGCATCTCAAAGCATGCTCATATGCAAGACTCTTCAAGACGTTGGAGACTACAGAAACTCTCTTGCTGGTACTTTTTGACTACCTTGTTTTCGGTGAAATAGATGAAGCAGACGGATTGTGACCTGGAACTAAACTTTGAACAGTGCGATGAGACGAAGCCTCAGTGCGCGAATTGTAAACGGCGGGGGGTTCACTGCGATCTTACTTTGCGAACCACGGCCACATCTCCTCATCCAGAACGCGATGACAAAACCAGCGCTGTAGACTTGCCGATGTCTGAGATCGAGCTGACTTACCACTGGACTACCTCAACATGCCACTCTATCTCAGCTTGGTCTGAAGGTGCGACAACTTGGCAGGCGCTCATGGCCGATATGGGGTTTGATCATCCATATGTAATGCATCTACTGTTCGCGCTTACAGCTCTCCACCTCGCATTCTGCCGTCCATCTCGGAAAGAATTATACACTACAACTGCGGACTATCACTACGAACGTGCGTTGGCATTGGTTACGCCAGAGATAGCAAGCATCAATGCAAGCAACTGCGATGCCGTCCTAATATCGGTTCAGACAATCTGCTTCATCAGCTGGGCTCGTGGGCCTCAACCCGGAGAGTATCTCGCATTTGGCCAAAATGGTCGATCTGATTGGCTTGTAATGTTTCGCGGCATTAGAACTACACTTGAGAGTCTTGGAAGAGATCAATTCGTTAGGAGCCATGTTCCAGCGTTACGATATAAAGGCCGCCCCCTGTCAGTACAGGATGCGCCAGCGGCATATGAGAAGCAACTCGACGAACTCCATGGTCACATATCAGCTATTTCGAAAGACACTCCTGAGAGCGAAGACAACATTAGTGCTGTTGAAATCCTTCGCTCATGTTATGAAAATCGCTATCAAGGCATAGATGGAGAGTACCACATTGCATTTGCATGGCTTTTTCGTATGAAGGACGACTTTCTGGATCGACTTCAGCAACGTGATCCGACTCCTCTTCTCATCTACGCGCACTTTGTCGTGTTGATGCACGATATGGAGCGTTTCTGGTACATGAAGGGCTGGACACATCATGTCATGGGTGGAATATTTGAAGCCCTTGCCGTGGAGCATAGAATGTGGATCAGGTGGCCGATGGCAATGATTGGGTGGATCGCCCCCTGATATGGACCTTGACAGCATATGTTCATTGAAGAAGCAAATACTCGTGATTACCAGTTTGGTGAATCCCCACTCTGTGAAGCTTACGCCTGCCGGTTCTTGGTCACGCTTGGAGTTTTCGATAGGCCATGTTGAAGTTGTACTCGTGTCATCTGTGAGTTGGACATCTAAATTTGCATCAGCAGTGAAAATGGATGACGTTTACCAAGTTGATGAGTGGACGGTACGAAGTTGCAGGCTGTGGCGCGTTATATTCGTTTTAGCATAGTATGGACTCCATACGGTGGCCGGAACAATCAAATTTCAACAACGCAAAGGTAAAGTAACCAGTCCCAAGCTATGTAGAAGTAGCAGTAGGGGTTCAGCGCAAGACTCGAGGCAGGGTGCTGAGTGAAGGTGGGCATGTTTGGAAGTAGGCTGAGAACAGCGTTTGCCGTCACATGCTAGTTTACAAAAGCCAATTGTAGCGTGCCATTACAGAGTAACATAGTGCTTGTAAAGCTTTTATTGTTGAGGGTTTAAACTAGAAGTACACGTTCTTTACATCTAATGGGTTTAACCAACCACTTCACTGAATGCTCTTCGGCAATTCCCCAGATCTCTGTGAGGCCTTGGTGAATATCAAACTCCTCAGTGAGCTTCTTGGTTTGATCGAAATCAACCCAATGTTCAGCTAGCTCAATGAATTTGGCATTCACAAACAGGTCCAGGTTGCTTAGGGTGCTGTCACCCTTTCTAGATTTCGTCGACATCCTCTGTCCGGATCGGGTGCTTGGAGTCGTGTGCGTTGACGAAGCTAATGACTTTCGCAAAACCGCTGCGTGACCCCTTGAACGATTGTAAACATAAATGATGGTATCTTTGTTATCCTGACCATCAGGTTGGATCTATAACTAATACACCATATCTGCGACTCTTCTCGCAAAATTTCACACCCCTAGGACTAGAACTTCGCCCTCTCTGCAATAAGATGCATTCCCAGCAGGGAAAGCCTCCAAGGAGTATATATGCTTCGGTGTGGTTGTAAACGGCAGCGGGTGATTGTTAACCGGACGGAGGTGAACCAACACAATGCCCTGACACATACGTAGAAGCTAGAGTATCACTAACAAGTACTTACGCGGTTAGCTATGCAACTGGGTACGTGAAAGGCAAAACTCTTACCACTTTTTGCAGAAGCGAGGTCAACAAGTTATGAATTGTTATGATCCGGCGCCCCGATCACATATGTGGGATGCCCCATGTCGTCGGCCGAAAGCATCAGTCGAGGATCAAGAGTAGCATTACATTTCTCGTTGTTGAGTGAGGACACGTATGGAGTCGACGGCAAGGTATGATAACCAGAGGATGGGCTTTGAGCTGGTGTGATGTGGTCGAGTGATAACCTGTTCTGAGGTCGTGTCCCATAAGTGCTTAATTTCGGTAGTGCTGGACGATGATGGCAGTGCACAACTTTATGAACCAAGTTAGCTGACTTGTGCTGTTCATCCCACGGAGTCACTTACCAGAAGCGTCCCTAAGCGCACTACCAAAGCTGTGCCGCAAGCCATATAGTGCACGATCCAACACTTGCTTGTTGATTTGGTGATCCAAGCGAGCAAGCGAAAAAATAAACGCTAAACTGTCATTCTTCACAATCGGCGCCTTGTCGAAAGCTTCTTCGAGGGCCTTCATAAGCGTATGTTCGTCGATGCCCAGATCTGTAGCGAAGGAGGTGAGTGCTAGTTTGCTTTCGAAAGTCCCTGACATGACGACCTAGTTGAAGAAGACCGTCGTGTGAGTCATGCTGTAGTGTAGTGACACGAGCTTTCTTTGTTGGTTGAACGCTTGGCATCTTCTATGTTGATGACGTAGCAAGTGAAGGTAAATCTGTGAGCGTTGAGTCACTGTATACACCACATCAATGAAACGAAATTGAAGCAAAGCACGGACATATTCACAGGCAAAGATGGAAGATTGAAAGACGAATATTTATAGAAGAAGCCAAAAACACTACGATCCAAAAGTATAAACAAAACAACAAGCTGTCCAGAGCATGAACCAATTATGTACAACCCACTCTCAACACATACTGTGTACACTGCCTAGGACTTTCGAAGCTCATTTACAGAAACCTTGAAATATTCCAAGCTAGCCACACCCATCAGGGCAAGCTTAGCAAGAAGCACCACCGCTGGGGATGTTGGCGCAGGTGGAGCTCTTCTTGCCGCCGGTAAGGGCGTTACCGGACCAGGTCCAGTTGGAGCAAGCACCCTTTCCGCACAGAATGTAGACGTCAGTACCGCTGGAGGCGATGCTACCCTTGACGTTCTTGACGGTAAGGCCGGTGATGGGCACACCGGTGGTGGGGGATCCAGTGGGGCTGCCGTTCTCGTAATCCTGCTCGATGACAATGCCGTACTTGCTGATGTTGCTAAGGGTGATACCGCTGTATGTCACACCGGAAACCGAGCCAGTAGCGCCGTAGACGGTCTTGATGCGGACACCGTTGTCGGAGTTCTTGATGGTGGAGTCAGAGATAGTGACGTCCTTGACGACGTTGTCGGAGCGGCCGCCGACTGAACCGATGCTGAGACCGTGACCGCCGGAGCAGGTACCCTTGGTGAAGACGATGTTGGTACCGCTGTTGATAGCGAGGCAGTCATCCTGGTTCTTCACGTTCGCGCCGGTGATGGTGATGCCAGTGGAGCTACCGACATCGAAAGCATCGGTGTTGTGGCCACCGTTGGTGACGTCTCCGGCTGAGTTGTCAATGGTGATGCCACTCAGGGTAAGGTCGGTCGAGGAGTTAATGCTGAAGCCCTGAACAGGGGTGTTCTTGACGTTCAGGTTGCTGATCGAAGACTGCTTCATGGAGTGGGCGTAGAAGAACTTGGGCTTGGTCTTTCCACCGTTGGAACCCTTGCCGTCCCACCACTTAGCACCGTTGGCGTCGATGACATGGCCGGAGGCACCCTGAACGGTGATCTTGGTACCAGAGACCGAGATCAAGGGGCCCTCCCACTCCTTGTAGCCGAAGGAGGTAGTGCCAGAGAAGATGACAGTCGTTCCGCTGGTGAGCTTGGTAAGATCAAGAGTCGTTCCGGCTGGGACAGCGATGTTGCTGAGGGTGATGGTGCTGCAAGCAGCCTTGCCCTTGATGGCAGCGGCGGCGGTCGTGAAGGTGCAGCTGCTCGCACGAGCATCCAGGCTGGTGGGAACAGCAGACACGAGCGCACCGGCGCTGAGGATAAGGGATGCGAGATACATATTTGGTTTGGTGTTGAAAGAGTGTGGGTATGGACAAGAATTGAAGAAGTGAAGAAAAGAGTGAATGAATGAATGTAGTTGATGGCTTGATGAATATTATGAGATGGAGGAGCAAGAGGTCTTTATAGATCATCCCCCCGATGTCATGGGCCTGTCAAATCCCAGCTCAAACAGTGTTCTAGAGGGAATAGTGTGGATCTCATCGTTAAGCTTGTCGTTCTGGGCAAGGCTTGTGTGCACGTTAGATTGAAGGCGGCGCGGAAATTGAACTGTCCGAGCGCGGGTGGCTGTTCGGCGGGCGTGTTTGACAGATCAGCCACCAATTATCCGAGAAGTGGAGACGCCGTTCCTACGAGTGGTGTTGATACGCATAATGGGGATTCTATATCTTGACAGCGGGTTTGCACTCACCTGGTAGAGCACTAAACAGCCAAACGGATGCTTCAATTCACACAGACGCTCGGTCCGACAGTCAAGCTTTTGTCCAAGAAATAAGAAATTTCTTGTCTTACCTCAGAGCAAGGCTTGTTAATCTGCGCGAGTAAGTGTGAAACGAAACGAGCAGGGAGCCCCAGGTCCTGGTGTGTTGCACCACTTAGTGGCCCACGGCTTCCAGAAGCCGATCCCAAGTCCATGGATTGTATGATATTTTCCGATTGATGGAATTGCTGTGCCTGGATGCGCATGGCCTGTTGGTGATGCCATGTAGGAGAAGTGTGATGCAGTTGACGTTTAATCTACTCCAGATTGGGGATAGCTTGCCCGGCAAGCGGCTCAAGCAAAGCTAGTTGACCCACATCGCCTTGTCACAATGCATCAGGCAAAACAACCTCCCCCAAACTTGAAAGGATGCGTCTCGGAGTAATAAATTCGGCGATGAGCCCCGCCCCTAAAGTAAATGTCCTTGGTCGGCTATCTACAGAGGCCAGAACAATATGAGAATACGGGAATATGTCCGGGTGCTACAAAATCATATATCTTGATTGGCTGAATAACCGATCGACAATGGTTGATTGGCCGAATGGCTGACCGACTGTATTGCTTTGTTCCCACTTTGATCTGGGCCACAGCCTTTGTAACATGTCCACAGCTACGATCTCACAGCGTTTTATGTCTGTGCGTCCACATGGCTACAAACCGTACCACTTTCATCTACCGGTATCTCGGGCCCATAACACGATATGTCTACAGTATGTAATCAGGATGTTTCAGATCTCACATGTAGTAGAAATATCGCGCTCTGTCTTACATCGTTGTAACTTGCCATCCAACTGATACTCATCTAACGCACGGGCAGCGGAATTATTGGCCCCAGTAAAATTAGTTGAGGGCCCCTGTATGATAACATAGACATCGTCAACATGTGGCATAAGTAATGAAAAGCAAGTGTGAAGTACATTAAAACGATTCAAGACTCACGTGTAGCTAAAAGCTTCAATGACTGACAGGTACTTTTACGCATACTTGTCACCCTCCAAAGTTTAGGATAGTATAACAGAAAGGCAAAAGCCATGGACATCCATACATACTTTATAGTCGTTAATGCTCGATAAGACTATGTGAAGCTATCTAGATCATGCTACCCCAATGCGCTCGGCCTCCTAACTATAAATGGTCTGTTGGGTAAGCCATCGACAAACAATCCCCACGCCAACCAATTCCTCAGCAAGGCCTGTGCCATGAGGATGATCTCCCTTCTCACTCCGGCCAAATCCTGCTGCCTGACCTCCATGGTCATGATTGCACCCTGAACCGGCCTCACAAGATACCTAGCTAGCCAGTCCGCGCACCAAAACAGATACAAGCAGCGCGTGCGAAAGATCTGTAAATCAGCATCTTGGATCCATGGGTCAGGAACAACTTGAGCCTCCTTAGGTCCATCGAGTGCACTGCCAATTGCAGCCGCAAAGGACGCGATAGACGGTAGCAGAGACATGTCGTCGATGAAACCCGTACTGATTAACTCAAAGCAGCGCATTTCGATATGTGACGCTAGAGGTTTAAGCTGGCGTACTGGCACAAGATCGTTGTTTGTGAACGGACACTGTGTGATGATCTGTAAATACTGTGCCAGGCGTTGGAATATAATTTCTCTAGGGAGGTCACGGATGTACTTCCGTGCCCATTCTTGCTGCTCGGCTACGGGAACTTGGGGGAAGAGGTCTATACCGAGGTTCAGGTGGACGTCGCGGCGCGCTTTGAGGCATATCCTGTCTAGAAGACTAGAAGGCGAGTCGTAATTGCCAGAGATTGGTATGTCGTGCTCCAGATCAAGGATCTCGGGAGGAATGCAAGCGTGGTTTTCCTTCATGTAGGCATCGAACCGCTGTTCAAGGGAAGTCTTCGTGGGCGTTGGAGGGGGTGTTGGCGGCGAGATCGAGATATTGAGCGACAAGAGTTTCGAGAATATTGCACTCAAAGAGTTGGGATCGAAAAGCAACCGGTGGAAATGAGCATCATAGTCGTGTATTGGAAAGTTTGTGAGAAGTTGGGTTAGATTGAGATGGTCTTGTTTGACAGCATCTACAGAAATCATGTTGAGGTCATCGTTTGTGACAACGTTGACGTGAAAGTCTAAAGTTATGCTATTTCGTACAACTCCAGGATTCTGGCAGTCGTAGTACAACGCCGCAGACTGAGAGTTGTATATAACAGTCATCAGTGTCTCTTGTCCTAGGTGCCGGAGGGCTGCGAGTGGATGAGGTGTGGCATCGCCAGCAAGGAAGATATGGTGTGTGCCAGATGGACTGCTGGGCTTGCCATCACGAATCTCCCAAACTACGGTTATACGATGATGATCGAATGCATCACCAGAATCACCTTCCATATGGAAGGCCTGCACTCCTGTCGTTGCCGAGCCCTCCGGTGCTTTCCACTTGTGGGCATATGCAGCGTCAGCTACGATCGGCCCCCCCATTCGGTAGGCTATGAGCGCCACGAACAGCGGATGTAGCAACGCTTGATTGACGGATGCGTTTTGGAGGAGCTCGGTTTTGTAGGCAAGTGATGTATATCCGCTCAAACTGGACTCATTCATAACCTCCGCATACGCGCCTATCAAGGTATTTCCGTTCGGAGCGTCGTCCTGGGATTCTTCCGAATTTATTGCAACCGCTTTGTTAATTTCAAGGGTCTCTGCCATGTACACAAATCGGCGTACAAGCTGCAAGCCAGTATTGTCGTCGGTCGTAGCGGATCGCAAGGTATTGATGATCGTCTGACGATACTGTTGCACTCTCCTAGTAGCCTGTACATCCTTTAGTGTTTTGTGCAGAACACGCGTCTCATAGCGGCAAGCAACTCTATCTGTAACCAGTTTGCCTTGGTCGCAGGCAGGCACTGTGATGCCAGCGCGAAAAAGTTGCGATATCCCCATGTTTGGTATGTAGAGTCCTTAGTTGTGAAGATGATGTAGTAAAAGAGAATCCCTCCAGTGAGAGGGTAGACAATGAGCTTATGAAGACGGTGGTGGTAAACAAACTGTGAGAGAGATCCTCTTATCGCTGATTGTTCGCCTAGACGCGAAGGCTTGATGATCTCAAACCAATTGCTGAGCTTGAATGAAGGGTTGTTAAAGAGGTCAGCGCTAGGTGAAGGTGGGTTATCCTGATGTCGTTCTTTTGGTTGACGAAGAGAGTCAAATATCGGACCCGTAAAATCAAGGGCCTGCAGCTATTCTCAAATTCAACCACTCTCGCTGTGTTCATAAAGCTGTCTGTACAATTTTCGTTTGCTCAAGAGAAGCTCATCATAGTCTTGGAGACACCATAAAGAAGCCGAGTGTAGCTTGAACCTCGCATCACATACCTCTGAGGTAGACACATTCGAGAGTAATGCGGTGACTTTGCTGTGTGTGAAAGGGCAGAAGATGTTGTTTGTTTCATTGCTTTCTAAGTTTGTGTGTTTGATGGACACGAGACGACGATGGTGGAAAAGAAACAGGCAGAGAGGCTCTCGGTTGGCAGAAATACTAGAGACTAAGATGCAGCGAAATTTAAGAACAGCTTGACAACTGCTTTTACGATTAGTGTCGGGGACTTACACCTAAATCCCGAACAGTGTACGCCTAGCGTGCACTTTTGTGCAACTTATCAGTGTGGTTTGGCGGCTTGTATGAACCACAGAGAACGCGGTTTACGTCCCGTTTCTACACTAAACGAGAGCCCCCATAGATCATAAAACTTTGACCCGCTTGTAGCTCAGTCTCACGAGCTGTTGCGTCTTGTGGATTTCATTCCCTTCGAGGGCTCGGTGTCTGTGTCTGGAGACATTGTGCGCTTCAGACCAACCCGTGGAGTATCCCCCCGCCGGCTCGACGACGGCAGCTACCATATAGAAACAGCATTGCGGGGATCGCTCATAAGGTCGTGTTTGGTGGATACCACAAGCGTGTCTGTGATTCAGAGATATCGCTTCTTGGTGAAGTTCATCGCGGGTAAGCTGCAATCATGAGCTTGTTGTGGGTGAGTTCCGTCGGGTGGCTCTATCACAGGCTCGGTGGTAAACTTTGTCGCGAGGTATCGGCTAGTAAATTTACACATACAATATGTAAAGCTTAAGATACACATAAGGATACAAAATCTTTCAAGTTCAAGAAGTCAACTCGAAGCACACTTGGATGGTAATAGATAGTTTGGTTCCTGGCATATCGACCCCGCTTGATGGCGCCGGTCGATGACGTGTGACATTTATGAATTTCCCCTTACGGTGGCCGATACAAACCAACAGCGCACAGACCTCTCACTTCCCAAGAAAGCGACAGCACATCCCTGACACGGTCCCACAAGCATGAATGCCTTTTTCCCACGCCCATTCAATTACCTCAGAAGCTCTCTGATACCCTCGGTATCACACTCTTGGATCTCTGCGCGCTGCCCGAGTGCGACAAGAAGGATGAGCTCAGTAACACAATCACAACCCGTGCGACCTCGGCGGTTCGCCCCGCTGAACCCGGAGAAGAAGGTGCAGGGCGACGATCGACCGGTATTGAAAGGCATAGTTTTTGATGTTGATGGGACGTTGTGTAAGTATTTGGTCGCAGGTTGTGTAGTCGCCGGTCATCCCACGATCATCATCGTCCTCACAAGTTGTTCCCTTCTGACGTTTCATGCTAGGTTTACCACAAACTTACATGTTCCAAGAAATGAGGTAACAAACCATCGTCAATCAGACTCTAACGAAATAACGATTCTGAAAATTACTAGAGCGGCCTTGGGTATCACCAAAAGCGTAGACATCCTCGATCACATCTACTCGCTTCCGGCGGCCGAGCAGGAAGATGCCCAGGAAAAGATACGCGCCATCGAGCGCGCAGCAATGAAGAGTCAGAAGCCGCAAGCCGGGCTCGTCGAACTTATGGATTATCTGGATTCAAGAAACATCAAGAAAGGGATTTGTACGCGGAACTTCGATGCGCCAGTTGAGCACCTGCTTAATACGTTCCTTCCATCGTCCAAATTCCATCCCATCATTACCCGAGAGTTCAGACCGCCAAAACCCGATCCTGCCGGCATCTTGCACATTGCCAAAGATTGGATGCATGAAGATGGGAGCTTTTTAATTATGGTAGGTGACAGTGTAGACGACTGTACGGCTGGATATCGCGCGGGTGCAGCAACAGTGTTACTTGTTAATGATGTGAACAAGCACCTCGTCGAGCATCAGCATACGGATCTTGTCGTCAAGCAGCTTGACGACCTGATTGAAATTCTGGAGAACGGCTTTGAGGGGAGGGTTGAAGCGAATGTGTAAGACGCGGAAAGCAAAAGGCTGATAGAAGAGATTATTGCGTGCATCAACAATGCATCTTGTATGAAGGTATCGCGCGTGATAATTGCTCGATTTGTGTTCGCGCGTGTAACATCTTTTCATGCAAGCACACACATAGAAGCCCGCTGTATTTAATACACACACATGTATATTACTTCAATATACTGTGCATACTGCGGCTATCAGTTCGCAACGTGAAAATAAAGTGCGGCGTTAAGCCACAGGGCGCCTCTTGAGCCACCCATGACGTCCGACCGAGGCTCTTCCGCGCTATCGTCGCGATGCCCATTGAGCTTTCTCAAGCAATCTACACTCCCGCCACGCGTTTTCTCGACGTTTACACGATCTCTCATAGGTTGAACCTACATTACCTATCGTCCAATGTCACTCTAATCTCTGATCACTCACCTTCCTCATGCAGTGTAGATATGCGGTGTTCAAGCATGTCGCACGGCTCATGATGCTATGATCGTCCGTTTGTAACAGTGGCGTCAAACTGTGCTCTTGCCTTCTTCATTTGGAAAGCTTATTTCCCTTAGTATGCGACAGGCGTAAACAGGTCCCAGTATAAACTCTCATTTCGTCCCCTTCTTTGTTCGTTGTCGCTATTATCTTCCTTAGCGTCGCATCAATATCATTCGCTATGAGGTACGCTTTGTTTGCGGGCCTACTGGCCTTTGCCACAGTTGATTGCAGGTCGACGTCTCATGTCGATGTCGAGAACCTGCGCCGAGTACCTGAGGGTTGGAGTGAGGTTGGTGCTCCGGCACAGGACCGCAAGTTGCATTTCCGTATTGCTGTTCGCTCGGTGAGTTTCGGCTTCGGTTTCAATTGGCTTGATAACTAATTTTGTATGCAGCCGGACCAAGATTTATTTGAGAGGACACTCTTGGAGATCTCAACCCCTAGCCACCCGCGCTATGGCCAACACTTGAAGCGTAACGAGCTCAAGGATCTTATCAAACCACGAGCGGAGTCTACCGACGCCGTACTCGGATGGTTGGCACAATCCGGTATCGACGCTCGAGACATCGAGAACGATGGAGAGTGGATTAATTTCCACGCACCAGTTGAGAGAGCTGAATCAATGATGGGCACGACATTCAAGACGTATCAAAGCGAAGTGCGTCCGGGTCTCAAAAGAATACGTTCTTTGAGCTACGCAGTGCCCATGGAGATACGCGATCACATCGAAATGATACAGCCAACTACTCGCTTTGGCCAAATCAAAGCCGCGTACAGCCAAGTCCTATCCCACGAGGCAGTGCCTTTCTCCATCTCTGCAGTCAACGCTACCTGCAATTCGACCATTACGCCAACATGTCTTGCAGAGCTGTACAACTTCGCCGATTACAAAGTCAGCCCCAAGGGTAAAGTGACCTTGGGTGTGAATGGTTTCCTAGAGGAATACGCCCGCTTTGCCGACTTCGCTCAATTCGCAAAGTTGTATGCACCTCAGGCTGTCAACAGCACATTCTCTTGGACCTCTGTCAATGGGGGTGTTCTTGACCAGAACTCTACGAGCGACAGCGTGGAGGCCAATCTCGACATCCAGTACACGGCAGGTATTGTAGCACCAATCATCAAAACCAACTACTTCAGTACTCCCGGTCGCGGCGAACTGGTCCCAGATCTTGACCAACCCGACCAGAGTGAGAACGGAAACGAACCCTATTTGGATCTCTTTACATATCTGCTTGGGTTGCCAGATGCAGAGCTTCCACAAGTGCTTACCACGTCCTACGGCGAGGATGAACAAAGCGTCCCGCCTACATACGCCAAGTCCGTTTGCAACCTGATCGGTCAACTCGGTGCTCGCGGAGTATCTGTAATCTTCAGCAGCGGCGACACCGGCGTAGGATCAGCCTGCCAAACCAACGATCAAAATAAAACCACGCGATTTCTCCCAATCTTCCCCGCCGCATGCCCATACGTTACATCAGTCGGCGGCACCACGTATATCTCGCCCGAACGAGCGGTTGGTTTCTCCTCGGGAGGCTTCTCAGATCTCTGGCCGCGCCCGGCGTATCAAGATAAGGCTGTGCGCAAGTACCTCAAGAAGCTCGGCAGTCAGTGGGAGGGACTTTATAATCCTGCCGGTCGCGGCTTCCCCGACGTTGCTGCGCAGGGTCAGCGCTTCCGTGTAATTGACAAGGGTAGTCTGAGATCAGTGGCTGGTACCAGTGCCTCAGCGCCAGTTTTCGCTTCTGTGGTTGCATTGCTGAACAATGCTCGCCTTGCTGCAGGCAAGCCGGCACTAGGTTTCCTCAACCCGTGGATTTATGAGCATGGTTATAAAGGATTGAACGATATCGTTGATGGTGGCTCGTCGGGCTGCACGGGCAGGGACATTTACTCTGGATTACCAGCGCCCTTTGTGCCGTACGCTTCGTGGAATGCTACCAAGGGGTGGGATCCTGTTACTGGGTATGGCACACCAAATTTCGAGGAGCTGCTCAAGATCTCGCAAGGTGGTGGTTATGCTGGGCGACGTGGCTTGGACGGCAAGTTTTAATCTGTGGTGGATGTTTATAACATAGTCTTATCTACCTCTTGCTCGGTTGACAACTACGTGCGAAAAATCCGTGATTATTGTACGCCTTGAGTATAATTGGCATACGCTTACCAGTCAGCTAGCTTTGTAGTATTGGATTTTACAGTCTAGCTTTGTGATTTGGCTGAAAAGAACATGGCTTAACTTGAGGTATTTCTGTGTTATTTCGAAGCTGCTCAAGCTTGTTTCGCAACAATCATTTCGTTCCAATAATTCTTGATCATGGACTAGCCGCTCAATCCTCTGCGAATTTTGGTTCTCAAAAAAAACAAAATCAGTGAATGACGTAATCACTTCAACTCAAAATCGTACCTGCCTGACGCATGCTTACGAACTTAATCCCCGGAAATACAAACCCAAACCCTCGCCTCAAATCGTTACATCTTGCATCAATGTTCCACTGAACTCTCGCATGACGCTCCGACTCCCTAGCCCGTGGGTGCCTTACCGCCAGATGGTTCGATTCGCCGACGCCGCCTCAACATGCATTTCGAGCTTCCTCATCTGGTTAATGCATTACAGGTAGTGCGGCTTTATCTGCTATCAAGCATTGACCATTGCTCTCGGCCATGCTTGATCCTACGGCATAGTTCAAATCGGACACGAGGCGGGTGAAGAGCTAATTTCCACTGGAAGGATTCGAGTTGAGTGGGCGACATCTTGCCCTGTTTTCCACGCCGTGCGTGAGGCGATAGGCGAGGGGTATGATGGGGAGATACGACAGCTATCAGTCGGAATCGACAAAGCGGCTCTTTTAAGCAGTCCGCATCGCCCGTTAGCAGGGTACATGACTTGCCAGAGCTTAATGCCGGATGTGGCGAGGCTTGTTCCCCCGCTGTTTTCGATAAGTCGAACTGCATCCTATCGTTGCTTCGTGTTGATTGTTGCGCTCTCCTACGACGCGCGTATTGAGTTGAGGCTGTGTTCAAGTATCAAGCAATCCATGGCTGAAATAGTATTGAAATCCAGTATTCCCAACTGGTTGCCTGACAGGTGAATGGTCGGATCAAAGGCAAGAAACGATGCCTCCTGCCTAATTCGGTATCGAATGTCACGCCTGCGCCGTTCGGTTCAATGCAGGATTCCCGATAGGCATTTACAAGCGTCCGTGTTACGCGTTGGTAACTACACATTGAGGTGACGTCGATATCCGACAATAGTATATCAAGGCTCTTGTTCCCGAAAGTTAGCTCTGTGTCCGTCAAAGTCATCATGCAGTTGCTCTCCATCATTGCCCTTGGTGGCCTTACAGCCAGTGCCTCCGCACGAAGCGTTCAGGCCGTCGGAAAGAAGGCGTCCGACTTTCCCAGACCTCGATTTGGATTTCCGGAGCGCACAGTACAGCACCAGAAGCGCCAGGCGACATCTATCATCACGACTGATGCGTCGAAGAGTATGTTAATTCTGATTCCCACGAACATATCGATACGCAGAGCTGGTTATCATCGAGACATTTTGCGATCGTCGTCCAGAAATTGCTTAGTGTTTTGAATATATGCATAAGCTCTTTGCGCTAGATATAGTAACGTTTCAGAGTGTAACACATGCTGATCTCTTCCAGGCTTCACCGTCAATGGTACCGCTGGCGCAATTCCAGATGTCGACTTTGACATTGGCGAGTCCTACGCCGGTCTTCTCCCTATCAGCAGCAAGACAAACGAGACATCAGAGCTGTACTTCTGGTTCTTCCCATCCGAGAACGAGGACGCGAGTGATGAGATCACGATCTGGCTCAACGGTGGACCCGGGTGCTCTTCTCTGGAAGGGTTTCTACAAGAGAACGGCCCCATCTCATGGCAATACGGCAGCGGCCCAAAGCCTGTCCCAAACGACTGGACATGGAAAAATCTAACTAATATGGTTTGGGTAGAACAGCCTGTAGGGACGGGATTTACACAAGGAACCCCTACGGCGACCAGTCAAGAGGAGGTAGCGGAGCAATTCCTGGGATTCTTCAAGAACTTCGTCGATACTTTCGGTCTGAAGAACCGCAAGGTCTATATCACCGGCGAATCTTATGCGGGACGATATGTGCCGTACATTGCGGACGCCATGTTGAGCAAGAACGACACGGAGTACTACAACGCCAAGGGAATTATGTTCTACGACCCCAGCGTGGCTGAGGATGCGCTACTTGAAGACATCCCAGCTGCTGGTTTCCTAGACAAATGGGCTGGGCTCTTCAACTTGAACGAGTCTTTCACGGAGGATATCCACAAGCGTGCCGCTGAGTGCGGATACACCGACTACATGGAGACATATCTCACCTTCCCACCTCCCGGCAAGTTTCCCACGCCTGAGAACAACGCCTCGGTCGCCGGCTGCGCGATTTGGGGAGACATCTTTGATGCTGTCCTATTGACAAACCCCTGCTTCGACGTTTACGCTGTTGCGACCACTTGCCCCTTGCTCTGGGACCCTCTGGGTTTCCCCGGTTCCTTCGATTACGTTGTTGCCGGCACCGAGATCTACTTCAACCGCACTGCCGTGCAGAAAGCGATCAACGCGCCCATCCAACCCTGGGCTGAATGCTCCGGTGGCGTCCTCGACAAGGACACTTCGCCGCAATCCAGCTGGGAAGTTATACCGCGCGTCATCGAGAAATTGGACCGAACTATCATTGTGCACGGCGAACTCGACTACATCCTCCTGTTCAACGGCACACTCATGGCCATTCAGAACATGACCTGGGGCGGCCTTCAAGGTTTCCAGACCGCACCCTCCGACAAGTTCTACGTCCCATACCACGACGACCTCAGCTTGACGAGTTTGAGCGCTAAGGGCGAGATGGGCATTACGCACACGGAACGTAAGTTGACGTGGGTTCAGCAGGCACTGAGTGGACACATGGTGCCGCAGTACCAGCCCAGCAGCGCGTACAGGCAGTTGGAATTCTTGCTCGGCAGAATTGAGAGCTTGACCTCCAAGGTGCCGTTCACGACACTGGGAAGCCAAAACGGAACGGTCGCCAAGAGGGATTTGGGTGTTATGAACGATGGATTGAAGAAGTGGTACTAGAGTAGACGCCCGAGGATTACGACGTGTATGTAATGTATTGAAACGACTCACAATCAATTATTGACGACTTTTGAAATGCAATTCCACGGTAGAAACGCCGAGGGGTTACCAGATGACTAGGGTCAGTGTACATGCATTCTCTCCAAGTGATCGTATATTTGCTTCTGTTATGTGTGCAAACTGGGAAGATCTAGACGGAGAGGATTCCCGCATTGGGTGAACTTGCTGGAGTTCTTTATTACGACCAGCGGCTTATATCAAAGAGATCCTTTGCTAGGTGCCATGTTGATAGACGTTTGTGGCGGTGCAGTCGTTTTGAAGCCATGGTTTGGAGCAAGCAGAAGCAGGGAAAGAACGAGCCCCGCATGATCCTCCATCATTGCTCCATAGCGACCATGTGTTGAGGATCATTGGCAGCGTGTTTCTTGCACTGCAGTCATGCACATACAATACTTTCCTCATGCGGTTCAGCTGTCTCGCTCGTTCATCGCCCGAGCATGCTAGCCAAGATGACTCGCGTCGAGCCTCCCCGCGTTGACGCCATTTCCTCCGACAAATCACCACCACCACCACACCCACCATGACTCGTCCACAGCCTCAATCGCCCTCGGCCTCTCTTCCCTACGACAAAACTCCTTCATTATGGGTTCCTCGGAACGCCCCCTGACGCGCGCGTCAATTGAAGCCGCCCACGCGCTCATCAAACCACACATCCACAGCACCCCCGTCCTCACCAACACGACACTATCGAACCTCGCATCTACACCCCAAACACCCGAAGCACTTCATGGCACGCCATGGGAGGGACAGAAGCCTGCGACGCCAAAGGTGCGGCTGTTCTTCAAGTGCGAGAACTTCCAGCGCATCGGCGCATTCAAGGTGCGCGGCGCCTTCCACGCCGTCATACGCTTGATCGAAGAGCAGGGTATTGAAGAGGTCAGACGGAGAGGGGTCGTGACACACAGCAGTGGTATGTCTCTTGTATGTTTGGAACTGAGAGATGGACGAAGAAGCTGACATGTACACGCGACAGGAAACCACGCGCAAGCCCTCGCCCTCGCTGCGAAGACCTTCTCCATCCCCGCGCACATCGTCATGCCCAAGATCAGCACGCCCTCCAAGATCGCTGGCACGCAAGCCCAGGGCGCTATTGTGCACTTCTCAGGCTCGACGTCGCAAGAGCGCGAAGCCGTCGTCGCCGACGTGGTTGCGAAGACAGGCGCGACTCTCATCCCGCCCTACGACCACCCTGATATCATACTCGGCCAGGGCACCATGGCGCTTGAGTTGCAGGAGGAGGCGGCGGAACTCATGAACAAGAAACCAGAGTTGGGCATACACGGCGAGAGCAGCAAGGGTCTCGACGCGCTGATAGCACCGTGTGGCGGCGGTGGCATGCTCAGCGGAAACGCCATCGCATGTCACGACACAGGCATCAAGGTCTTTGGCGCAGAACCATCATTCGAAGGTGGTGACGATGCGCGACGAGGCGTTGCAGCAGGGGAGCGCGTGACGACCGTCAAGACGTTGACTATCGCAGATGGCCTGCGCACACCACTGGGCGAGATCACTTGGAAGATCATCTCGGACGCAACCTACGTCGCCAGCCTGTACGGTGTAACGGAGCAGAACATCAAGGACGCGATGAAGCTCGTGCTAGAACGAATGAAGTGTTTTGTCGAACCCAGTGCCGTCGTAGGCCTGGCGACAATCCTGTATAACGAGGACTTTAGGAAGATGGTGGAGCGGGAGGCGGGAGAAGAGGGGTGGAATATTGGAGTTGTCTTCAGCGGGGGGAACACGACTATAGAGGCTATCACGAAGATCTTCGCTGATGTTCCTGCGGCTAAGGCGGAGAGGGAGGAAGGTGCTGTGGGGAGTGATGGGCGTAGAGTCGCTGAGAACGTCGCTGGTTAGATAGTACTATACCTGCTCTTGAAATTCATCAACGCGTTGTATGGCGCTTCTCCGCACTATGCTTCGCTTGGTGTTTATGTTTCTGTCGTCCTCATGTACTTCGTCTCGCAGTGTCTTCTGGGTCTTGTCGCGACGTATCTGCCACGTTCATCTCCTCTCTCGTGGTCTGAGAAGCGTGTCCCACAACACCCTCAAAACTTTGCGGCGAGATGCGGAACACAACGGGTGTGCACGTCAGTGGTACAGCATGTATTCTTCAAAGTGCGACTTCTGCGAACGTGAATGTGGTCGCGATGGCTTCGTGTTGTTGAACTGTCACGCCCTCATCAGTGTTGAGTAAATGCCTACAACAAGTGAAGAGATAAATCGACAAGACAGCATGGTAACCACAAGTACATGCATCACACAAGAACACATATCAAGTAGAGAGGCACAGTGATCGAAGCATCCATATAGCAGTCAGATTCATCAAGATGTTGTAAAACTACAACAACAAGGCGACAAAGTCACTCTGCTGCGTGACCATACAAGTCTACATGGTAAAGGCTCCAAGGCCAGAAAAACACCCACCCATACACCACAAACCAGTGACATATCAACCCAATTCACAAGACCCACCTACAGCTGCCACTTACTCCACGACGACGACCTGTTGGAGCAGAGGGTGCCAGAGCTCGAACGTGTCCTCGACAGTGCGAATATCCATCAAGACCTTGCGAGCGCGTACCTTGATCCCGGCGTCTTCGAGAACGCGCAAGAAGCGACCGACGTTATTAGTGCGAACATCAGTCGAGATGTGGAGGTCCAGGTTGTGCAGGCTGCTGAAGCCCGTGAGGGCGTTGGTGAGACCGTGAAGTTGGACGGCACCGGGGCAGTACTCAAGCAGCTGCTGAACATTGGTGAGTGGTTCGAGAGTGAACTGACGCGCAGAAGGGGGTAGTGCAGCCTGCTCGGGGCTCAGAGTCATGAAGAAGTCTTCGAGCGTGATGTGGATGGTCATGCGGCGGAGGAAATGGCGGACGCCGGACCAGGGGACCTGGGCGGGTAGTGAGGTCTGCCATTTGGTGATGTTGTCCGCAATGTCCTTCTGAGTGAACATGAACTTGTTGCACTCATAGAAGACTTGAATGGCGAGGGCAGAGAACGTCTTGCACACGCGGCGAAGCCTAGCGAAGGGGCCGACGTTGAGGAGAATCTTGAAAGTCTTCTCGTCGATGACGTCGCCGAGCTCGCAAGCAGAGGGCAGCATGACTGCGTGCTTGAAGATTTCGAGAAGAAGCTCGTTGGGAAGCCGGTTGAACTGGGGACCAAGAGCCGGAATAGTGACTGGCATGTTTGATTGATGCATATCGCAAATGAAGATTTTGAGAGTGGTATTTATTGAAAATAGACTGGGACCAAATGTGAGACAAGAGATTTGGGAAAGAAGTTGTGAGCTGAGAAAACAACAGGATAGCGAGGAGAGGGCGCCTTCTTATAGACGCCTGTGAGGCCCGAATCTAAACCACAGTCGTCCATTTCTCACTGTGAGGTTAAGAAGCATAAATGAAGTGAACATTGGCAGAATCCAGCTAGAAAGTTCCGCTACAAGCGTCTGTATCCCTAGAGTGAATTGAAAGGCAGTTCGCATCTGATTCGTTCCCGCTCGCATGGAGTTTAGCCCGCCCACCGTAGGACTGGTCACGTTGGAATCTCAGATTACGTTTCACGCCGGAACGTTCCTCGCGCCCCTGTTTTCCGAGACCTCATTGGCGGTAGATATGGATTGCCAAGGTGCTGTGGGCATCAAGCGTCTTCCTGAAGCTTCGTTCGGGGGCTTGCGTTCACGCTCATGTTGTTGTAGAGCAGTTCGTGTCTGACATACGTGTGGAATCTCTCCGGGGATGTGGACTGTTCGATAGGGCGGTATCGCTCCGCTATGGCATGACGACATATCAGCCTGGAACACTTCCCACTTCAAACACAAGTTGAGGGAATCCTAGGTTGAGGCAGAGTACGGCGTGGCAAGGCGTTGCCCAGCAACCCGTGGAGGCATTGCGAAAAGGTCTGAGTGTAGTACTGGTACAGAGTAACGATGTGTCTCTACGTAGGCTAGGACTTCTAGATTCTTTCTGTGTTGCCCATCGTGAGGTGTCTCAGCTTGTACAGAACATGAAGGTGCTCGTTCAGCCAACGGGTGAACAGGAATCACACAAACGGGGAACCAATACCAACTCACCACCAAAACGGTGAGCTGGTACAGGGCCATTTGCAGTTCTGCTAGAACTCTGATGAGACCATGGAAAAGACTCGTGGGTGTCTACACCGCGCATCGTATCGTCATGGGACTAGAGCAAGACGATGCGGGCTTTCACACAAAGGCTCTTAAGACAACGGCTTCGGGTGACATAGCATCATCTCCAAGCGTCGAAAGTTGACCCTGAGAGTAGTTAGTTTACACCAAACGTGAAGCGAAGTGATGCTCGAGGGCAATAACAAGAGCTGCCACACGGTAATGAGCAATAGGAAACCATCTTCAGAAGCTGCAAGGCCATGAAGGCAGAGCAGCAGTCTTGGTGTGGTGACATTGCGAGTTTTGTTGTTGTTGACGAAAGAGAAAGGCAGGCACGTCGGAGAACTAGGGCGAACATGTGGGTCCGGTGCGCACGGACGTCCCCTCTCTAGTAGCCCGTAGATCGATGTCATCTCCTTCACAAAACCCGCCCCAGTGCATCACGAGACGAACCATCAAGGATCGCTAAAATCACCGCCCCGAGGATAACACAGGACGAGACCCTCAAGGATGCTATGACCAAGAGGTCTCATGACAGTATAACACCCTCGTCGCATGCAGAGTCCTCTGTTCGGCAGGCAATCCAAGATGCGGACGGTGACGGGAGTCACGAGGACGCGGAGGGCTCATCGCTGAAGAAGCCACGATCGTTCATGGCTACGTTAGTACGTGAATTGGTATTATGTGTGTGTGTAGTAGCCCTGACATTCCCAGGCATGCGATCTCTGTCGTTCCAGAAAGACACGATGCGACGAAGACCGGCCGAAATGCGGCTACTGCAAGGCCATGAATCTGGAGTGCACATACCAATCACCTCGAGTGACGAAGAAAGATCAATCTATGGCCGTGGCCATCAACGCCATTCGTCGACTCGAGTCCAAAATCGAGGACCTCACAGCAGCCATCAATGCGCCTAAGGTGGCGTCTCCAACATTACCTACGCGCCCAGTACCAATATTCGACCAGCGATCACCCTTTTCGACTCTCTCTCAACCAAGTCCCGTAGGCCATGTTCAGATTCTCCCCTCTCTTCCCCTACGTCAAGATCGGACGAGCATCCACGAGATTGCCATGTCGCCCCAGGCTATGGGTACACCAGCCAAGAGCCCATTCCATGCCTCTGAGATGATCAGCAAGGTGGAATTGTCTTTCAGTCAACATCGAGTTACCGTATGGCCTGCTGTCGAACAAGTCCTACCCGCCGAATTTGTCTCTGCCCGTGCCGAACTTCCCCAAGACTACGTGGTCGAAATCGAGACCCAGAGGATACCGTTAGCGATACACATTGATCGTCCATACGGCACGTCTTCTGATTCCTGGTTGATGGATCTTCCTCAGTCAGTCGTGAAAGGGCTTGCGGATGCGTATTTCGCCGTCTTTAATCGTACCACACCTGTGCTCGACAAGTTCTTTTTCTACTCCAGTACCCTGGGTATGGCAACAGAGAACGAATTTGGATATGACATTGAGTCATGCTTACTACTAAATGTATTGGCACTGGGCTGTTTGGCAGTCAAAGCGCATGAGGAAGGTGACTTTGCGCTTCCTTCTCGACACGCCTCATCGGGTCGGGGCTTTGTACGGCCGGAGTGGTATGGGTTAATACTCGACGATTCGCCGGGTCTCAAGTTCTTCAATGAAGCTCGAAAGCGTTTTGGTTTCCTCATGTGCCAGAACGACCTTCAAACGGGCCAATTCTACATGCTCTCAACTCTTTACTACGCTCAAATACTCCGACCGATGGACTCTTGGATGACGGTCAATCGGGCAGCGCTTTGTTGCACGAGCATCTTGACTCGCACAGGATCAGTTGACTTTGATCAGTGGGAAGGTGACATGTTCAGCAGACTTTTCTGGAGCACGCTCATGTACGAGGCGGTCATTACACAGGAGTTGGACACTCTTCCACACAGCGGACTGCTCGAATATGAACCTGATATGCCGATACCAAAGTTCACGCCTTGCCCACGGCCCAAAACATCGATCTCTGGGCTACTTACAGACGAGGACGACTCATTTTTCAACTTTCACTTTCTTGCACAGGCTGCGCACCGCATCATCCTGACTCGCGTTAAGCAGAGCATATATTGTTTTGCAGAGAAGGAGGGATTTCCAACTGCGAGTATCACGACAGAGATGCACCATCAACTGGAGCAGTGGCGTGCCAATCTCCCACCGTCTCTTCAGTTCTTGGACGACGAGAGCGTAGACGACTCACCAAGCCCGGCACACGTCATTGCTAAAGCTATGCTACGCAGTCGCTATCTCGTTGCCAAGTTCCACATCGGGCGACCGTTTCTCTACAAAGCATTGCATGCACCCACCTATACGAACGACGCTGAGTACAACGAGATCCGGGAAGGACTTCGAGGTGGCATGTACTGGCCGACTACAATGGGACTCTGCGCGCAGATGCAGTCCGCTCTTCCGATCAAGTTCGGTTGGTGTTCCCAGTGCTTTGGACAAGTCTTGTTGTTTCATGCGGTGGCACGGTCGCCGGATCGGAAGTTGAGGGACACGTTGCCAGTGGGTTGGCTAGAGTGGGTGCAGGTCATGATGGCGTTCATTGAGAGCTGTTCTAGAGACAGTCCTGGGATCGCGAAGGATGTTGAGTTGTTGCGTTTACTGTAGGATGATTTGTACGTTTCGATAAGTGATAGCTCTCGACATAGTCATGTCGTCGTGCAATCACCACCTTTGGCTTTCGTTTTGTGACTGGAGCGTTTTCAGGAGGATGGGTGTTTAGATGGAGTACATGGCGTTGGCTAAGCACGATTGTGGTTGGGGTATAGGTTGTACGTAGCTCGGTCTGGCCGAAGTTGGGTATCCAGACCTAGCAGTAGCCATTCAACTTGTTAGTTGCACCAACATTCCAAACATAAGGTCATGCCTAGACTCTGCTGCGTGATGGTACCCATAACTGAATACGAGAGGCGACCTCGACTGGCGTGCGCTAAACAATCATGTCTGCTGAATGAAATGACGTGGTTCGCCACTGGTAGACAAAAATAAAGTTGGGAATTTCGCCAACACGCATACAGGCAGACAGCTGAAAACGAGATGATACACATCTTTTGCATACCATCCCCCAGATCGTCAAAGAAACGCCACAGTGGTCCTGGATATGATGGGGCCGTGCTAGTCCAGGGGTGTGTGGCGGCGGGACCGATCTTCAGACAAGCAAGAGGTGGCTGCTGCATAAATGCTTCTGCAACAGCAATCTCGAGATTGGCAACGCCACATCCGCATTGCTCGACTCCATCTTCATCATTTGCTTTTGACAGGTAATCTTGATATGTGGTCTGTACGCGATAGTGGTGACGGGTAATATCTCACTGTGAGCTAAGCCCCGCGACATACAATACGAGCTTCTCGTTGGCCTCTGAAGCTTATTCATCGGGCACCAAATGCGCTCATTGGTGAACGCGCGTCGTTTCATCTCTCAAATACTCACAATGATGGTGTTTCTAACCTTGCGCGCCTAGTCTGTACCCTGCCCCTTGGGAAGCCGCCCCATCCACAATAAACTGGGTGCACGCCCTGTCACACGTCTCTCACAGCCGGACGTTCCTTTCCTACCCACCCTCCTTTTCATTTCTTCGTCGTTTCTGCGTGACAGTCGTTCCCGTCATCGAGTCAGGTGTCGACTTAAACCTCTTGTCGCCGCAATCCCCGTTGCTGGAATTCGCCTGACTCTGCGAGGCGACCCATCATGTCGGCCGTCAACTCTGCGTACCAATCGCTCGCGAACATGGGGCCACAGGGTCGGTGGCGGCGCGCTGTCTTCATCGCCTTCATTCCCATGGTCCTGGTGTTCGTTTACTACAGCAGCTACCCGTCCAGCTACTTGTCCGATGGCTTGAAGGCGCAATCGTACGTATGGGCGCTCTAATGTTACCTTGCCATGTCTAATAGTTGGCGCACAGATATCCTCAATCCCAAAATGTCTCGCTCTCAGATGAGGATATTTCCATGCCCGCGATTATCAAAGCCCTCTACGGCCCCATACTCCACCCAATCGACGCTGCGAACTTCACCGACGAGGATGGCGACGTTTACCGCCTGTCCAGCGCGCCACGGTATAAACAAAAACTGGGGAAGAAGGTGCTCATCTTGGACATCGACAGCAGGCCGCTGACAGGCAACGGTCAGCTTATGAATGAGGAGCTGAAATGGAAGGGCATGCGGCCCTTGTCGGCGGGCATGCTAAGCCATTACATGTTCGGTACGACCTACTACGCGTACCTTTGTAGACCATTTTCTGACAACCAACAGCGCAGATCCACGGTTACGACTACAAATTCATCCGCGCGCCCGACTACCCTGATCGCTGGGGCACCTGGGTCAAAGTGCCCATGATGAAGGAGGCGCTCAAAACACACGAATACATCGTCTTCATGGACTCGGACGTCATGTTCCACTACCCCCACCTCCCACTCGAATGGCTGCTCAACTACTGGAACATGACCGACAACACACTCGCCATGATGAGCATCGACCCCAACGAGCCGCAGAACTACGACGCAAAGGGTAATCGGTACCTGAATACGGGCTTCGTCATCGCCAGACAGAGCAAACGCACGCAGGAAATGTACAAGGCATGGGCAGAGTGCCCGTCCGAGAAGAAATACCCCGGGTGCGCGCGCTGGAAACAGGACTGGGCGCACGAACAAGCCGCTTTCGGAAACTATCTCCGCTACGACTACGACCGCCCAGACGATATTCGCGTCCTTCCCTGCGTTGAAGCGAATGGTGCGCCGGAAGCTGCAAGCCGCGGCGGCTGCAAGGGCGTTTTCGTCCGCCATTTCTGGGTTGATAAGAATCTCGTGGCTAAGAACCTCGCCGATTCGGTCATGCAGTACTTTCTGCCGCGACTACACCAGCATTACATGAGCCAGGCGAGCCAGCATATCGTGGATGCAAAGGGATACAGACTGGACGGCGCGGAATTGATTGAGTTGACACAGGAGGAGAAGGACAAGGCTGAGGCCGAGAAGGGCAAGAACCAGAAGGACGAAGGGTTTTAACGAGATTGAGTTGTTCCTATGGTTTGCCGTACACGACTATACCCACTAATGTTGATTTGGGCCTTCCCACTGGGCATGTGTCTCTACCTCGACGTGGAGACCAGCAGCTCCCGCGTCTAAAAGAGCCACGGTGTCTACTCACTCCCTCGACACTCTCTGCAAGCAGCCCACGATGGCCCGCAGGCTTCCTTACAACATCATCTACTGGGAAACGGAGTTTTGGGGTTTCGGCGCTGCAAATCCCCACGCCGAGCATCAGTTTTTTTTCCTCCATGAGTTCTTTGGTTTGCATAGCTAGAAGGTCGTCCCTGGAAAGATCTAGACATTTGGGATACGCTTTTTCGTCGTCATATGAAGCTTCATGATGAGACTCAGATGCAGGTTGGGCATTTATAGAAGGGTTATGCAAAGCTTGAATCTAAATTATGTCGTCTATCTAGTCTAGGTCTTTAGGCTTCTTTCATGTGTTTCGCGTGAGGTTGCAGTTGCACAACGTCGAAGTCAAATTAACCAAGTACGAGGACAATTATGTCCCTCACACCTCGCTTTCGATATCCGCGACCTTGGGCACCCGATGCAGACGAAGTCCGCAGAACCGGGCAACAAGTTCAATCTACGCACCGTCAGCAAAAGAAAAACGCCCCCGGTTCACGATCCACCACTTACGCATTCCTGAAGCGCCTCGACATCCTCGACACTCACGCCAATCCGGCGCGTCCCCCTCAGATGCCACGCCGTCTCCTTGGGCAGATTCTGAATCATAATACCCGACAGCACCGTGATTTCCGTCTCCACGTCGTTCAGAATACTCTGGTCGGAGAGATACAGACCGTAGGTGATGTTCTTGGTCGTCCAATCTACACGCATAGCTTGTTAGATGTGCAGTGACTCATACCATGGAGAACTACGCACCGAAATCCCTCTGTGCAGCGAGCGAGTCATTGATGTTCTGCATATTGTGCTTGTATATACGATCCAGCCAAGCGGCACCACGCTGCAGATTGGCGTCGTCGCACTGCCAGCCTTCTCTGCATGTTTGTCAGCAGGCTCGATAGTAATCCATTGTGTGGGGTTTTCCACGGACCGCGAGAAAGAGTAATCTTTATCCTCTTTTCGTGTGATCTCTTCAATACTCATAATGGCTTCTAGCGGCTTGCACACCCCAACGATGATGATGAGTTTGAATAGCGTCTCGCGGATTCTCCGCATTAGTGCCTGGCGTTGCTCGGGCGTTTGGCATCCAGATCGGCTGATGAGTTCTTTGTAGAGGAGAGGTGCGTAGTTGGGTTGGCCGCCGCCGACCATGGCTGCCAGCTTTGAGGTTGTTAGAAGTATAGGGATGGTTTGGAGTGAATACGTACAACTAGGATATACCATTTGTCGTCTCCGAGTGTCTTTGAGGGGAACTTGTCTTCGACTGCTTTGAAGAGCGCGGAGGCTTCTTCTTCGGTGGGATCATGGGGTATTGGGATCTCGTTTGTAGCCATCTTTTGTCGATGCTCTTGCTTGCGAAGTTGGATGTTGAGTTGAACGGCGCAAGATGGGGAGTTGTGAGAAGAATGAACTGTTGTTTGGTAATCGTTAGGAGGGTGGTAACGTCTTATATCCGATGACAAGCCAGCTAAAGAAAAGATAAGCAGAGTCCTTCATACAGCAAACTGTGGGTATGTTGAAGTCAGGAGAGAAACACAGGAAAAAATAAACGAATCACGACGCGTCATAGGCACGCGTAGCTGACAAGCGGGGTACATCTCCACCCCTCCTCTCGGTCGATTGTGAAAGCGGGAAGTAAGCTGCGTTCTTTGTAGCTGTTATGAGCTGCAACCTTATTCTAATAATGATATGTAAAAGTACACGCAAGGTTTATACTGCTAGAAACTTAGGCATAAGATTCCTATACTAATCTTAGATGTAATTGTCAAATTGTTGCATGATTTCGCTAGACCGTGATTCTTGGTATTTCGATTGACCGAGAGCCCTCATCAAAGTACCCACTCGAATGTCCCACAACTATGCACACACGTAAGCAGTAGACCAAGTTAGAATCTCGGGTATAACATTTTAGTGATAAAACACACGCATGCATATGCGAACAATCCTTACTCGCGACAGTCACCCCAGAGCTCATTCTTAACTCGCTGCGAAGACCCATGATGTTAAATCCGCTCATCAGTCATCTCTATGCCCGTTCCGTTCCGCCCCGTCCTAAGACCTTACTCCGTCCATATTGCTCTATATATATATCTTTCTCCTTGACCAATCCCTCACCTCATCCCACGTCCATCTAGTCCCTACTCTCCATCCCCACACCGACACCAAGGATGCTCCAATACCTGACTGATCGTGATCCTCTTCTCCACATCCCTATCCAACATCATCCTAACCAGGTCGATACTGTCCTCACTCATAACCCACGGCACTCGCAAATCATGGTCCATAATCTCGTCAATGGAGTAGAACGGATTTTCCTTGTAGATAATCGTGTACAACAGGATGCCGAGGGCCCAGACATCCTGTTCCTTGCCGCGGTATGATTTGCCGGCTAGGACTTCGGGAGCGGCGTAATCTGTTGTGGATGTTAGTGGATGTAGCCGCATATAGGATTAACGGGTGGGGAAGGTGTTTTTCGCTGGAAGAGGGGAAACCATACCAATAGTCCCTACGAAAACATCGAAAGGTCCACTCTTAATATACGCCGCACTCCCAAAATCAATCAGCTTAATATTTCCCTCGCCATCAAGCACGACATTCTCATCTTTGATATCGCGGTGGACGACCTTGGCTTTGGTGTGCAGATGATGTATTGCCTCTGCGACCTGGACGAAAATCTTGCGACATTCCTTTTCCTCCATGTTGACGCGGAGCTCAATGTAGTCGAAAAGATCCATACCCGGGAGACCGTGTGGCACCATCTCGATGTAGTAGTTGATGTCGTCCTCAAAGAAATCAGACATCTCCACAATGTTGGAGTGCTTGAAGCCATCGCGGCGGAGGTAGTCAAGGACATGTATTTCTAGGGGCACAGTTCCGAGTCGGCGATCGCGTGTCCATGTGTCGACGAGAATGCGCCGCTTTGTAACATATTTGATGACGACCTTTTTACTGCTGTTCTTCTTATAGCGGCAAAGCTTGACTTGTCCGTAAGCGCCTTGGCCCATCTCTTCCAGGACCACAAAATCGTTGATACTCTTCTTCTCTGCAGAGTCATCTTTCTGTGATGTAGCTTTCGATGACCGTGTTTGTGGCTCTCTTGGTGTCGAGGATTGACCTGCTTGCTGAAACTGCTGCGTTAACAACGACAGAGGCCGAGACGGGCTGTTGTGTTTTGACTGATCAGATTCTGCATCTTCCGGATGTATGATATTTGCTTGACCTGGTGAAGGTTGATGAGGTGGTGTTCCTGGACGTGATACGATTGGAGTGACCAGCCCAACACCATGGTTCGTAGCGTGCAGTTGCCTTGAGTATGTAACCCACAGAGCATACACAAGCTCTTGACCGTTTGGTTGTCGTGATGAGCTGCCCTCCTCCTCAATGACATGCTCATCAAAGCGGGAGTTTTTGTCGCTCTTAACAACCCTCATCTGTACGTCAATCATGATCTCTGAACCGTCGTGATGTATCGCTGGCAGACCACTGGGTCTGAGGAAGATGGCCGCTGCATCTGTGCTACCCTCCCGCATGGCAAGAAGCGCTCGAGCACGCCGGAAACTGTGCTCTGGAATGACTATGCCGTCCACCAATTCGATCTTGTCCTCGTCGGTCATGACGTGCAGTATCCTGTCGAATGCTGGAATGAGCTTGCTTATGTGAATACCTTCAGGACGAGGTTGCCCGAAGAGTGATGATGAGAAGACGGAATTCGAACTTGTGATTGTAAGGTCGGAGGATGAAAGTACGAGGATCCCAGCAATGTGTGGGAAGCTTGAAATACGAAATGTTGACTCGCCAGGAAGTGCCTCAACGATTACCGGAATGTTGATGCTGTTCGAGGTTCGGGCTGTGTAACTACCCTCGTCGGCTATTTTGTTGTAATCTAGTGCACCAGTGTTGGTGCCCTGAAGACGTGGAATACCAGGTATGAGTCGTTTGAGATCCATGCCTCGCCGTAACCGATCGCTACCAAACACAGCTTCCACCGCGCCCCAACCCTTCGATACACAGCCCACTTCATCGACGTTGATGTGTACTACGTCCTCTGCTATCTCTTCAAGAACCCAGATAAGACCACCTCGTTTTTCCTTGACCCATAGACTGGCAGCCCCAGTCGCACCATTGCGCTTTTGAATGGGAATGACATCACCGCAGAGCAGGACACCCCGTGACCCTTTAGACTCGTGGTTCAGTTTTCCTGTCTTCTTCGCGTTGTAGTACGACGAGCCGCTCCCATCATCCGTTTTCGCCTTTTTCCCAGGCGCTACACGTGACGAGGGCTTACTGAGTAATCGCGCTGTAAGTCCATTACCGACCTTGAGATGAGAGGGTTGACTCGGCGGTTGGGGAGCCTCGCGTGGCACCTTTGAACCAAGATCGGGATTCTTCAACTTCTCTTCGAGCCACTTCCGCCGGTCCTCTCGCACGACTTCCAATATGCCCAGTTTGCGGACTTCCGCTCTTGTGACCCCAAATACTAAGCAAGCTAAATCGTTTGCAGCAGTGATTGTCCATGGTGCCTGTGCTTCGGTGGTGAAGATGGCTTGAGCAGCCGGTGCGTGTCTCATCCCGTGGCCGTGCGGGGCTGGTCCTGCAGAATGAGGCCCAGATGATTGGTTGAAGCTTGGCGATGTAGTCGGCATAGTTGTTGGAGATGTCACAAGGCTAGTCTGCCCATGATCTCCTACCAAATATGGTTGCGCCATGGCATCGTTGAGCTGACTCTGTAGTGTCAGAGGTGCTACATCTGTCAATGTTCGTTTCAGGGCAGCACGCTGCGGCCGTTTCGGAGACGAAGGGCTCTGCGGGGTCTGAAGGCCGAGTTTTCCCGGGGTGAGGTCTGTCGGACTTCTGGCGTCTTGTCTGTTTTCTTTGTCGGCTGTTCCTGCGATGTCCGTAGTCGTTGCCCTGTACACCGACGGTCTTGATGTTTCAAGCATGGTATCCGGGCTATCCGATCGAGCATCTTTAAAGCTTTTGTCGAACATGTTTTCACCAGACATGTCTGCAGGCCCAGTGACCGGGCCAAATGCCCCCAGACCGTGCGCTCCAGCGCCATCCTGCCCTATCAAATTCGCCCTGGTCAACAGCTCCATCATGCTCTGCACCTCCTGGTCACCGCTGAGTTTTGCCTGGGCATTTGCTATCCCAGGGTTGGTGGCTGCCCAGCCCAGCCTGTCGCGCATGAAGTCAATCGAACGCTTCAGCACGGCCTGACGGTTGTGTATGAAGTCCTCAGACTGTGTCGCGAACGAGAAGGAGTGCAACGACTCGGAGGGAAACCGCGTGAGATCCTCTCCGAAAGCAAAGGTCGGGGACGCTGGTGCCGAAGGGTCGGCGCCAGAGGGGCGTCTCGAGGCAGGCGGCGTCGCAAACTGCAGTGATGATGCGCGCTGGGCGGTGGAGAGCCTGGGGCCTGGCTGCTGGCGGATGCGGCGCAGACCGGACACTCCCAGGCCATGCTCGTGTTCGGGGAGGATGGGTGACCTGAGGCAATGCATCAGCCATTACTCAGCGAGCGCACAGCACCGTCTTCTCCCCCGAGCGAGTCCCTCGTCGCCCATGGCCCTACTCACCTCGCCATGCGGTCCAGCTGCCCCGCATCGATGCTCAAACGCTTGGCCGTATTTATCGCCGGCGGGGCGCGCGACATTGTCAGCAGATTGGGCGTGCTCTTGTTCTTGACCAGCGAGACATGGTCTGGGGCGTGGTGGGGCTTGAAGTGGGCTTCTTCTGGTAGAGAGCCTGGAGGCGTGAGTGTGTCAGCAGTCAACCCCATGGTACAAGCTGTCGAGTGCCATGCGTGGTGAATAGGGCAAAGGAGAACAGCACAAAAAGCAATCGCGATATGCTGGCGCCATCGAGGACCGAGTGGCGGGCTTTGTATCGTCGGCATGCACTAGTTCCCAACAATGTCTCTCCCAACGCAATGGCACGCCCACTCGAGGGCTGAGCTGCAGGACAGCCGTCGAGGGCCGTGGTTGCAGCGCGTGACAGTCGGTGTGGAGAGATGATAGGACGCTTACCATCGTGTGGCCCGCTCATGAGGTTTTGTGTACGCCGTCTCTCTACCTGTGAAGCAGCTGCTGTCTTTCTTGGCTAACGCAGGCGCAACGAGTGAGAGCAGCAAATAAGATGCTGCTCGCCCGGTATACCGATCGGTACGTCGCGTAAGGATGGTGCGTGGGCCGCTTCTGGGGTACGAGGGGTGCGCGAGTGCTTGTTTGTGAGACGTCAGCTTCCACGGGCGGCGAGAGACTGCTTGGGCCCAGGAATTGCGGGGCGGCGATGAGTACTACAGTTGATAAGAAGCTGGAATCAGCGATGGCATTAGGATACGATACGTCTGTGAACAAACAGCATGACCCTCTAAGCCCGCCTACGGTATTTGCATTGGCGGCACGTTCTTCTGCCCCGCACAGACCGACTCCACACCACCTGCTGCTACAATCGCCGTCGCTGATCTTTCGCGAACACGGGCAGTCGTTCAGGTCAGGTCATGGCCTGTTACGCTGGACGGCGAGATTATGTACAGAGTCACCAACTATCCTGTCGTGCAGTTGTCCCCAGACCCTGACGATGTCATGGTGAACTCCAGCCGCAAGACTTCCAAGCTGGAAACTTGATCTTCACTACGCCGACAAGCCTCCGCTAGTCCCGCTGTCATGTGTACTTCTTCCACTCAAACAAAGAACTTCCATCAATTCATCAATTGCCCCGTTAAACTGCCCGAACTCTGGAGAATACCGCTCTCAAGCCTGTCCCTTGCAATTATAGTTGCCAACTTATGCAATGTACAAACGACTTTCTCTTTGACAGCGCGCAAGTCCATTCTTCGTGCACATAGACATCCAACTTCGACTAGCTCCGCATCCCACGGCCAGAGTGATTGGTAGAGTTAGTACCGCGTCGCAGTATGCCGCAGTCCACAAACACTCTTGGACATTCCATGGTTTGGCGTTTGGAGATTTCAGCGTTGTCGAAGCTTGTCCTTGTGCTCATTCCAAAGGTTTCTACAGCCTGTGGAAGAAGTCAGCACCTCGTTCTCGCCAAAGGCCATATCGTGGTACAGGCTCACCTCGATGCATGTTGACCTGGTCGATCCACCACTCTCCAAAGCTGTCCTCAATCTCCATATCTGCCAGAGTAACCCTTTCCTCCCTCTTTAGTCCACACAGCATACAGGGCTGACGCGCAGGAATACCACCTTCTGACTGTTTCAGCGCCTTCACAGGCATCGTCTCCTGAAGGTCTGGCACTGGGCGCAGGACACCAGCTTTGATCTGATTGGCACCTGAGACAACATGTCGTAATCGGCCAACCTGGTCCTTCCATATTCTCACCACATCTGAAGCTTCTCGCTCTTCCTTCAGATTCTCGCCCTTGTCGATCCCTGTCAATTTCATTCCCGACGTGGCTCGAGATGATGCGGGTCCGATTCGCATGCCTTGGGAAAGGTGTTGGTCTCGTTTCCAGCGTAGTTTTCGCCCGGCTATAATGTGTGCTGCAACAGAAGCTAGCATCAGATAGCCTTGAAGAAACTTGATCGTAGCTGGCTCAGCCAACAGCTTGTTCCTCATCGGGAGTGTTTGTGCAGCCATGGGCTTGAACAATTTGTCCTGAGCTTCAGCGAACAGTGGAGAGAAGAGTGTGAGCAGTACGCCAGGTGGCGGTACGTTAGTTGGTGGCAGTTCACCAGGCTGCGGGTCATTTGACGTTGGAGATAATACGGGCGCAGGTGCCGCAGAACTGGTACTAATTGTTGTGGACTTGGTAGCTCTGGCCTTGTCTTGGGCATGTGGTACAGGTCGAGTAGGAATAGAAGCCTCCCAATCATCGAATGTGTCCCAACTGTCGTCTACCTTTTGTATTGTCGATCCCAACGATGAGGGTTTGGGGTTCGAGACTATACCAAATCCACTCGCAGAGCTTTTTTGCGCGGTAAATGCAGGCTTCACTTTTCGATCCGCATGACCTCCTCCTCTTTTGCTAGCGACAGAAGGCTTGATCGGTAACACATTCGTGTCCCCTAACAAATCGACTAGCGCCGAGGAGCCTCCCGTTGGTAGTGTTGGAGTGGGCTTGGATTCCGTTCCCTCAAAGTCGCCGAAATCATCGTCATCATCAAGATCTTCCTCTGCATCGAATAGTACGCTGGAATCTGTTGGCCTTTTGGCTTTTATGATAGGTGCCTTCTGCGATGATGGTTCATCGGGCCTCGGCGGCTGCGTGGAAACAAATTCGAATGGGTCTCGATTAGAGGATGTAATGTTCAATGGGGGTTGCGAAGGCTGAAGGTCACGATGCGACGTGAATGCGAATGGATCCTGCCTTGCTGGAGGAGCTGGCTCGAACGCGGATGAGCCCCCTTCAAAGTCACCCCAATCGTCCGTGTCGTCATTTGATGGAGCTGGAGTTGCAATCGGAGCAGGGGTTATCTTAGAACCCTGAAAGTCTTGTGTCGGCGGAGGCGGTTGCCATTGCGTAACCGGTGCTGGTGTTGTGTTCAAGTCATCGAAGAATCCAAAGGATGGTGCAGGTTGCGCGCTCGCTTGCGCAAAGGAACCGGACGCTTGCTGTTGGTTTGAGCCAGGTTCTGTTCCGAACTCTGCAAAAAGGTCTGCTGACATTGCTTTCAAGCTAGTATGATGTCGAAGAGTGAGGTCAAGGAGCGACACAGATGCTTGGTCAGGAAGGAGCGATCGCGCTAGACGGAAACGAATTAGCCCATTGCCGTGGTGTACATTTTACGACTCGTGTATCCAATTGGTGACCGCTAACGCCAGTGGTCTACCGTAAAACTCCTGCTCTTTCGTTTACTGCTAGCAGGGGGAGTGAGAGGCTCAACACGGGTACTAAGCCTAGTAAAGGATAATGGTCCCAGAATTTTCCACTTTTCCCCGCAGTCAGAGCAATGTCTAGCCAATTAGTGAGGTTGTGCTAATCTTCAGCCGCTACACCCCCCTGCTAGCAGTAAACGAAAGAGCAGGAGTTTTACGGTACATCTATCGTTCGATCTCATTATCGATCCAAAAGTAGTACCGTCTCGGTCAACTGTAAAAGCGGGAAGTAAGCTACATTCTTTGTGGCTCCTACAAGCTGCAAAACTACATAATTAGAATTTGCTAAAGTGCACACAGGGCGCATACAGTTAAAGGTTTAGACACAAGAACCCTACACTAAACTTAGTTGTAGTTGTCAAGCTGTTGCATGATTTCGCAGCACCCTGGTTCCTGGTATTTCGATTGACCGAGAGGTACCGTGCTAGGGAGCAATGAGGAGAGCCATACACCCACATCCGAAAGATCTGAGTTGATCAGAAGGCTGTTGAGCAGACCTCAATGGCGGCGCGTATGTTCGCTACAGCCTAGCATCAGGTTGAAGAGGACATCTAGGCTGCGTGATCTGGATAGTGATGGGTATACGCTGATAAGGTCATTGTTCGACGTAGTAGTGAGACGTCAGAGTCGTACCGGATGACATCAATATCCTCAAGTACAACACCAATATGACAACATCACAGCAAGGTAAGCTACAACAAGACATCACACTGAAGCATAGCATGAGTAAATGTCCAGCCATAAGTTTCATTCAGATTCTTATGAAATCTATGGACGGACGACGCCAGTACACCTCCCCCAGACCGTAATGCATGACACGTTTCAAGAAGTCATCATAGCTTTTCCAAAGCCCCACATCCCCAGAACCGGATATCTTGAGATTCGAAGAAAGAGACGAGCGACCAGAAGAGAGATCGCTTATTTCTTGGACGCCTTCTGGGCAGCCTTGGTGACCTTGCCAGCCTTGTCGGCCTTGACGACGGACTTGATGACACCGACAGCAACGGTCTGACGCATGTCACGGACAGCGAAACGACCAAGAGGAGGGTAGTCAGTGAAGGCCTCAACGCACATGGGCTTGGAGGGCACCATCTTGACGATAGCGGCATCACCAGACTTGATGAACTTGGGGCTGCTCTCAGTCGACTTTCCGGTACGGCGGTCAATCTTCTCGAGGAGCTCAGAGAACTTGCAGGCAATGTGGGCAGTGTGGCAATCCAACACTGGTGCGTAACCGGCACCGACCTGACCGGGGTGGTTAAGGACGATGACCTGGGCGTTGAAGGACTCGGCACCCTTGGGGGGGTCAGTCTTGGAGTCACCGGCAACGTTGCCACGACGGATCTCCTTGACGGAGACGTTCTTGACGTTGAAGCCGACGTTGTCACCGGGAACACCCTCGACCAACTGCTCGTGGTGCATCTCGACGGACTTGACTTCAGTGGTCACACCAGCGGGGGCGAAGGTGACGACCATACCGGCCTTGATGATACCGGTCTCGACACGACCGACGGGCACCGTGCCAATGCCGCCAATCTTGTAGACGTCCTGAAGGGGCAGACGGAGGGGCTTGTCGGTAGGACGCGAGGGAGGGTCGATGGCGTCAATGGCCTCGAGCAGGGTCTTGCCGGTGCTCTTGGTCTTGGTCTCCTTCTCCCAACCCTTGTACCAGGGGCAGTTAGGGGAGTTGTCGATCATGTTGTCACCGTTGAAACCGGAGATGGGCACGAAGGGAACGTGCTTGGGGTTGTATCCGACCTTCTTGATGAAGTTGGAGGTCTCCTTGATGATCTCCTGGTAACGGTCCTCGGACCACTTGGTGGTGTCCATCTTGTTGATGGCGACGATGAGCTGCTTGACACCGAGGGTGTAGGCGAGCAGAGCGTGCTCACGAGTCTGGCCATCCTTGGAGATACCAGCCTCGAACTCACCGGTACCGGCGGCAATGATGAGGATAGCGCAATCGGCCTGGGAAGTACCAGTAATCATGTTCTTGATGAAATCACGGTGACCGGGAGCATCTGCGGAGGGTTAGCAAAAATCGCGGCAAAGTGGTAGCGGGCGAATACATACCAATAACAGTGACGTAGTACTTGGGGGTCTCGAACTTCCAGAGAGCGATATCGATGGTGATACCACGCTCACGCTCGGCCTTGAGCTTGTCAAGAACCCACGCGTACTTGAAGGAACCCTTGCCGAGTTCGGCGGCTTCCTGGAAGAGGTATTAGCATTGTGAAGTGAGGATCGAAGACAAAGCCCAAGTGCAAGCAAGTTGCATGCTCAAGGGAATCATGGAGATGTGCGTCATGGTGTTGAGGTTGGCGAACGCCCGAGTGGGGCTAGCGCTAGCGCGTAAAAGCTCGCACAACCCCACTATCCAAATTGCCCCTCATCGCGAAGGGCCAAAAAGGCCGATCGCTCAGTAGCTGCACTAGACGCGTGTGGCGCTCGAGATGAATGAAAAAGTGTGCCGTACCTTCTCGAACTTCTCGATGGTTCGCTTGTCGATACCTCCGCACTTGTAGATCAAGTCTGTATCCCATTGTGAGTTGCTGTACCCCGCAGTGGTTGGAAGAGGAAGGCTTACGGCCGGTGGTTGTCGACTTGCCGGAGTCGACGTGGCCGATGACGACCACGTTGATGTGCATCTTCTCCTTACTGCCGATGTTGTCAGCATGTTGAGCCGGGTGCAGTGGCGCTCGAAGCGTTCGAGGCTAGAGGGTAAACTCACCCCATGATTGCGGTTGTGTTGTTGAAGTTTTGGAAGTTGAGTTGTAGTTTTGAACGATCTGCTGGTGCGTTAGAGCAAGCACAAGAGACTGCGTGCGATGTTGTTGAACGTACAGGTGCCCCAGCTTGTGGATGCGGTAATATCAGACGAAGAAAGAAAAGTTGGTGGGCTGGAGGGGACGGCGGGGTTATAAAGATCTCAGAGGGCCCACAGACGCTAGCGGTTGCCAAGGTTGGTTTCGGGCGCGCACCGCAAATTTTCTATCTGACAAGGCTCATTCACCTGCGACGCATTGGGAGGCAAAGTAGGCAAAATGAAACGCTCTCATTGGCGATCGATTGCTTTTGCATTCCGTTCTTCTTTGACCGCCTGCGTATCGAGTCGCCACAGCCGCAGCTTCCTCATGCGAGAGCCTGGACAGCGCATCGTCATTTTCATGTACACCATTTTTCCCTGATATTTTGAGAAGCTTTCGATGCCGCTCTTTGCTACGATACGTAGTAAGACTTAATAGACCTCCACTCAGGTTTACAACTGATTATGATCTGTTTTTGGTACAGTATTTGGTATACTTTTGCCGCAGGAAACTTTTGGCGGGGTTGTCCAAAGCAACTTCATCATTAGCCCCACCATGCTCCGACTCCACTTTGCCATCTTGCCTTCTATTTCCACCATCAGATGGACGCCCAGAATATGCACATCATGCCCAACTCCCCCCGCGAATAGCCATTGCTCAACACGTCCCTCACGCCACAGTGAGCAGTGTTGACTCACTACGCGCTCTCACCGAAACGTCTGGCTAGCGCCCTGTCTGGAAAGGGCGTTTCCATTGCCGCCCTCTTCCTGACCAAGAGCTAGACCCTGGCGACGGGCTGTATCACCTGACGTAATTCCACAAATTGTCGAGATTCGCCTTGTCGCCAACTGCAAATATTGAGTTTACGCATCAAGAAGTAATACCATTCCTCCATGTTGCTCAATGAATGGCACAGACTCGGAGTGTTGTTCACGCGATGGCGCAGACCCTCTTCCCACGCTTAGAATGTTGTTTTATCCACTCCACTCCGCCAAATACAAGTATACGCATGTGTTGCAGTTTCAAGAAACCGATGTGTTTCTCTTACCACTAGATAGACCAAGTGGAGTAATCACTCACTGTCACTGTTCAAGGAACAGACATCATAAACTGACTCTTCTACCTCATGCTAACTTCTCAGACATCCTGGAGGCTGACCAAGAATGTCCTACACCTCCGTACATGTGAGCATCAAAACATTGTCTTGCGCCGTTGCAAGTCTCCTACCACATACCTCCTCGGTGTGAGTCTTCGGCACAGCCCTTGGATGAAGCACTTTCCTACAAACCGCCCTTTTACGTCTTGGAAGATGATGTTTTCGAGCCCGATGACACTACTGGACTGAGGTAAGCGTTTGAATCATACAGGAGACTGAGAAGTCAATGAGTCATACCTACCATCTCTACGATGCATCCTTTGTTCACACCGATCAGCCTGGGGAAGTTCGGATCATGCCCTGATTTCCTATAACTCCTCGGATCATAGCTAAAATCCCTATATAGTTCTATACAGACATGCCCCACAACTCAGATGTTTAGTTTTATAGAGTGTTGTATCATACGGAATAGCTCAGAAACCGGAAAACTCCAAGACGAAAGCAGCAGGCAATGCAGCCACTCGAGAACGGCGCCCTTTTCGACGTTTCCAGTACCAAGTCTTCTCAGACGAACGAACATCGCAACGCAGACAGTGCAAAAAGCCCAGTGAGGAGTTTTCTGCTACCCCGGACGCTGTCACGTTGATCATGGTAGATATATCATGCTTACACATTACTCTTATCTGAAGGCTTCGAAACTGGTCCAGTTGACAAGTTCATCGTTGGAATGGATAAAAGTAATTCGCAACTCCAGGCTTGTGTGATATCATGATCATAATCCTGGGTCTTCTATTAGTTCTAACAATATTCTTATCAATATCGTTATGAGGATCGAAGGCATGTGACTGTTAATGTACTTAGAGCATTGAGGAAGCAGCAAGTGAGGATGCACGTAGGCCCAGGAACTGTGTATTCTATGGATCTAGGGATAGTGGTTCTGGTATTGTGCAATCTGATGCTTCACTTATCGATTAAATCGCCAGTAAGCTGTTCACAAGGAGATGTCAACTCGGAAATGTGTTGTCAGAGGTGTACTTCTGATCTAGAACAATGACTGAATTGTGAAATGTCTGCATACCACCCAACTCGTGCACTGTTGGGATGCTACTTGCGTTTGAGTAAGCAATGATCTACTGAAGGAATGTGTCTCGAGACTATCATGATCGCTATGCATCTTCCCCTTTGTTGCTTCCATGTGTCGACTCGGACATCGTGAGAGACTTTGAATTAGTCTCAGATTCGTGCTGACGCTCTTCCGATATCTCTGTCTCATGCATCGACCGCTCATCAGTGCTTGCTCTTCTTCGTAGCCATCTTGGCGAAACCCTCGAGCATATCTTCGAACTTATCGCAGGGCTCAACTAAGACTTGGTCATATATAGATCCCACACACATCTCGAACTGAACCGTGTTTGCCTTGAGCAGAATCTCTGCCTTCGCAGGGAATCTCTTTGTTCTCTCTACGTCCCAGGGACTTATGCGAGGTCCTTTATCCGCTGTCCAATGGACAAACATACGTAGATCGACCTTGAGATCCAACAAGTTGTTGAAATCCTGCTGCCATCTCGTAGGGGTGGTGATATCGTAGTCAGATCTACCCTTTGAAATCTGTGTGGATACTGACTTTGGCTTGAAAAGGTGTGTCCATCCATATTCGTTTGTGAGGAACATTGACTCGAAGGAGTGGTGGAGCTCGCAATCCGCTTCGACGTGGAGGTATCGAATCATGTGGGCAACGGCGGGATTTGGGCGATGCAATATGTATCTGCCCTCGAACCACCTGGATGTCACCCTTTTCCAGGGCACGTAGACACAAAAAGTGTTATCCTGATAGTAGATTTCCCGTCCGAGAGTGGCTAATTGATTATTACCAGATCGAAGAAGCGGGAGCAGTCGCTCTGAGAAGTATCTTTCGTGTTCGAGATAGCCGATAGGTGCAGATGATACCAAGTAGTCAGTAAGCACCATGATCTTGAGCTCATTCGGAAGGCGAGACCAGCTGTGGAACGTTGTCGGAGCGGCCTTAGTCATGAAGAGCAAATCTCGTACCGGAGTTGTGGCAGTTGTTGTTTCGATCACGGATGGCTTCGGCGTTGAAGAGAGCGCTATCTCCGTCGAATCGGTCATGATGGTGGTTTGAGCTGATGGTTATCAGCAAAGATATGTTCAATAAGCTGTAGAAACAAGAAAGCGCTCACCTGGACTAGTTGGCTTGATGGGAAGAAAGGTGGTGTCGAGTTGATGGAGAGGTTGGCCGAAGTGAGCAGTTTATGTTGAGAGAGATGCCTTGCTTCAGAGTGAAAGAAGACAGTTGTGACATTGTTTCCAAGCCATGTTCAGCATTTCACTAAAGCGAGAACGCATTTGGCTATAGTCCGGTAAATAGATGCACAAGCGGCAGCAAAGTGCTCAACTTGGAGCATTACGAAAAGAAGCACAGATTTTCTAGTCAACTCTGGTAAGTCTTGCAAATGAAGATCCCTGTTAAAGCGTATTTATATGCTCCACACAGTGTAGATCTTGACGAGTTGATGAATTAGTTTTTGCACGTTCGATGGTTTCACCCTAGCCTATCGAAAATACTCAACCTTACCACCCACGGTTCCAGAGTTCCCCAAGTAGATGATTGCAGTTGCCCGAGTAATTTACAATCTTGCCACGCTCCCATCAACATTCTCTGATTCTTCGCTATAGTTTCAAGTTCGCTGTTTCGACCAATCCCTTCTTCTCAAGTTCGATCCAAGTCCTTTTCCGTCTGTGTGCTACTCCCTTACTTCGGCTTCGTCGCCATCAGCGTAATGAGGTCCTCGATGGGCTTCAGGCAGATGCAGTTAGATATGGTGAACCCATTACTTCCCACAATTATATGGGTTTTCACTGTTCTCGCCTTGAGATGAATCTCGGATTTTGAAAGCCAGGCAAGTATTTCATCCGTACGATCAGGCGTAAGACAGCTGTGGGGAGAGAAGTGATTCAGCTTTGAGAAGGGTCTATAGACTACGAATGTGATCTTCAAGGTTTGTAGGTTCTGAAAAGAAGCTCCCCATTCTGTGCGCTTGTCGGAATTCGTGATAATGTGGCCAACTGATTGCCTGTCTCTGGCCATTGACCGCTTCGGGTATAACAGAACCTGCAATGCATAGTTCAACTCATACCTAGTGTCGCACTTAGGAGTGATCAAGCGAAAAGTATATATTTTCACTTCGAGTTGTCGGATCGATGCGCCATAGGCTGGCGGTGGATATGAAGTATTAGAAGACGCCTGGATATGTACAAGAAAAATGTTTTCTTTATAGTACGTTCCAAGAGCCATAGTAACAAGTTCTCGATTCTTCGTGCCGATGATGTGTCCGAGCTGATTCGAAAGAACTCCAGGATGAAATTGTCGGTCAATCTTCTCGTTGAAGGTAAGGTGATGAGCCAAGACTTCCAACTTCAACTCCACTGGAAGACGCGACCAATCGTGGAACGTAGTAGGCGGGGAGGCAGACATGTAAAGGAGCTGCAGCTCTGCGATTGGGGCTTTCAACTCCGTCATGGTTGCCGGTAGTACTGAGGTGTTGGGATGCTCCACTGCGCGATCTTGGAGTTCGGTTTGATCCATGTCTGATACAAGTCAGCAAGAAAGTTAGTTGAAGTTCTCGCCAAAGGCAACACACTCACTTCGTTCGGCACCCGCAATCTGGAGTTGCGCTGTGCTCATTTGCTCGCTCTCAAGTACTCAGTCGTCGCTGTGAGGTTGGGTTCGTTAGTAAGAAGACTATGAGTTTGTATTGCAGGCTCACAAACTTGACTGTCGAAGACAAAGAGATAGGTAAATAAGGTGGGGTGATTGAAACGAGGCACTAGCCTTGCGAGCAAACGTTGTTGTGATCGTAACGCGTAACGTCAACGCAGTAAGGTGCCAACGGTGAAAGGAAATTGTCCGGCTCACTTTACTATAGTAAAAGACCTCTATCAACTGATTCAAGCACATGAAAGATATATTTCCACGCAACTCACCTGCATAAAAATACCTGAGAGAACACTGGTTGCTACAGAAAGAAGCGAAGGAAACAGCGAAGTAAAGAATGAGACGTGTGAAAAAGATTGAGTACCAAAGAACGTGCTACTATTAGAGTCAGACTCATGATTTCCGCTCAGCGTCTCAATGTATGTGCATGCCTTCACCATGGACAAGGCTGGAGGTCTTCAGCACATTCAAGGTCACCATAAGAAGATTGAAAGTGGCTTGGACTAATTCAACTATAGTTGTGATGTTCCCGCGTTTTCAGCTCAAGTAGGCCTGTAGTATCCTAACTTTATTTATCGTCTAGGAAAATCTCGTTCGACGAGTTTGGGGATGCTGCCAGAACCCGTTCGGTACCCAGTGTGCCTCCCTTGAACCCCAGCCTTAGCATCAGTGCCGGACCCGATGTAAATGATGGGCCCCAGCACAGGATGTTCAAGGGTGAGAGCGTAGATAGCCCACACTTTGAAGGCAGGAGGCTTTGGAAGACGTCGGAAGAAGTTGATACTAGGAGGCTTGCTTGTTGAGGAGAGTACCTCAGCTAATCCTGGAGCAACTTGGAGAGGTGCGTCGCTGACCACAGAATCCCAATTGGAGCGCGATGCAAATACTACCTTGATCTGGCGGTTGATATACCAGGAAGGAAGAGCAAGGCTTACTGGCTGAAAGCCAGCAGCGTCAAGGTGTGACTCGATGGAACCATAACGAGCGTCGTAGAAGTCTTCCATGATGAAGGGTCTTGAAGAGGCGTGCTGGAGGATGAAGCCAGAAGACCAGAAGAGCAACAGAAAAGGAACCTCCAGGTCCCGAGGCAGCAGCACCATGCTGGAAGGATGCTGGAAGGAACATGCTTACCACAGCAAGAGCGAGAGCAGCAGCAGCAAGAGCAAGTAACAAGGAAGGAAAAGTCAAGCAACAAGGAAGGAGAATTCAAGTAACCCAAAGAGAAGGTGCACACAAACTACAACATGTTAGCATCGTGAAGCACACATGGTAGTAGGGTAAAGGCACGAAAATCTCGCGTGGACGATACGCACAAAGGACTTCCCAGGCTTCATCTGTCCAACGTCCCAGGCTATCTCACTCCCTTGCCTCCGACCAAATCCTCATCAGCCCTTGTATCCTTCGGTATGTCTACTCTTGCGCTGGGGATGTGGAAGTGGCGTACTCTGTAAGTGACGTGAAAGAAAGTGCTCGGGAGCAAGATCGATAGTTGAAAGTCAACAAAGAAACAAATAAGAGAAGCGGAAAACCCTGGAAAGAAGAAGATCATACGACTTAGCACGCCACATCACGCTCATCCTTCCCTTCCCATCTCCCAACCTACGCCCTCCTCGCCAACCCCTCAACAACCCGCTCCACAACCCTCAAGCACTCACACCTCAACGGCCCAACACCAAAAAACATAATCGTCTTAACAACAGCCTCGACCTCCGCGGCCTTAATCCCCATACTGGTCTGCTCCAGCAACGCCGCCAGCCCCTCGACATCTTCCCTATCCAGAAAACAGATCCCACACCTCCCCTCGCCACGTGTGGCGAGACTAACATGAACATGGATCTCTACCCTCAGCGCCCTTAGGTTGCAAAACAGCGCCTGCCATGCCGTGCTCCCGCCATAGTCGCGGCCCCCGCATTGGCTGGGACCCCCGCATAGCGTCAGCGCGGCGCGATCGAGCGGCCGAGCGGGCGTGAGCAGCATGCGCAGGCTGGAGCGGAGACCGAGGATTAGATCTTCCAGCGTGAGGCCGAGGTAGCAGTGGCGGACGAGGAAGTGCAGGGAGCGGATTGAGGGGGCGTGCGTGGGTGAGGGGTAGATCATCCTGGGGGCGGGGAAGGCAGATATGAGGAAGGTATTTGTTTTGTAGTAGGTTTCGAGGGCGAGGATAACGGTTTTGTGATTTTGCGTCTGGATGAGGGCCCCGATGAGGCCTTGCGGGGCGAATAGGGCGGCGTGGGCTGCGTAGCCTATTGGTGAGGGGATGGACGTGTAGTAGGTGAGGATTTGGAGCTTTAGTTCCGTGGACAGAGCGGGCCAGCCGTTAGGTGGAGAAGGAGTCCCGGCTTGTGAGAGTGAATTGACCATGTATGGGTGTTTTTGCTGTGCGGTACTGGAGACAGATTGAACGGGATGGGAGATAAGCTGAATAGTTGTGTAAGCCATCTAATTTCGATGTTAGCAGTCATGCGCACGCTCGACATGGGTATGAAAGATACACGTACAACCTGTAGACAAACTCTCCCTCACATCGTGTTGGCGAGGTTGACGGCAAGACAAGGGGGTAGACGGAAGCGAGAATCCATAAGAGCAGCGGGGTATTGATCAGGCGTGCCAAAACTGCCATAAAGAAAGATGTCGGAACCATAACTGAGAGTTAACCTCCCTTTCCATTGAAGTCTGGTCACCTACGAAGGCAACTGTCTGGTCTTGTTACATCTCACAACTCCTCCACAATCTGCACATTGCTCATATCCGCAAACGGCGCCGACTTGCCTGTCCCATCGCCCAACGCCCAACGAACCGTCTTCTGCAGAACCAGTCGACCCGTCTCTTCAATCGGCAGCCAATGACCCGCACCCTCGATAACCAGGACATGGCTGCCCTTAGGGAGGTAGTCACGAACACCACCCAGCGCCAGTCTCCTATCGAACGCTAGATCGTCTTTGCCCATAATGATAGTCGCAGGGGCTTTGAACGCACCTTGAGGCGCAGTAGTCGACACCATCACAGATGAGCCAGGGAGATTGTACAAGTCAGCCGTGGTTTGGAGCGACTTGTCCCAGGTGCCCACGAACAGACCTTCGCGATAGATGCGGATCTTCTCCGCCATACCGCGGTCAGCGACTCTCTTTCTAACAGCCTCGCCATACCTGAGCCCGTCGTGTCCATTTCCTGTGTTTTTTGTGATTTGCGCCATGGCAGGGCCAGCGGACATGGCCATGGCTTCTGCCAATTCCCCTGCGTCCGGTTTCTGCGCCTTGCCCTTTCCGAGGCTGTGGAGGATGCGCAGGAACCAGTAGTTTCCAAATGTGGCGAAGAAAATGTTGAACGGGGGAGGCAGATTGAAGCAGAAGATGTAGAAGGAGCAGCTAAATTGAGATTTTACCGGGTCGAGTGCGCGGATGGCGTTTCGAAGTAGGACAGTGTTGAGAGGTTGGCGGGTCCACGTACGCAGCATTTGCATCGCTAATGATGATTGGGAGCGAACGTTGGCAACTGTGGCATGTGGCTGGTACGTCGATTAGTATGGGCTTGTTCGAGGATATGATAGTGTAGCACTCACGACGAGACCGCTTGTGACGACCCAGTGATCAGCCAACCCCTTCGCCTCAGATGCAAGCCTGGCGCCAATGAGCGAACCCCAGTCATGCATGACCATTACCAGCTTGTAGTCCTGGTTGAGGAAAGCCGACCTCATACCAATGATGAAGTCTGTGAGCGCCTCAAGTACCGATGTTGCGTCGTAGCTCGACAAGCCATCACTACCACCGTACCTTAAAACAATCAGCACAGCAACCATCTACCTGTACACAAACCCCAACTCACCCAGGAAGATCCACAGCAACAAGCACATAGTCCCTCAACTCCGGGTCTTCCAAAACACTCCGCCAGAGCAGATACGAGTCCGGAAAGCCGTGGATGAAGATAGCAACATTTCTCCCCTCACTCTTTTCCTCAACCCCCCGATTCACGACATAATGCAATCGAGCCCCCTTCCTGGTCCTGTAAAATGCATGTCTGAACCCCGCGATTGGCTCGCGGATAAGACTCCATCGCGCGTCCTGTGCTTCTCCCAGCGCTTTCTTCTCTTGCTCTGTGTCTTTCGCCCATGGAGGCCCACTGTGCATGGATGCGCGGACCCATATGGAGGCGAGGCTGATGAGACCGAAGCTGGTCTTGAAGACCCACCATGCGAGGTCTGCAATCATTGTGATGTGGATGAGTTGGTGCAAAACCACCTTCTTGGTTGTTGTGGTTGATGTGGTAGGTGTAACGCGACAGATGGATTGTAGATGATGTATGTAGAGATTCGCTTGGTGGGGGTCCTCGTCGAAACAATCATAAGACGTGATTCCAGAAAGCGGTTGTGTAGACGTGCTTAAGGCTGATGCCAATCAATCTCCATAGCTTACTGCAGCAAGTGAAGATTGATTGTGCACGCGCTCTCTCGCGTCGAGAAGTCGCAACGGCGATCCCCGCGCATGAGGTCATTGCCGGAAGCTCTCCCTCAAGGTCCATCAACAGCAGTCATGAGACGATGATTTGTAGATATTCTACATGTTGTATTCGTCCTGCCTATGATACCGATTTTAGGAATGTGAAAGAATAAGCGAGGCTTCTAATGAGGTGTAACGAAGGCTGAATCAGTACAGACCACAAAAGACGAAACACAGGTAGCAGAGCGACATAGTGCATTGCGTATTGCGCTCCGACAGACGTGCAGCCCGATCCGGTCGAGTCTTCCACGCCTACATGTACCTCTCTACAACATGCGCCTCGAAAGCCCAAGTAACTTCATCAGACAACAAGCTCCTCTTCCCACCCAGTCACGCTATCCAACCCCGGGGTATCATCGTATCCTGCCATTCTCAAAGACGCCAAAGTCCCAAAAAACCCAATGTCCAACAATCTCATACCATCCCAGCTCGTCTCATCTCTTCCCCTTCAGCTTCTCCAGCACCCTCAACTCCGCACTCCTCTGCAACCTCAGCCCCTCCAACTCGCGCTCAACCCCCTTATTCCTCTCCACCGCCTTCTCGCGCTCCTGCATCCTCGTCCTAACCTCCTCCATCTTACGCGCCACCATTTCCTCAACAACGCGCTCCAACTGCCCCACATCCTCAATCCCATGCTCCCTCACAAACTGCTCGGCAAACTCCTTGATGCGCACCGGCGACGGCCCCGGACCCCCCGTGTGATACCCATTCGGATGTGTGAGGTAAAGCCCCGGGGCAGGCGAGGCGTGCGTGCGCAGATGCGAGGATATGGGGATGGGGAGCTGGTTCGCGGAGACCATGCGCGCGTCGTGGGTGTGTGGTCTGGGTGTGTCGTTGGAGGGTGGGTGCAAGATTGTGTTCATGAGGTCGTTTTCGAAGGTTTCGTTGTAGGGCACTGTCGCGGGGGAGTAGTCTATTGCGGGGGATGTGAGTTCGGCGTCGGCGTCGTCGCTGGGTGTGAGTGGGGCGTTGGGCATAGCGGCGTCGATCTGGGCCATTGTGTGGGCGCGTGGGGGATGCAGGATGGCGGTGCGACGCGGGAGGAGAGTGAGTTCAGCCTTGCGATTCGAGTGTGTTGGTGGTGGAGCTGTTGCGACGCGTTGAGTGTGCTTTGGAGCGCATCGTGAATGACTAAGCTGCGACCTCCGCGTCAAGTTGATCGCGATCACGGCTTTCCCATCTTGCCTCTACACTAAACTCAACTGCACAAACTTCGCCATGGCCGACAAACTCCGCGCACAGCAACAACTCGAAGCCTTACAGGCACGCTACATCGGTATCGGGTCCGCCGACACGACGAAACACGAATGGACGTCGAACATCGCACGCGACTCGCTCGCGAGCTACATTGGACACCCGCCTCTGCTGCAGTACATGAGCATTGGACTAGGACAGCCGCGGGAGAAGACGAGGGTGCAGCTGCTGGAGCGCATGATTAGGCCTGTGGGGCCGCCGCCTGAGGTGAGTGGGAGATGGGGTTTGTTGATGGGATTGGACGGGTGGAAGCTGACTGTGGAATAGCAACAAGATTGATGCATGTTCGGGAGCCTGCTATCGTAGTCTGACTTGAGCCAACGAAGCAGGCAGGGTGAGGTATCAAGCATACATGGGATCAGGATGGTTTATCTGGGCGCAAGGAGTCAAGGGCTGGCGTTACTGGTCAAAGGTGAAGATGCGCATAAAGAAGTCAGGAAACCTCCAGGCTGATTGTTCCAAGATACATACCTGCCATCCAAACGCCGAAAGCGTTCTTCATGGCATGGAGTCTACACGAATTTACCACAACTCCAAAACACACCACGACCTCCTCCTTCCTCTCCCGTGACATGCTAATCGCTTTCACTCCCACTCCCCGTCGGCCCATCGTCATCGTCCTCGACAACATCTCCTCCTGCCTGCATGGCATACTCGCCCTTCTGCAGCATGCTCTTCAGCTCTGTGTTCCGCGGATCCGCCAGCTCGACAGGCTTCAGCTTCGCCTTGTTCCGTATTCTCGGGTCACAGCCGGCATCCAGCAGGATCTCAACAATGGGGTGGCCGGCCGACGCCCATTCAGACTTATTGAGCGAATTGACGTAGCGCACGGCTTTGTGGAGCGGTGTGTCTTGCTCCATGCGGTCGATTTCGTCAATCTCGAGGCCTTCTTGGTCGAGGAGGATGTCGAGGATTTCGTCTACGGGGTGGATAGTTAGCTTACTGGAACAACATTCTATTGGACTTTGTGACAAGTCCACATGCCACATAGTGTTCATGAACTGCGTCACTTACAACTTCCATATGTCGCCGCAACGTGCAGACAGCCGTTTCCCACGCCGTCCCGCGCGTTGTTCAGTACCTCAGCCACATGTTTGGCAGGCTTCTTGTTGCCTGACTTCGACGCGGCGGAGGTGAGGTCTGCAATCGTCTCCTCGAGGAGCGAAGTGTTGTTGCGTCTGCAAGACTCGAGGATCAATTCACGGGGAGATGCGCCCTAGAAGACTATCAGTCCCGGCAAAACCCCATACCAACACCTCAAGCATCTTACATCCTCGTCCGCCATATTGCAAGTGCTCAGTAAGTCGGAAAGAACGCGACTTTGCTGCTATGCAGGCGGCGCGTGAAAGCGTCTATCGTGCGTATTGGCGGGGTGCCAATGTCGAGTCGAGTTGAGGGATGGATGTGCGTGAACGGGAACAAAGCAACAAAAGGCGTTTTCTTCAGCAAATAACGAAGACAGAGAGAGAAAACCTGCAGGCAGTGATAGGGTAGGTATGTTAGGCAAACACAGCCAACGCACCTCTCAGCCCAATAGATGAAACAGCGTCACATCACAAGTGCGCAGCCCATCCTGGGACCGCCGCCCATCGATCCGCTGGCCAAAACAGCCGCCCCGCACTTTCCCCTTCTCGGCGTAGCGCCGAGCCGCCCCGCTGTAACTTTTGACTTGCGCATTTCGCATCGCATTGTTAATGGTGAAGTTTCCCGTCACGCACGCTTGCACGCATCTGTGAATACCGCGCCATGTTACTCTGTTCGTCCACCTTCTCTGTTCTCAATATTCCTACAAACCAACCCGCTAATCCACCACAGTCTGCCCAACATGCAGCAACATGCTGCGCGTCTCGCGCGTGCCCCCCGGCGACCCAACGATCGAAGACTCAGTGGGCCAGAACCGCTTCGAATGCCTGACATGCCCGTACCACTTCGTCATCAACAAGCGCTACTACGAGCGCAAGTACATGAAGAGGAAGGAGGTGGAGGATATCTTGGGCGGGAAGGGCGCGTGGGATAATGTGGATAAGACACCGGGTAGGTTATTTCGACGTTGGCGGATGAGGAGGAGTATTGTAAGATGGATGGGGGAGAAGAAGAACACAGACTGACGACGCGCGAATACAGTGCAATGCCCGAACGAGAAATGCAGGAATCACGAGGCGTATTGGTATCAGCTGCAGATTCGCAGTGCGGATGAGCCTATGACGGCGTTTTATAAGGTATGGCTTTCTCTGTGGGTTACTGGGAGTTGTGTGCTAATAGCTTCAGTGTACAAAATGCGGAAAGGAATGGCGCGAGTAAATTTGATTGCACATACCACATGGAGTTTGGGAGCTTTGGGTTTGCGGTTTCGGTATACCCCGGTTGATATTGTACGAGGTCGAGTGCGATTATATGCATACGTTCAATATATGCAATTCCTCTTCCATACCCATCTATTTCATTACATTTTATACCCACCCATTACCACCAATCTCCATCCCAGGTCTCCGACTACGCCTCCCGCCCATGCAAGCCCCCATGCGCCACCCCAAACATAGGCACCGCACTGTCGCTAATCCCCTGAACTCTCTCGCCAATAACGCCCTCTGCCCTGGGACTCCCCATCGCAGGTGTGTTGCTTGGCCATGCCCAGAGCGCGTCAAACTCAAACTGCTCGTCTTGGCCGCTCTCCTCCGAGTGCAAGCTCGGCACGCGCGTTGCGTCGAGGGCGGACATATCGAGCATGGTAGACAGGGAGGGCGTTAGCGGCGGTGGGTGTGAGGGCATTGCAGAGAGGGTGTCTTGGATAGGTGATAGATGAACGCGGAAGTCTGGTGGGTGTGTGGGTTGATGTTGAGATTGTTGTTGTTGCTGTTGTTGTTGGAACGCGGATGTGGGGTCGCTGAAAGGGAGGGTTTGCATGCCAGGGTAGATGTGTATGGGCACCTGGTGTAGACGTGGTGTAGCGTTCATGGGGTCCGTTACATTTGGTAGACCGCCCGTGTTAGGGGGTTGGTGTTGCTGTTGCTGCGGCTGTTGCTGCTGCGGGTGTTGAGACGACAATGGGGCGCCGTAGAGTTGCGATGAGATGCTGGGTAGTTTGTTGTTGTCTGCATGGTTCTGTTTCCTTCGCATACGCTGCTGTGTGACGACGTCGCGAAAGGAGCTGATGATGTAGACTAGGCGATTTGCTTGTTGGTCGCTCTCGCCGCAGTAAGTCATGATATTGACGGCGTTGATGATACATGCGTCAGCTACTTCGATCTTGTATAACCCAGCGAACTCGTTCGCGAGGATGACTAGCGTGGCGGCGAAGAGGAAATATATTACAGCGGGGTTGCGTCGGGATAGGTGACCGGCATCAAAGGCGTTTTGAACGAGTAGGATGGTGTGCGTGGATGCAATGACACAGGCTTCACTAAATTTCTCCATGCGTAAGTAGGGCCTTGGTCCTCTAGATCCGGTTTGATTGTTGAATTGTCGTTGCGTTTCGAGATTGAGGATGTACAGGAAGAAGGGCCGTGTGAGTAGGATGATAGAATGACAATAGAACAGGTTAACATGGAGAAGGGCGATGCCTTGACTTGGTGAGGCGTTTGCAGCTTGCCGCCAGTGCAAGATTGAAGGAAGAGAACGAGGCCACGATTTGCATACATCTGCAATTTCCTGGGCTAGACGAGTGCTAATCTTTCGTTGTTGGTAGACTTTGCGTAGGATAACACCAATCACTGAGCAGCTGCGCACAGCAGCCTCCAATGCGCAAGATCCAGTCTGGTTGAAGTCGGCTGTTGTGACCGCATTGATATCAAAGGACTGGTCTGGATGGAGCACGTCGCCTGAGCAATCGTCTTCTGATATCGCGGTGGGCCGTCCCAACGAGCATGAAAGAAGCCGGTCAATGACAAAGATTGACCGCCATAAGTTTTTCCGTTGTGCCTGCTCTTCTGGACTGAAGATTACCATCGTCTCCTCTCTGTGAAGTCCAAGAGCATGAGCAGACCGGGCTGCCATACCGAGCAGCGCAAATGCTGTATTGCGTTTAGATTTGGCAAGCATGTATACAGCCATAAGCAGTAGGGCTTGTACAGACCAAAAGTCTTGATCTTCTAACCCTGTCATTGGGTCATCCAGCCTCTTGGCGTTCAAATAGAAGACCTCTGCTCTGTCGAGATGCTCGCTTCTAAGCTTCTCAATCACAAGAGCTTCAGGGCTTCCTGAAAGGGGTGTTGCCATGGTGAGTCCAATGGCGAAGACGAGATTCAGTAGGCAGAGAAAAGGAGGCTCTACTGAGAGTGGATCCGAATAACACCTTTCCAGCTCGCCCAGAAAGCGATCGCGGTCGAAGACTTGTAGCAGTCCATGTGTGTTGATGAAGAAAGCATCCACCAGCACGTGAGCGGTTTGCAAATCTGGTAGGAGGTTTGTGTGCTGGAAACCTGGTGGAAGTGAAAATTGTCCTTCGACTATCTTATGCCGTCGAGGGTCGTTTGTGAAAGGCGAAGGTCCGACTACAGTTTCCACCATCATCCGAAGTAGTTGCAGAAAGGACAGCGTCGCCGAGTCTCCTACATACAGTACTCTGCCTGTTGGGTCTTGAAGCATTCGACTCTGAGTGTAGATGACGGCTTCTTCATCTGGCCCGCTTTGAACAGTGCTGCCACGGGATGGTCCCCTCGGGTGCTGGCCGACGTTTACATGGCTTGTCGGTAGCTGTAATATCGGACCACCCACAAACTCTACAGTCGACCTTGGCTCGGATGGCTTGTACGGAGTCTCACCAGGGCTTGCCGGAATTGGGTGAATCCCTTGCGTGCCGAGGGTTGTGTGTTGTTGAATTGGGGATTGACGTCTTGGTGTTAGCGGTGATGCATGACTGTAACCATTGCTGGGTGTATTGTATGACGAATCGCCATTAACAAATGGGCTGTCACTTCCACCGTCTTCAATTGCGCGTCTTTTGGTGGGCGGTCTATCTTCATTGGGTGAAGTAGCTTCTCGATCCGCATAGATGCAGGTGAATTTTCGCTATGCCGTGTAAGCTCGTATTATGTATGATGTAGTGCTAAGCCCACCTTTTCACATGTGTTGCATGGGCAGGCACCATTGCACTTGATGTTTGTTAGTCCAGATTCGGTCGTTTAGCGGTGAGATGGCCGCATCGAGAGACGAGCTGTTGGTGATGAAGCCAGTATCGATGATATTGCGAAAACGAGGCTGCGATTTGCTGGGAAGAGTCGCGATACACGCAGACACAATTGCGACGGATGGCTGGGTATCGGGAGCATGTCTTGCGACGCACAGCACGATCCCGTGGCGCGAGCATCACGTTGTATCCAAACGAGCTTTCATGCAGCACTGATCAGATCTGTTAAGGATGATTCTGACTCGCCTTCTGTTTCCTTCGTTTACAACTCTCACAGGCCTGGGCAGTACGCTGCCGTTGTTCTGCGCCACGTTAGCCTCACAACTACTCAGACGCGCGGGAAGACCAACCAGGAGGGACTTTAGGTCTGGTCATGCTTAGCTTGTTGTCCAACACGATATAATCACGTGTATCACTCTCGTAACGATGGCTATCGGATGAGGGTTCGGATGAGGACGAGATTGATTGAAGCTGCAGAGAATAGCACAATGGTGGCCGGTACTGAAATTTCCCCTCAAAGATGACGCGAGAACGGTCCTACACCGGCGATTTGCATTGGCAAATGAGGATCAACGGAAACGCCTGGTTCCCACGCCTTTGGGGTTTGGAGTTCCAGACTTGCCAGTGTTTCCGCGTCGAGGCTGACGCTGAACGCAGATCGCGGCGACGTGCACGGACCGATCGCATCGGAAATGGAAAACGAGGCCAGCGGTTGACGACTAGCATGTCCCTCCACCATCGCCAGTCCGTCTTGTTACGAGGCCGCGTTAGCCCGCACATGCTTGTACCCGTTAGATGTGCATGCGTGATATGCTTAGTATTCTCGTCTTTTGCCACATGATACAGATCGCATCTTCGGCATGCGGCTAGCTACCTTTTCGGAGAAGGCAGGAAACGGCATCGCTGCATTTCAAAAGGACAGGCTCTAAGACCCTCTAAATAGTTCCTCCGAGGTGTTGCTTTCCTACACCTTCCACATTGTTTCTTTGCAATTAACCTTCCGGCCCTTCGACATGACACCCTACCTAGGAGACCACTCACCCACCGAGAGTAGTGATGTCAACGGGACTACACATGCATATACTTTGCTTGATGGTGCCCGATCAGCCCTAGAACAACTGCTGGTCAAGGCAAAGGAACATTTGCCCACAGAATGTCTATCTCATGTAGCAAAAGTTGGCTTCTCTACCGCCAACACTGGAAGCCCCTACTTTCCCAGCCCGCTCAAGCAAACAGAAGCCATATCAGCACTCAAAGCCGTCGAGTCAGGAATTGCTTCGGCAATAGCTGATCTCTCAGATGGTCCGAAAACGCGGGATATCAACGTCGACATGGAGAGGGCCACAGCGTTCCTGTTTTCCACGTACTTGGCCACCGTCGGGGGGTTAGACAAGTCGAATCCTAAAGTCAAGAAGTTGCTGAAAGGTTTGTGTTCCAAATGCTTGCTAGGTAAATAATCACGTTACTAACAATTGTAGACACCGACCTTCTGCAAGCACAGTCAATTCTGTATCGAAGACTATCAGCCAACCTCTACGAAACAAAAAATCCGGGAGAGTACTTCCACTTGCATGGGTCCCTGGAGGCGACAAAAGCCTTGAACATGATTGGCCTAGAAGGTCACCGGCCAGACCTCACTGAGTACCATGAGTGCATCAAGATCATCGAAGACCACGTCAAACAGTACTCTGCCGACCAGCTTGAGGAGATGAATTGGAAGATCAAGCAAGCAGGCGTCACATGCTTGAAATGGGAAGACTTCAAACTCACACAACATGGGCAAGAGCTCGTCGAACAGCCACCTTGGAAGGTCGAAGCACTTGAGACCGAGACACCGCCAGTCCCCTTCCCGTGCAAAGCCTCCCGTGCGCCAAAACCACAAGTCCTCGCTGGAATTCGGGTACTTGAACTCTGCAGGATCATCGCAGGCCCAGCTATGGGCCGTGGACTGGCTGAGTACGGCGCGGAAGTCATCAAAGTCACTGCGCCAAATCTCTCAGATGTGCCCTTCTTCCAAGTTGACGCCAACATCGGGAAACACACCACAGATCTCAACCTGAAGGATTCGAACGATCGCAAAATCTTTGAAGAGCTACTCCAATCGGCAGACGTTGTTCTGGACGGATATCGACCCGGCAGTCTGAACCGTCTCGGTTACGGTCCGCGGCAACTTCTTGAGATTGGTAAGCAGCGTGGACGTGGCTTCGTCTACGTTGCCGAGAATTGTTTCGGGCATACCGGGCCGTGGTCATCACGACCAGGCTGGCAACAGATTGCAGACTGCGTGACAGGGGTTGCATGGGCTCAAGGCGAGGCTATGGGTCTGGAAGAACCGGTTGTACCGCCATTCCCCATGAGCGACTACGGAACCGGCTGCATGGGCACTATCGCCGCACTTGTCGGCCTGTATAAGCGCGCGAAATCCGGAGGCAGCTATCTGGGAACCACGTCGTTGGTCCAGTACGACATTTACCTACTTCAGCTCGGACTGTATGACGACAAGATGATGACGGAGCTAAGGAAACAACACGACACAGAGTTCTTTGGACTCCGACACCACGACTCAGTCGATGAAGTGGGTAAGCGAGCATTGAAAACGATGAGGAGGACGCACCCCGAGCTGTTTGACGAGAAGCACATGCAGGGATGCTTCAGCAAGGGGTTCGATGCGGACGTCCGAACAATTAAGCCGGTGGTAAGCATCGAAGGGTACTGGAACGGTTTCTTGCGCAGCTCAAGACCTAATGGGTTCGACAAGCCAACCTGGGGGGACTGGGAGGTTGACGAAGACATGTTGAAAGAGTAATGTAATGTCACGAGTTTGAATGAGGTTCATATTTCTGCCGCGTTGTATTTCCACATACCCCATACACATAGTCACATTTCAGTCATGAAAGTTACTCTCTTCTTTGATCAATCTTTCCCATCCTCTTCATTCGATGTTGTTGCTTCCGTCGGCTGGTTTCTCGGCCCATCGGCTCTGCCATCATTCGGACGTGCACAATATCTCCAAAGTTCTACCACAAACCCCACACACGCCACCTCGGTGTGACGGGCCACAATCGAACAAACTCAATGCAGACCCTGTCTGCACCGCCACCATATTCGGTCCGCCACACCTTATCATCCCATACTCGGAGCGGGAGCCTCCTCAAGCGAAGCGTGTCAGAGTCAGGGGGAACGGGCCGTTCAGCTGTCAAAGACGGTGTCGGTCGGCATCGCAGCGCAAAGGATTCGGCATGGTGGACCGAGCTAACGTCACAAGTGGAGACGAACAAGGCAGCGGATGCGCTGCCAACAGAGGCAAGTATGCCAAGTCGGTGGACAGGCTCCATATGGGGAGATCTCGACAGAGTTTGGCAGGGTTCAGGGTCCGCTGCAAGATGCCGATAGTGTCGAAGCCCGCGGGTTGGGCTTGCATCGGGGGGTATATCAGAAACGTGTTCTGGGGTTCCTGGCTAGGTAGACATTGTTGTCAACTGCCGATTGTCCTCGTGATTCGGTTCTAGTGCTCGTGGTTCACCGGAGACCACCTCCTCGACCAGACAGATCGTGGCATTCCATTATCCGATGCAGGATGCCGATTGATATGGCATGTTTGTGTCCTCTCTGAGGTTTCGATGAACGGCCATTGAATACGAAAGCGATACGTAGGATCTTGTGTCTTGTTCCCTTTCTGGAGGATGGACCAAACTACGATCATTCCACTTTCTGGCTTCTCAGTCCGGTAAAGATTAGCGAGAGCTATTTCGAATCTGGAAATATCCCCAATGATACTCGGACACTTCTCTTGCCATTGATATACCCAGCTGGTGTCCCTGTTCACACCGCCTTCTCGTTCTGTCCATCAATTATCAAGCAGAAGAGATGTGGCTTACACCCATGATGTGTCAGTAGGGCAATTGTATCGCTAAGAAGCTCTGTTAACAAACACGTGCTGCTATGGTGTAGTCTCGTGCTAATCAATAGCAAATGAAACTCTCCCTGTCGGCATTGAGAGACAGAACTATTGCCAGACCAGGATTCAACGTCCGAAGACTGTCCTTGCTATCAACATCTATGCCGATCAACTACGACCTTCTGAAGACTACATCAGGAGGCATCAATTTGACCAGGCGGCTGAACCAAGAGAAACCTACGAACCCACCTCCCGTCACTCAAAATGCAGAAGGCTCGCCGGCAATCCAGATCAAGTGTGTGTCAGTAGCTCTCATGGCTACGCAAGCAAACCCCACGGATCTACGAAAAGAGTTGGATTCAGTCAAGCTCTTTGGTAGAGATACAGCGTGTTGTTGATCAGCAAAACTTACTGACACACTGAACGAGTCCTGAGAACGTCTTGTTTTCCTCTCTACACAGGTATATCACAAACAACATGATACATCTGATGGCCATGATCTCTACATCATCGCCACCCTTCAGTCGAAAGGCCTTCTCACTGCAAGGACTGTGACCTGAAGAAGGAAGGAGCAGATCTGGAGGGGACAATCGGGAGACGGAGCTTTTGTCTTGAAGAAGGAGATGGCCCAGCGTTTAAAATTCTCCTGGTATGTTTTCAAGGGGTCGGGGATGGCACATAGCCTAACAGTCACAAATCAACGGCTGCCTGGGCTCCCGAACACGCGTCTGCACCAGTACGTTGAGTAGCCAGTCATTAAGTGACGATTGGCCAGCCCTACTTCTCTTTCACTACTACCGTGTATTCACTGATAGTTACTGTGTGAGAAGGGTTTGGGTTTTAGTTCCCATATTGATTTGCAATACTAGGTACTTACTGTGTTGTGTCTATCTGTTTCTATTATAAACATGAACACGCTGAAGACCAAAACTGAAAAACAATAGTCTCGAACAACCTTTGAGGCAACCCCGGCCAATGCCATGGACCTAGGTACCCGACTCAGCATAATCCATACAATCCACCCGTCCAACGTAAGGCAGATAGGCACTATCAGAAAGGAAACATCGTACCACCAGTACTCAGCAGTCTGACTGAAAGTGGCAAGACATCGATAGCCCTCGAAGTACGTCTAAGGGCCAACTGCCATGAAAAGGCGCACAGGACTAACCTGTACACTTGAACATGATGGACAGAAGGCTTGCTTGCTCCCAAATACTAGTATGTCTACCACTCTCATACAGATTGCTGAACTCATGTCACTGCCGTGACGATTACCATGGACCACCTATAACAACGCTTTTCTCTCGCATGATTCAGCTTGTCCAGCAACACAAGCTGCCCTCGCCCAAGACCGACAGTGAACAAACAGTATTCCTCCCACTTCCACAACACTCCGATATCCCAACACAATTCACAGGCCACACAAGCGCAGCTTAACGTCCACGTACCCAGCCAAACACCTCAGGCCGGCTAACACGGAGCCCAGTCCGAGTAGAAAAACACCGACCATCTCAGCCTTAACAATACCGTATATTCAAGTCAAACCGCACTGTGTCTGCATAGCCTCTATGCTCCCTACCCTACATTCCTATTAAGCAAAGGAGGTACAGTAAACCTCATGTACGTCCATAATAGCAGCTGCATCAACAAGTCTTATCTCATATTTCTCCGCGCGAAATCTCAACTATGTGAGATTAATCTCACTGCACAACGATCTTGTCTACGCATGTCAACATACCTCATTATCAGCTTGTGTCTACAATCCAGTCTCGGTATATCCTCGCAAAGCCTGTCAACTTATTACTGACTACGGGGTTCCTTCTATTCAATGTTTCGCTATTAGGCTCCGTCATGTCATGTCTGTAGAATGCGAAGTGTACATCCATCTATTCAGTCTCATCTCTTAGCTCTTGTCTGTTCATTGCACAATTCACTCCGGGTCATATTGATCTCTCGAGTAGCAATGGATCAAGACCGAGAAGATGGGTGTCGGGGATAATATATAGAAGGTGAGCTTCGTTTATCTGATTGTACTGCACACCTTACTATATATAGATAGAGCGATGAAGTGTTTATCAACTTATGAATTGCCCATTGCCTCTGCATATTGACTGACTGACTAACTAACCAACCAACCAACTAAACCGCCCCCAACCCCCATAAAACAGACATCAACCCCCCCTCCCCATCCCCTCCAAACCCCCTCCCTACACCCTCCCCGCCTCCCCCAAAATCCCCCCAACAACCTCCCCAACCCGACTCCAATTCGCACAATGCCCGGCATCCAGCCTAACAACCCCGACCTCCCTCCCCCCCTCCCTCAACACGCCAATAAACCCCTCCTGCAGCTCAGGACTGATGATAAAATCCCTCTCGCACAGAATATAACTCGCCGGAATACTTTCATACGCAACCCTCGTCACCGCCTCTGTAAAAGACGCGGCGGAATGATGCGGAAGCAGGGAAGCGAGCTCGTATGCTTCTTCCCAAGTCGGAAGGTCGTTGCCGATTGCTTGCGCGAGGAGGTGCGGGGCGGTGTGCATGTATCCGTCCTGTTTACCTTATATCAGCTTGTCTGCTTGACGGAACTAAACGCGAGTAAGTGATGGAGGGATATAGCTTACGACGGCGCCCTCCACCATCCCCCCCGCCATCCCCACAGCATCCACCTGCCTTTCCCCCACGCGCGGCACCACAGCCGTGAAATACACGATCCGCCTCACTCCCCCCCCTCCCTCCTTCCCCACACCAAGACCAACGAGCGCCTCGCTCGTCGGCACGCCCCCGTAGCTGTGGCACACGACTACGACTTGCTTTCCCTGTGCGATTAAGGCTTCGGTTACAGCGCGGATTAGGGATGCGTCGTCGTGCATGGTGGCGGGGGGGAGGGGGTGGCGTTTTTGGGTTGAGGGGAGGGTGAGGACGAGGGCTGGGTGGGAGGCGGTGCGGAGGGCGGTTATGAGGGGGTGGTAGATGGTGGGGGGGGCGAAGGAGCCGGGGATTAGGAGGATTGTTGGGTTGGGTGTCATTGTTGGTTGTGGGTGGGGGTTTTTGGGGAGGGGGATGGGATGGGATGGGAGGGGTGAAGGGGGGGTTTTATATGTATATGTGTATCCATGTTGATCTTGGGGCGGCGTGAGATTACGCCCTCCTCTTCCATACTCTCCTCTCCCACCCTATCCTGTGTATACCTCTCCACGTCTTGATGCAAGTGAGAATACGCCCTGTCCTTCCACCCTCACCCTTCCACCCCAGACATACCTCTCCACGCTATCTAGATCAGATGGCAGCCTAACACACTGACAAATACGCCGTCCGTCTTACGCTTATGAATCCGTTGAAACGGGGTAAATCCATAGCATATCATGCGGAGATTGTGCGGAGATTGTGCGGAGATTGTGCGGCGTAGAGGTAATTACCAAGCAGTCTTGGTACGTGCAGTGTTCCTGCATTGATGGAAAGTCGAGGTTGATTGGGAGATGAGGACGGTGAGTGTGGAGAGAGATAGTTGCGCGAGAAAAAGAGATTCAGGGTGCGAGATAAGAGAGAGGATGAGTTTTTGTGGGGAGGAGAAAAGAGACAAGACAAGCCAAACGCAGTCACCTCGACGATGACGATGATGTATCAGGCGCGCCGTTATGGTGTATTGCACCTCACCAAGACCACGAGTCAGACCTACACCACCAATCTCCAGCAAAGACTTATGAGAAAAGAATAAGTGGGCGTATATTCCACCACACTCGTATATACCCATAGTTCCTCAACATGGCGGTTCAAGTTCCAGTTCCATCTACAACCCAACCAACCAACCAACCAACATACACGTCCCACCCTACCACAACAACAAGCTCCTTGCAACCGCCACACAAACCACACACTCAAACATCCCTAACCCCCCGCTTCGGAATCTCCGCCTCCACCATCTCCAGCCCGCTCAGACTGGGATACCGCTTACTAAACGTCTCGACGTCCCACTCGCTCCCCGCGCCGACATCGGAGCCCATCACCCCCGGACTCGGCTTGGTAGGCGACGGGTTCGCGGAGCCAGACACCTCTCCCAAGCCCCCGGTGCGCAGCGCCTTTGGTTTCGGGGGCGCGCGGGGCGCAGGGCCAGAGGGGAGTCTGATGCTGATGGTTGGTGGAGCAGAGGTGGACGGGGCGGGTGGACGGGTGGGTTTCGTGTACTGCAGGTCTGGCATGGGTTGCTGTGCGGGTCCAGCGGCGACGCTGACGGGCTTGCGGGCCACGGTGGGAGCTTGTCGTGCGCTGGGTTGCTCCTGCGGCCGTGGAGGTAGTGGTTTGCCTGTGTCTGTGTATTTTCCGTAGCCCTCTGCCGTGCGGCTGACGGGTGGGGGTTTGCTGGTCTCGCCGAGTAGGTTCTTGACGCGGTTTTGTATTGTGGAGGCTTTGGAGGGGCCGGCTTTGGGCTGGGCTTGGCCTTGGCTTTGCGAGGTGACGCGTTGCTTGTATTCTGCTGCTGCGGCTTCGACGCGTCGCTCCTCTTCGCTGAGTCGCCGTCTTTCGAGTTCCCTGCGGACTTCGGGTGAGAGCTCCTGTGTTTCGTTGATGGCGCTGCGGTCGTCGTCGCTGAGGCCACCGGTAACTTCTGAGCCTGCGATTGGTGTGAGTGATGTGGTGTTTTCCCGAGAATCCTCGGGCTCTGAGAAAGGTGGCTGGTCGCGCTCGTTCTCTGGCGTGCGAGACGAGTTGTTGGTTTCGAAGCGGCGGAAAGCGTCGCCGAATCTGCCTTTGACAATGTTCCTGGTGTTGGTTGTCAACGATACTATGCTGTTCCGTTTGGACTGCTTCGACTGCGAACTGCTTCGGTGATGCTTGTTCTTCTGGCCTGTGTCATCTCTCTCCATTACACGCAAAAAGTCAACGCTTGACCTGATGTTCTTGTCTTCGGGCTCTGTTTCAGAATCATCAATCGCGTTGGACGTTACTCGACGCTGCAAGGATGGGGCAACAAAGTTCCGTCCAGGCGCCATCTCACGGTTTCTGAGGTAGTCGAGGTTCGATTCGACGTGCATGCTAGCTGGTCGGGCGTTGGAGTTTGCGGATCTGGAGCGGTCGATAGTGTTCCCAAAATCCAACGCAGAAGAACGCAAACTCTCTAGTGAAGGTCGGGAGGACGCCGGCGATTTGGGAATGCTGAGCGTTGACAAGTGGGATCGTGTTCTCGAGTCCAACGATGGCCGAGTAGGCAATGCAAGTTCTGGCTTAAACGGAGGGATACCTTGGGATTTGTCAAACGAGCGAGGCTGGCTCATTGTGCGGTGGTGTTGCGAGGAGGTGGTGGGTACGCGCCAAAGCGGGCGGTTGGTAACGTCTGGATACTTCTGCGCAGGGGGTGCGGGGGATGGCGCGGGCGATGTCTGGACTCCTGTCGACACCATATTCACTCGTTGCGCTATTGGCTCGTGTATTGCCGGGTTGGATGTTCGCGGAGACTCGTATGGCTTTGGTTTCCTGAGCGAGACAGATCTCGAAACGCCTGCTGAGGGCACACTCGGAGAAGGCTTGATGGTGGGGGCCGACTCTACTTTCGTAGCTGGAGGCAGGGCGAATGCATCATCCGCCAGAGCTTCTGTCACTCGTTTGGTCAGTAGCGGGTCGGATGTTGGTGGCGATTGATCGAATTCGAACTTCTGGCCTCGGTCGTGGAGCAGGGAGAACTCGTCCAGGGATGGGAAGCGCGCCGCAAGTTCATCCGCAGCGGCCCGTCTGACTTGAACGTCCTGAGAATCCAGAGCTGCGAATGGATCCGACACAGTCCCCCTCATCGGAGAAGGACTCGGCCTTGCTGCTGGGGGCTGCTGAACGGGTGCCGTGGGCCGTCCTCTACGCATCGGCGCAATGTCCGGGATCTGCTGCACCTGCTTCACGGGGGCGACCTTCTGCAGGCCTATGATGGGCGGAGTGGAGACTTGCGGTTCGGTCGGCGGTAGTTGCTGGTTTCTGCGAGCTTCTGAGTGCGTCCGGTTGGAGTAGATCTTGCACATGTCAGTGATGGGCGGGTGGTGCGTGTGGCATGCGTACCTACGTCTTTGATGGGGTTGGAGCGATGTCTCATGGCGCAGACTTCTGACATGACCTGGTAGATGTTGGGTCGCTGCTGCGGGCTCTCGCGCAACGTCCACCCTGCGCAGCATTAGCCAAAGCCCGACTCGCACAGGACCGCCACAAACCTATCAGCTTCTTTATCCGGTCCGAGAACTGGGGGTAGGCCGGGTACTTGAAGCTCGCGTTCAGGATGGCCATCTGGCCGACCTCCTCAAAGGGCGTCGTGTAGTAGCACAGCTTGTACAGCAGCACGCCCAGGGCCCAGATGTCGCTCTTCTCGTCGATGGGCTGTTTGCGGTAGACGTCGATCATCTCGGGACTTCGGTACTGCAGCGTGGTATGCCGTTGCACGTCGTCCTCGATCAGCCTGCCCTCGGCCGCCGTCGTCGCAGCAGGCCTCGGCGGCGCGGTGGAGCCAAAGTCGCACAGCTTGTAGATCTTGTTGCCGCCGACGGTGGTGATCAGGACGTTCTCCACTTTGAGATCGCGGTGGAGCAGCGGCGGCTTCAGGTAGTGCATGGTCGCGACGCCCTCGGCCACGTCGGAGAAGATGTTGAGGATCTCGGGCTCGGTGAGGCGGTGCTGCAGGCGCGTGTTCATAAAGTCGATCAGGCCGCCGCCCGAGCAGAACTCCATCAGCAGGAAGACCTCGTAGCCGCCGCCCTGCAGCTGCGAGGCGTGCGAGTCCATGTAGGTGACGATCTTGTGGTGGCCCTTGAGCTTCTTCATCGTCTCGACCTCGGTGCGCATGTTTGCCAGCGCGTCCTTGTCCGGGACGGCCACGCGCTTCAGCACGGCCGTCTCGGGCAGGCCATCGTCGGACTTGGGGACGCGGACGAGGTAGACGTGGGCAAAGCCGCCCTCGGACAGATAGCGCTCGATGACGACGCGGTGGTTGCCGACCTGGACCTTTGTGCCCGGCGTGAAGGTGCCCGGCGGCGCATTGGAGACGGCCATGGCGGCGGGAGCGTGGTAGGCGGCCTGTTGGGCCATGGAGTGTGCGGCGGAGAGGGCATGGCGGGCAGAGGACATGGCGGGCGGTGAGGATGAGGAGGGAGCTGCAGCGGTGCAGGAGCGACGGGCAGCCTAGAGACTGTGCATGAGCCTGGGCATGAGCGTGTGCGGGTAGAGTCGAGGGCAGAGTCGAGGGCAGAGTCGAGGGCAAGAGGCCGACGTGTGCTGCTGCTGCTATGCGGGCGTCGAGACGATCATGCTGGAGGCTTCACGCGCGCCGTCCAGGGCCCTTCATCACTCAGACGGAACATCACAAGCGAAGCCACATCACAACGTCACACTCGACACTTGTTCTTGCAGGTAGCGTGCTGTCTGTGTAGACTGCACGATGGATGCGGTGAGCCCACAGGCCAATCTCAGCCAGCGCGACCTGCCAGTTGCGTGCCTGTTCGACGGCGTGCTGTGGCGGATACATGCGCGCCCTCGACAGCGTGCGGCGTGTTTCAGCGCACCTCTCCCGATTGGACAGACCACACATGGCATTCTCGTCGACGCACCATCACGGTCGACTGTCGAGAAAGACGATGCAGGTGGACATGGTCGAAGACATTCAAGAGTTGCACGTGATGCTATTTCCAAGACACACTCATATGCAGAAATCAGTGCATGTGGCAGGACGCCTGGAGACATGCTGTGTCGTTGCCATCGACATCGTCACTGCTACCAGCGGAGACATGGTGAGAGAGAACATGTCCACACGTCGATTCACAGGCCTGCAGTGAGGAGCGCACACATGACGCGTATGTCGGCGGTGAACGTCGCCGTGCTGCCGACAACAACGAGCAGCCGTTGTACGAATGGCAGTGCAGACGCGATGGGCTGGAAAAGGAGTTGTTGTCGTGGTCGTGAACGTTGCATGTCGTGGGAGGCTGTTGCTGGTGCAGGGACAGACGCATCTTAGCGGGGGCTCGTCTCACCGCAGCTGGGCAGCAACAACCCACGCCGTGTTGACAGTAGGCGTGCATGCATAGCTTCTTCCCCTCTCTCCTACCACCTGCCTATCCACACATCTACACACTTGCACCCATATCTGCGTGGTGGACGAGCCGGCTATCGTGTCTGGCTACCGTGTCTGGCTACCTGGGACGTCGTGACAGCGAGCCTATAGCGTCTCGCCGCGCTCCCCGTTCGCGCCTGCCTCTTGCGCTGTACGTGGTTTCCCTGGACAGTGCTGCTTCTGCTCTGTTGTTTGCAGGCCAGATCGGGTCTTCACAGCCGCATCGCACCCTACCCAACACGCCCAACCACAACCCATAAATCCACCGCCTTCCCTGCGCAAACCGCAAACCGCAAACCCCTCTGTCCCGTCAACCCTCTGCCCGTCAACCCACTGTCCGCCAACCCTCAGCCCCGTCAACCCCAGAACAAACACCGCCTGCAGTCACCATGGTCCGCTCCCGCCGCCCGCAGCGCGATGTGAGCGCCTCCCGCTCTGACTCCTCTTCGTCGACCTCGCCCGAGCGGGACTTTGGCTTCGACGAGGACAAGGACTCCATCATGCTGCAGTCCAACGACTCGCTGTCGTCGCTGGCTCCCTCCGTCTCGCCCGACACCGACGACGAGGCCCTCCGCCGCGCCATCGAGGAGCAGAACCGCGTCTCCCCGATATCGCGCCTGCCCGCCGAACTCGTCATCGCCGTCTTCGCCAAACTCTCGTCCCCCGCCGACCTCAAGAACTGCATGCTGGTCTCCAAGGACTGGTCGAGGAACAGCGTGGCCCTGCTCTGGCACCGTCCGTCGACCAGCAAGTGGTCCAACGTCAAGAATGTCATATCCACCGTCCGGAAGGCGGACAGCTTCTTCGACTACAGCAGCCTGATCAAGCGCCTGAACCTGTCGGCTCTGGGCCCGGAAGTCAGCGATGGCACGCTGGGACCCCTCTCCGGCTGCAAGCGCATCGAGCGCCTCACGCTCACAAATTGCACCAAGCTGACGGACCTGAGTCTTGTGACTATGCTCGAACACAACAGGAGTCTGCTCGCCTTGGACGTCACAGGCGTGGATTCGCTCACCGACAAGTCAATGCTCGCTCTGGCAAAGGACGCCGTACGCCTGCAGGGCTTGAACATCACAAACTGCAAGAAGATCACAGACGAGTCGCTGGAAGCCGTCGCAAAGGCCTGTCGTCATCTGAAGCGCCTCAAGCTGAACGGGTGCTCGCAACTGACCGACAAGTGCATCATCGCCTTCGCCATGAATTGCCGCTACATTCTCGAAATCGACCTGCACGACTGCAAAAACCTCGAGGACGAATCCATTACCACACTCATAACCGAGGGACCCCATCTGCGTGAGCTGCGCCTCGCCCACTGCTGGAAGATCACAGACCAGGCCTTCCTCCGCCTTCCCAGCGAGGCACTATACGAGAGCCTGCGGATACTGGACCTCACAGACTGCGGCGAGCTCCAGGACTCGGGGGTGCAGAAGATTGTATCTGCGGCTCCGCGACTCCGCAACCTCGTCCTGGCCAAGTGCAGAAACATCACAGACAGGGCCGTCATGGCCATCACACGCTTGGGCAAGAACCTACACTACATCCATCTCGGCCACTGCTCGCGCATCACAGACATGGGTGTCGCGCAGTTGGTCAAACTTTGCAACCGCATCCGCTATATCGACTTGGCGTGCTGCACCAACCTCACAGACAACTCCGTCATGCAACTGGCGACACTACCAAAACTGAAGAGGATAGGACTGGTCAAGTGCGCAGCCATCACAGACCGCAGCATACTGGCACTCGCGAAACCAAAGCAGATAGGCTCTGGTGGACCCATCGCGCCCAGTGTGCTCGAGCGGGTCCACCTCAGCTACTGCACCAACCTCACTCTCGCGGTATGTCCAAAATCTTACACTCTCTATCCCTTTTTTCATGTTTACTGACTCTCCAGGGTATCCACGCCCTCCTAAACAACTGCCCCCGCCTCACCCACCTCAGCCTAACAGGCGTGCAAGCCTTCCTCCACGACAACCTCCTCGTCTTCTGCCGCGAAGCACCTCCCGAGTTCAACGAGCACCAGCGCGACGTCTTCTGCGTCTTCAGCGGCGTCGGCGTCCAGCGCCTCCGCGGCTTCCTCAACACAAACGCTCAGGACCAGAATCATGGCGAGCCCTTTGATAACGAGCGCAGCATCTACGATGAGCGCGATGATCATGATGTTATTCTTAATGTCACGGCTCAGGCGCACGGCATGGCTATCGATGAGATGGACGATGAGTTTGGGAATGATAGCGAGATGCTTGGGCAGGATTGATGTGTGTTTTTTTTCGGAGGCTTTGGCTTGCTTTTTCGCGTGGATTTTTCTTCATCGGGGTGGCTATCAGGGTAGAATGAAACATTGCGGATATGGCGTTTGGGTGGGGGGGGGGCTCGGATATGATGAAGGGCATGGTTATCGGGCGTTTTTTTGCACGCGGTCGTTCTGGAGGACGCCAGGCCCCGGGTGGGATGGGATGGGATTACGGTGCGGTGCGGCTGGCTAGCTAGGCGACGATACCCTTTGTATGTTTGTTTTCCTTGTCAGTCAGTCAGTCAGTCAGGCAGTGTTTCGATCGCGTGTGCACAGATTGTATGCATATACATATGCATATCATATCACAGTATAGCATAATCTGTATACACAACATCCCAAACACCTCCCACAGTGAGTGACTACCACCTACTTCAGCAACCCACACATACACCCACAATCCGGCACAGGACACATGGCATGCCTCGCAAACCAATCCCGCGCATGATGCCCATGAAACCCATGCGTACAACTCATACAAAACACCATCAACCGACTCTCCAGCACCTCCCCGCGCAACGTCTCCACCGCGCCCGCAAGCCCCGCATCCGGACTGCCCAACCACATCATACACAGTCCGCAGCGCGGCATCTGCGCGCCGCACCCAGGGCACGCGAGAGCAGGCGGGGCGCGCATATTGCGCTTCGGCAGGGGCTGCTTCATCTGCTCATGGACGGGGCGTAAGCGGGGTTTCCCGCCGGGATCGCGCCGCAGCGCGAGGTTCTGCTGGCACTGCAAACAGCGAATCGCGAGGCTGGGCTGCGCGGGTTTATTCACGCTACGCCCCGCGCGCGTGACGGCGAAGGCGTTGTGCTCGCGGATGTAGCGCGTGCGGGGCAGGAAGGTGCGCCAGGGCTGGTGGGCGGCGAGGAATGCGGTTTTCCAGAGGGGCCAGCGGGGGTCGTGGATGTAGAGGGGGCAGGCGCGGGAGAGGATTAGGACTGCGGATTGGAGGGCTGTGGCGGGGGGGTGGGTGGAGATGTGTGTTTGGAGGAGGGTGAGGGTTGGGGGGGTGAGGCCTGTGAGGAGGAGGCCGGGGAGGAAGCCGGTTGTTGTTGCGTTGTGGGCTGTTTGGGCGAGGAAGGCTGTTAGGGGGGGGTCCGGGAGGTATTTTAATGCGATGGAGAGGCGGTCGGCGAGGGAGAGTTGCGTCATGGAGGCGACGGTCGACCAGGAGCTGGTTATGAAGTAGGTTAGGAGGGATTTTAGGTACGGGTCTGTGGTCATGTCGGCCATCCAGGCGCAGGCTTCGCGCTGCTCGGGGGGGATCCCCGTCGATGAGGCGCAGGATATGACTGCCGCGAGGCCGATGAGTTCGGGGGGGAGTTTCTTCTCTGTGAGGTTTGTGCGGAGGAGGGCGAGGGCGATGTCCTTGTGGCCCTGGAAGACCGCGAGGACGATCGCCTTGTATATCTCGCCTGACGAGGACAGCGCGTCGGCACGGGCTTGCACGCCGTCTTTATCGAGGGGCCAGCCACATAGGCTGAGGCAGAGTTGGCGGTTCTCCGGGTACTCTGTGTCGACGCCTTCGAAGGGGGGGAATTCCTTCGCTTCGACGATCTCTTTGACGGCGTCGCGGAACATGGCTTGGCTGGTCTTTGTGTCCGGGTCGATGAGGCGCTCGTCGTACATTGTGAGTTCGTTGTCCCATATTGAGCTCACGCCCAGGTACTTCAAGTCGAGGCCGTTGCCTACCATGCCGTCGTCCTGGGCGTGAGCATCCATGCGTTCGATGAACGTCCATATGTCGACAAGCCAGGGGTCGTTGGCCACGATCGTCTTGTTCTGCGCACACCCCAGCGAATATCCTTCCTCGCAGCGGCGTTTGGCAGTCTGCAGGACGGCCAGGTAGTCGGAGAGTGGGATCTTGACGTCGGGATACGCTATCTGCAGGATATCCTCGTGCATCTGCTGGCTGGCGTGTGAGCCGGACAGCAGGGGGAGGTTTCGCTGGCTGTTGCTCAGACTCAGTCTGTCGGTGCTTCCGGCAAGGTCGCTCACAATCTCAGGATCGAGGTCGTATTTCTCAATAAGAGCACTATTTTGTATCTTGAGCAGGTCCTCTGCAATAGTCCCTTGAGGAGGGGTCGGTCTGGCAATACAAGTCCGGTCTTTGTATATCTCCTCGAGAGCGGTCACGTTGATGCGCGGAGCTGGACGGGGAACCTTCAGGACCTCGACTTCACGGTTGGAATGCAACGCCAGCGCACACTGTCCACTGAGTGGGTTGCCGACAGTCATAAAGTCGTAGGCTACGATGCGGTCCTTCTCCTCCGAACGGTTCTCCTTGTCGGGCCACGGATACCGCAGATGGTGCGTTGCTTTTGTGTAATGGTTTGATGCCCACGCCCGGGCGAATGGCGTATCCGGCGCCTGGTGAGGCTCCAAGCGATGCGAGTGCTGCGCAAGCTCGATAATCTTGAACTCGCCAGTGTTTGCTAGTACGCCAAATGTACCTCTCTTGGTTCCAGAGTAGCGCAGACTCCAGATGCTGGCCGTCGGGCTGTTGTCGACTATGGGCCTGAATTCCAAAACAGCCCCATTGCTCGTGGGGTCATTAGAGCCGTGACGCTGCTTGACCATCCGCTGATCCCATACAGTCACAGTGGGGTCTCCCGTCGTTCCGGCCGACAAAAAGTAGTGCTCATCTAGGGGATCTATGGCGAGATTGTGTACTTGTCGGGTCTGGAACTGCGCAATGCCAGATGCGCTGGGATCTGGGAGACATGAGTATGGCCAACTTTATCTGCCAAGATACAGCATGCGAACGCACCTCGAAGATCATAAACCCGCACATACTGTCTCGAGACGCCCGCAATCAGGGTATCCGGCTGTCCCGAGAAGAACTTGATACTAGAAATCGCCTCCGAGCTCGCCAATTTCTTGTACGGCTCATCCTTACTCGGAAACCTCGCATCATTCAAGTCGTAGATATTCAAGCACACATCATTCCTCACCCTATCCAGGCCCGTAGCAAGTAGGTTCTTCTCACTAAACGCAATGGAGTTGCACTTGCGCTGATGCTTGATGGGAAAGGCATGGAGGAAGTCACTGTCGGGCTGATCGGGGTCGATTTTCACAAGCACGGCTTCTCCCGACGCTGAGCCTATGCCGACGAGGCTGGGGTCTTTCTTGGACCAGTCGAAGGCTGTGTAGTTGGGCAGCTTGTCGCGGATGCAGAGTTGGCTGTAGCTGACTTTGGTCTTGTTGAAGCTGTCGATTCGGCAGAGTCGTAGCCGGTTGCTGGCCACGTCGATGATTAGGAAGCGTGGGTCATGCTGGGTGGAGTGAGGCGACCATCTGATGGCTGCTTCCATGTTACTGGTCGATCACCTGCGATGCCGTTGGAGGAGAGGAGGGTCGGGGGCTCTGTGCATCTCATCGAGCGGAGATCGTTGTGAGGGGGAGCTCTAGTGTCCAGTGTGCATCCACCATGTCTCAATTGGGTTGAGAAGAGTCCAGCTGCCAAGTTCAAACGACGTCAAGGGTGAAAGCACGACGCGTGACATGGACACACAAGGCGGTGAGACGGGCAGAATCCAGCCCCACTAAAACTTTGGCGTCGCGCTTTTCTCCGACTCTCCAACATCGCATCTCACACAGCCAATCCACACACCCACACACCACCATGTCGCAAAAACGCAAGCACGCCTCCGTCGCCGACCTCGAAGCCGCAAACCCAACCTCGACCAAGAAACACCGCCCCTTCAAGCCCCGCAAGCCACGCACCGACAATGACGACAAAACCACCAGCGCAAACGCGCTCAAAGGCCGGATACGCGACCTCAAGCGGCTCCTCGCGCACGTGGAGAATGTCCCCAAACACAAGATGTCGGCCGGTGCGCGGATAGAGCGCGAGCGGGAGCTGGAGGCGAGCGAGCACGAGCTGGCGGAAATGACGGCCAAGGCGCGCGAGGGCGAGTACCGGCGGAAGATGATTGGAAAGTACCACCAGGTGCGATTTTTTGGTGAGATTAACACGGATTGTTATGTTATGTAGGAGAAACGCTGATGGGAGTAGATCGCCAGAAAGCTACTCGCATACTCAAGCGGCTCAAGAAAGAGCTCTCGACCACGGAAGACGAGGCACAGAAAACAGAGCTGGTGCAGAGTATACACAACGCTCAGGTTGATGTCAGTTATGCGATATATTACCCGCTCATGAAACCCTACTCGGCACTCTATCCCAAGACGAAGAGCGGCAAGGCGGATGATGCCGAGGCCGACGGAGACAACGCGAAGGACAAGAGCAGCGACCAGGCAGATGGGCCGAAGGGCGATGTGGTCATGTGGAGAGCAGTCGAGACTGCTATGGAAGAGGGCACGCTGGAGGGGCTGAGGCACAGCAAGGGCGAAGTACCTGCAGCGCCGCCAAAGAAGGACTGGGCCGCAAAGGCGAAGAAGAGCAAGGATATCGAAAAGCAAAAGCGTCACGACACTGCAAAGGCCAGTGCCACACGCGAAGAGGACGAGGACAGCGAGGGCGGCTTCTTCGAGTAGGCTCCACAACACGTCAGGGTCGTCACTAAGTTGGGAGCAGAGTTCATTCGCATATATACCCACGACTCGTCGCGAATACAAAACCCTCATACATGGCCCATTTCCATTTCCGTCCTCCAACCATCACCACCACCAACACACCTTCTCCCACCCCCTACTTCCCCCCAAAAACCCTCACAGGATGCGCCTCAGTATTAAACACCCACTTATCCCCTCCCTCCCCGCCAACATGCCACTCCCCACCTTCCACCTGCACAGCCCACGCATACTTCAGCGTCTCAGCAAACCAATAGCTCTCCTGAAAATCCATATACCCGCCCCCACCCCGCACATCCACATCGTTGACACTAGAAAACCCACTGCCCACGCGCGTCGTCGCGTTAATCGCCACAAACGCATCCCACGCCCAGTCCTGGTACTTGGTGTCGTGCGTCGCCCGGTACGCGTAGTAGTAGCTCTCGATGACCTCGGGACGCAGGTTGTACGCGGGGTTAGTGATGTAGAAGCCGTTCTGCGCGAAGAAGGCGGTCTGGTCAGCGGGCACAGTGTGCGGGTCCCAGGAGAAGACCTCTGGGCCTATTTGTGTCGCGGTTGCGGCGTATGTCGCGTGGCAGGCGTCGACGAGCTCTAGGCCGAAAGCAATGTATTTGTCCTCCTTGAGGGCGCGGCCAGCGAGGATGAAGTTGCCGCCGTGGAAACACGCGAGGTGCTCGCTCTCGAGCAGTAATGTCGTGCCGTTGAAGCCCGCGACGAAGGTCAGTTCGGGCTTTGTCTCGGGGTGGCTGGCGAGATGGGCCATCGTGCTGTCTGCGGCTGTCACCCAGCGGTCCTTTAGCTCCGCGTACCGCGTCGGGTCGTAGATCCACATCTTGAGCAGATACTCGTAGAAGGAGTCGTCCCCGCCGCCCCAGCCGCCGCGGCTGTCTAGGAACATGCCAGTGAGGGGGTCGATGGTTCCGCCTAGCAGTCCGGGGAATGGCTCGGCCCATGCTGGCTCTGGGTGCAGGAGGTGCTGTTCTGCGGCCTCGACGAGCGACGCGTAGGTGCTGTTCCCGCTGAGGTCAGCGAGGCGGACCCATTCGAGGATCAGGGTGCCGGTTGTAGCGAGGCCGTTTGGCGACCCGTCGTTCCCGCTGCCGTTTGCGGATAGAGTGAGAGTGTTCCAGGGCACGCCGCTGGGCGTGTTGAAGGCGAAGCTCAGCGTGTCTGCTAGCTTGATGCTCTGGCTGAGCAACGCGTCGACGTGCTCTTTGTTGTCTGCTAGGTGGGCGAACGGGCCGGAGAGGAGGTCGAAGCCAGAGAGCATACCGCCCAGGTAACGGATTGTGGTCTCGAAGAGTGAGACTAAGGTTGGCGTTGTGGTCCAGTCGATTGTGGGGATATGGGCGAGGATCTGGTGGACTGTTTCTTCTTCCTGCATGAGGATGGCCGTAGATAATGCGTCGACGGCGGAGGCACCCCATCCATTGCTATGCTAGGCTTCAGTGGAAAAACTTGGGGTGAAATCATGCCACTGCATACCGAGAATTACTAGACCCGTTCGTCACAGGCTTGAGTTCGTCGTTGGGAAACGCGTGCGTGTAGTAGCCCTCCCAACTCACTCTAAACGCATCGACAACAGCTTGCGCCCTGTCTGCTGCGGTCGAAGAACCGTATCGCGTCTCCGCATTATCTGTTTCGGGGGAGGTAGTTGGGAGGCCAGAAGTCAACGAAGTGAAGAGCGATCCCAGAGCGAGAAACTTAATCCACACCATACTGCTATGTTAAAAAGCGACTCGAAAACAAGATAAAGAAGAATACTCCCCACACCGATGTATTAAATAAGACAGAAACAGACCAAACACACTGGTTCGTGACGACATGTATACCTTTGCATGTACCAAACATCAACAATACTCCCGCATGATTCTACGAACCACATGTCCATCTTTTTCCTCATTGTGACCTTTGCTGGATGGGTGGAAATGTGGGTTTTCCCCGCAGCCGTCTCACGTATAGCCGACCCTGATATTGCAATCGTCTATCATCACGCGTTGCGTTGTAGTGGATCTGCCAGGCGCATGACACTATCATATTCAAGGAAGGCGGGAAGACGCAGTTCATGTGAAAGGTGTCTGGAAATAATGCAGGTGTATCGAACTGTCAAGATTAAATTTCGCTGCATCCTCTGGGGTTGTTCACATGCGTGAGGTGCACATGGCTCGGCGACATGTTCGTCGATCGAAACGATAAAATATCGTCAAGCTCACGATAGCAGATCTACAACGACTTGAATCAGAAAACAAGGTGTCGTTGTGCAGATTGAGAATAGAAGTTAAAGGTTGTGCCTGGACACATGCACAAGTGCGGGGCGAACCGTTGTGGAGGCGTCCGTGCATTCACTTCCGCGGCGTCAGTCCCACCTGCTGGATTAGTGGAGTATTTAGCACTGTCAAGATTGATTTGCCCGTTGGAGTTTGTTTCGCTTGCAAGCCCGACATGAGACGTATATTCTCTATTCTATCATGTCATCCTTATGTCTCAAAGACGTTACTTACGTTCACGCTGGTTCGGCCCAGTCGACTTGCTCCGTTACTGGAGTCCCGCCTGCTGAGTATGTGATCTTGAGCCTGAGCTTTAGTCTGGGTGGAGGAGGCTATGCACACGTTAGTACATGGCTCGCAATTTGGATGTACGAACAACTTACCCCATTGACTGCCGTGACCCTCATCTGTTGTGTAGCCTCTTGTGCTGCATCTAATTCACCGGAGCTGATAGGCTGTAACTGCAGCTTTTGACTCTTGGGAACCGCGGCTTGTAGATTGACGGCGGACAATTGACTGAAACTCCCCGTATTCCGGAATCGAGCAAGGAGTTGCACAGCGTTTGCGTCACGCTTCAACTGGAAGACTATCTGGAGATCGTTCTTGTTGTACACTGGGTGCGCAGGCGGACCAGAAGAAGCGGATGGAGTCGAGGTCTGAGGTGGTGGTGACGACAATCCACCGAGGAGGTCCATGGACGCTGCTTGTGGTGGTGGTCGAGACTGCGCGGGAGCTGGCGAGCTGGCAGGGCCGGCGTTGAAAAGATCCATGATGTTCGCAACATTGGATTGTGGAGGAGGTGGGGATTGTGATGGTGATGAGGGCCCTCCACCACCAAGCATATCAGCCAAAAGATCTTGACTCCCAGTACCGTTTGCTGTACCATTGGTGTCTGTAGGAACACCCGAGTCGCCCATCAAGTCGAGTAGTAGATCCTCCGTCGCCGCCTGTGCAGGTTTCTTCTTGTCGATGATTCTGGATTGTCGCTTCTTGGTCACTTCGCCAAGCACTTGCTGGTCCGCGCGGATCTCAGGCGGTGGCATTTTCTCAAGGACACCCCTCCGGATTTGGTCGTGCCCAAAGAGGTTTCCGTACTCAACCGCACGCTGCTGGGTCTCAACATCGAGATTCGTACCATACCTTTGCAATAACCGTCGCAGACGCTCGACTTGGGCAGGATCGCTTAGCCGGGTTGTCAATTTTATGGAAGCCGTGATGATGTATTGTTGAACGATGAGACCCGCATAGCTGCTGCCGAGGATGGTTTCGAGGAGATCCACAATATCGCTTTCCTTCACTTCCTTGACGAGTTCCTCTTCTTCGTACTGGCCGCCTTTCAGTAAAGCGTCCCCGTACTCTCCAATCACCCAAGAGCCGGCAAGCGTTAGGCCTTCCTGAGTAATATCATCTTTCAAAGCGGCGTAGAGTTTCTGTACAGAGTAGGTTTGCAGGTCAGGAGTCGTAGCGATCAATCGAACGAACGATGATAATATCTGCTCCTTGACGTATGCACCAGCCTAAGACATATATTAGCATGCTACGTGATGTATCGAGAAGTGCATATGCTTACAAGCTTCAGGACACGCAACATTGTATCAACGTGCCATCTCTTATTTGGGGCAAATCGGTCAGCTGCAATACCGATCTGCGACGTCATGACAGGCTTGAATTCGTTATCGGCGACCTCCAGGAAAGCAAGCAGCTCTCGGATCAAAACTCGCACGTTGCTTTCGTTGATCAATGTAAAACTGAGGTCGAGCGCTCTCCTTCGGATACTGATGTCAGGATCTCGCAGACAGTCCAAGATGGTATTGCGATGCCGTTGAACGGCGTTGGGTTCCACCGCCACGACCTTGTTTAAGGTGTTAAGCGCGACGTATCTGATGTTGTTGTCCCTGTTCGACAAGAACTTTCCAAGGATGTTGACACCAAGTACACGGAGACCAGAGTCAGCCTCGATATCGAGGATCGTAAGTACGGACTCGTAGAGAATCGAGTTGCCTACGTTTTTCGTGGAGTCTGTGTTAGTAGCGACCTAAACAAATCAGCTCTAATCCCAGTCGTTCACCATGGGGTTCTTACCTGCGCCAAAATGTCATTGATCTGCTCGCTGACCTGGACGTCACCGCGTCCAAGGACGCGGAGCAACTGCAAGATCTTGCACTGCAAAAACGGATCCGTAATGCCGGTTACATCGTGTTCAGGCGCATATCCAGATGACGAAAGCCCCTTCAGTATCTTGACCAGGCTTGGAACCAGCGGCTTGAAAGTAGCCTTGATGCCGTTCTCGTCGTCTTCCAGTTCGTCCGCCTCACAGAGACCTGTAACCAATGTGATGCCGCACAAAAGCACGCCATGATTCCGATCTTGCAACAGCAATTTAGACTTCTCCAAGAAATGCTCCTGCAGGTCAGGCACTTTTCGACATATCCTCATGGCGCAGAGTGCGGCTTTGCGACGTATGTATGGGTTCGCGCTCGATATTATGGTTTCGACTTCAGGGAACAGATCTCGAGCCATTTCGACGGAGGCGATATTTCCGAGAGTGCAGAGGGCCAGGCCAACAATGTACTGGTTCGCATGGTTCAAATCACTGAGGGGGTCAGCAGTTGGCTTCATGCGTTGTTGGCAGAGAGACGCACTTTTTGAGCGAGTTTGTGACCAGCGTTAAGACTTCTTGATTCTCGTCCAGCAGCAACATTGTCCCCAGGTAGCCCAGTCGCTTGTCCGCAAAACGCGGGGATGCCAGGAGCTTTAGGCATTCGATCTGCCCAAAATGTGTCCTCTCACCCAGGGTGAAGAGATAGAGGAGTTTGGCGACATTGTTTCTCCTGCTTACGTGTGAACAAAAGCCCCTCCGGCTGCAACAGCACAACACACCTCACGTTCGAGTCGTGGCTCTCGTGCCTGAAGCTCGAGCGGATCGCCGCACTCTCCTTCTGTACAACCGCTCGCTCATCGGCTATCGTCTTTGCGGCTCGCACATTCCGAATGAATTGCTTCACTAGAATCTCTCAGCACATGTAAATAGCCATCCACGATGCTTGGCGTACGAGTTGCCATTGCAGTGGCCTCTGGGACCCCACCCAAGAAGCGCTTAGGAAATTAATGAGATGGCTGTTCAAGAGAATGGTAAACGGAGTCGCTGGCCGGTAGGAAATCGCATTCGTACGAGCGCTTCGTCCGCTGTTGTGCTGTCGCTGCTGGCTGATGTTCGAGGAGTACGGTAAGGCTTAAGGCGGGCCAATGTTGTTCCAGGCTCGAACGCACCTTCCTGTCTCAAAGGAGCCTAACCTGCATGACTCGCGTGCGCTGATGTAACCGGTGCCATCATATCGCGATTTGGACCCTTACGAGCCAATATTTAGAGAGAAGCGTGGTAATATTTTAGTTTTCTACGAATACAAACGCGTCTTTGCCTTGATTTTCTGTTAGGCCTGCAAGAAAGCCCCGGACCTGTTCCCCTCCACCAACCGCAGCGCTGACTGCACATCTGACACAACGAGTGACCCGGTTTAGTCGCTGATCCCAGTTCTGGGCCACGTCTGTTATACTCACCTCTGCCGCTCTTCTACCACTCTAGCATGCACATTCACTTCTCCCCATGATGGCCGAGTCTACCTCTATCGACGCGAAACTGCACAACGGGAATGGCGAGTACCATTCGCCGCGGCCGCGTAAACCAAACAGAATAGACCTGCTCAAACCGCGACTGAGCGATGAAGCTTTCAACTCAGATGGCACGCTGAAGGACCCTGCGTCCATCGTCTCCAGGTACAATTACAAAATGCACCACACACAACTCACGCTGATCCGTACAGCGGTCGAACAACTCCCATCCCTGTAGACGCCCCGCCCTCGGTCCAGGCATCCTCCTCTGCAAGACGTCGAATTCGAGCTCAACAGAAGCAGCGCATGTTCCCTAGCATCGACTACGTCGATCGCGTCTCACATTTTGACCCAAACAGCGACTACCATGACTTTCGCGGCTTCTTCGTCCTGTTCTGGATTGGACTGGCTATTATGGTCATGACCAGCATGTTGCGAAACTACAAGGAGACGGGGTACCCTCTGCAGATCAAACAATGGGATTTGTTCAAAGAGAAGATCTGGGAGCTCGGTATGGTCGACGGCGCCATGGTGTTCAGCATTGCATTGTCACTGCCTCTGCAGAAGTTGTTCCTCCAAGGCGACGGAGTACTACGCTGGAACAAGCTTGGTTGGGCGATTCAAAGCGTATATCAAGCGATCTGGCTTTTGTTTTGGGTCACGTATGTGCACCATGGGCGTTTTCCTGTTCCAAACTAATATTTGCAAAGGTACCCTTTTGTTCGTGACTGGAGTTGGACGGCTCAGGTTTACTTCACCCTGCATCTGCTCGCTATTTTTATGAAGATGCACTCTTATGCGTACGTATCAGTGGTAACGAACTTTTATTAACCCTACTAACATCGCTAAGTTTCTACAACGGCCATCTTAGCGAGACTCTGCGTCGTCTGAACGACCTCGATACGCCCGACAAAGCTAGCAAAGCAGCAGCGGTTCGATACCCGAAGCCTCGAACTCACCTACACGAGGTCTTGCAGTCTCCCCAGCAGGAAGAGCCTGCCAATGCGAATACCGAATATCTGCCCCAGCTCCGGGAAGACCTCGCGTTTGAACTCGCCTCGTCTCTCGGTCATGTGTCGTATCCTGAGAATCTTACCCTCTACAATTTCGTCGACTTCGTGTTCTGTCCCACTCTTTGCTACGAACTCGAATACCCTCGCACCTCCGGAATTCGATGGATGGAGCTCTTCTACAAGACTCTCGCTGTCTTTGGGTGTATTTTCCTGATGGTTATTGTAGCAGAGGAGTTTATTCTGCCAGTCTTGGGTGAATCGGCCGTTCAGATGCAGAACGCAAAGAGCGCGTTGGACCTTGGTCTCGTCTTGGGCGAGACGATTGGTCGTCTGCTCTTCCCCTTCATGATCACCTTTCTGCTCGTTTTTCTTGTCATCTTCGAGTACGTCTTGGGCGCATTCGCGGAGATTACATGTAAGCACCCAAATGAGGAGCAGTGAAGGTGCAGTTGCTGACAAGATACAGGCTTTGCAGACCGTCAATTCTATGCAGACTGGTGGAACAGCTGCGACTGGCTCGAGTTTTCTCGCGAGTGGAATAAGCCTGTTCACCACTTCTTTCGTCGACACGTATACTCAGCGTCCAAGAACCACATGTCACGGCCTGTTGCGACGACCCTAACTTTTCTCATCTCCGCTCTAGCGCATGAGTTGGTCATGGGCTGCATTACGAGGAAGTTTAGAGGTTACGGGTTTGTTGCCATGATGCTCCAGGGACCCATAGTCTTGGTTCAGAGGAGCAAGTGGGTCAGGGGACGAACGTTGTTGAATAACGTTCTATTCTGGTGCAGTATGATTCTGGGGCTGAGTTCGGTAAGTCGATCCCTCTTTTGGTAGCATTGAATGCATACTAATAGTCACTAGATGTGTGCGTTGTACGTCCTTGTATAAACAGTCGGAATACCGAAATCGATTTGCACGCTGCTCGCAGAATGGACTTTCGTTTGTGGCAACGGACTTGCGAGATACCCCTCTTTGACTAGATAGATGTTTAGATATTTGGTAGACCGTCTGCTATCGTTTTTATCAGCCTCAAAGGCTTCAATCGTGCATGTGTCCACCCCGAAGATTTCAATCGTACTCGTATGTAACGCGCAGCGTATTGCAACGTGCAATACGCGTACACATGCGCGTATCCCGTATTTTGAAACAAGCCACGAAATGACGTAGGATCCTCGTTCATGTAAGGACCATCCATGGTTGCAGCAAGGCGACGACAGGCATCTGGACCCCTCGCGGAAGCATGGCAACCGACCCCACGAAAGGGCAAGGGTAGCAGGGATGACGTCGCGCATGGACGACCATGAATCGCGACATGAACTTGACATTGCCTTCTGTTTCATGGCGTTGCCTTGTATTGTGTTATCTTCCAGCCTGCTGACCTGGCGTTGCAGCTGCCTTTCTAGCTTGATACCCTATATCCAATACATTTCCTCCAAAGGTTGTTTGCGTAGTGATTTCATTAATCGTCACCACGCGCGCTATACGGATATATCGGTTCGTTGACAGCAACTAACCCTGGACCTTGCTCGTAGATACCCAGACTTGAGCCTCTTTCCAGCATACCCTGTCGCATCATGTCGGACCTCCACAAGGCACTAGAATGTCTTCGTCCAAAGGAATTTGAGAATGTCCCAACCGACAACCTCAAGGCGTTCTTGCCAGAGATTCTCGCCAACGCAGAGTTGATCGCGAATTCGGTCCCTCCGCCACCCAATGGCACGCCCTACGAGTCCTCGAAGCGCACGCGAACAAATCCACAGCCTGCGTTCAATGCTGCTGACCTCACAATCTCTGATGTGAGACGCCCACTGCCGGCCAAAGAGCATGCGGCGCTGCACAAGTCATGGGGCAAGCCATTGAAGCTGGGGAACAAAGAGGCGGCTACGGGCATGAGCGTGTTCAAGATGGCGGGCAACGACCGACACGGCGCGTGGTTTGCGAGAACAGGTGTGCACGAGGGTCTTGGGTTTGCCAAGTGGAAGCGTGCCATGCTGAGGGAGTTTCCCGAGAGTCTGGAAGTGCAGGGTGGGCCTGGAACGGGCAACGTGAGAGGCATTGGGGGTGATCAGAAGCTGGAGGACATCAATGTGGACGGCATAGGAAAGCTTGAAGGTATGTGGACCAACTGCTGCGGCTGACAAAGAACTGACGCTTGGATAGTGTACCAGTTGTCTGCGCAGTTCCCTGGCCCGACATCACCACGAGAGTTCATTACGTTGCTCATCACCTCGGATCAGTGCCTCACTCAGGCCTCCAAGGTTGGCGATGCTGTTCCGCGGCACTACATGGTTGTCTCAATACCAGTGTCACATCCGAATGCGCCGGCTCGAAATGGCATGGTGCGCGGCTTCTACGAGTCTATAGAGATGATCCGAGAGATACCTCTCCCTGAGGGAGGCGACGCCGAAACAAATCCAGTCGAGTGGACAATGGTGACGCGCAGCGACCCTGGAGGTGGTATTCCGCGTTTCATGGTCGAGCGAAACGTGCCTAGTAGCGTTGTGCTGGACGCGGTCAAGTTTCTCGATTGGGCTTGCCCTAGAGACGACCTTGATCAACCACAGGAGGAGAAGCCGCCAGTAAGCAATACAGACAGCAAGGCGGAGCAACACTCCGATGCACACCCATACCACTCGATAGCGGAGTCGAATGGCATCACTGCGGGTGTGGGGACTAGCATTGCCGACAGGCCATCAAATACATACCGACGTATATCACACCAAGCAGTAGACACACCTGATAACGCAAACCAAGGAGGTCTAATCGCTCAATTCAGAGACGCAGTAGGAGCTTACATACCCGACGCGATGAACCCACTACAACGCACCTATTCCAGCAGTTCCTCATCTTCATCCTCGTCAGCAGACTCGTTCGCCTCAGCCGAACAGTTCACTGAGGAACCAACCACCGCACCTCAAGGCCTTCCCATCGACAACAGCATTCCCACGCCATCCCTCCGCTCCGAGATCTCCCTTCCCGCCGCCGTTGCCGTCGACGAAATCCCCCAATCGAAGGAACTCGTCAAAATCGAAGAAAAGAAACAAGCCGTGCAAGAAAAACTCGACGAGGCGCGCGAAAAACAGACTCGAGAGCTCGAAACAGCAGAGGGTTTGAAGAACCAGAAAGACCTCGAGAAAGCGACGGAGAAGCAACAAAAAGAGATGAAGAAACAAGAAACAAAGTTCGAGAAAGAGATGCGCAAGCTCGAGGAGCGCCGTGAGAAGGAAACGCGCAAGTTACTCGCTAAACAGCAGAAGGAGGTGGAGAAGAATAAGCTCTTCCAGACACAGCGCGAACTCAATGAGTGCAGGCAGAAGTTTGATCTGATGGAGCAGGAGAACAAGTTGCTCAAGGAGCAGATTGCTGAGATGCAGAGGGAGAATACGGCCATGGTGGTGCGGATGGGGAAGAGTGAGGCTGGGAAGGAGATTTTGAAAGCGGTCAAAGAGGAAGATTCTTCTTACATCACGGGGCGCAATAGGACAAGCTCCAGGGCGAGTGGGAGTTCGGGGGTTAGTGGACGTTTGGGCGGAGTCATTTCAAGGACGGGGACTGAGTCTACCGTTGGTTGAGGATGGGTGAGTGTTCTAATGTTTGGCTTTTGTGTAGATGTGGTCGCTTGCTTGCTTGCTGTAGTCTGGCAGCACAACATAATCAACACTCCTATATTCCTCACTAGTTTTCCCTACATCAATCCTCACCATCTACACCCTCTTACCCTCCACCCTCCCCAACTGCTCCACCATCCAATCCCGTACCCGCTCACTATCCCCCACCGGCACCGGATAATGATGTCCCATCTCCCACTCCACCACCTCGCTCATCCCCTCCCCAACCTCATAATGCCCCGCAATCAGCCCTTCACCCGCCCACTTCCACTCATCCTGCCTCCCCTGCACATGAAACGTCGGAGTCCTAATCTTCCTCCCCAGCACTTCCTCCCGCCTCTCCGCCGTCAACCCACTATGTGCAAGAACCCCCTGCGGCACAAGCGGCGGGGCATAGGACCCGCAAATACTCAGCCCGAACCCGAAATCACACCACTCGGTCCCTTCGTCAAGTTTCCCAGTCTCCTCCCGTGCAGCCCGCACCACCTCGCTCCCGCGCAACAGCCCGGCCACAACTTTGGTCCCCTGGCTGAACCCTACGAGCCCCACCACCCGACTCCCCCGGCTCCGTGCCGCTTTCACCGCGTCGCGCACGAGGCTCTCGACTTCGGGGGAGAGCGCGGATGTTGAGTCCCCGCGGCGCATGCCCTCGAGGGTGATCTTCTCGCTGGGTGGTAGCCACCGGTAGAAGGGGCCGCAGCCGTCGAAGAAGGGGAGTATGCCGGGACCGGCAGGGGATGGGAAGGGCGCTGCGTGTTGCGTGGATTAGTATGTGGTTTGGGGGAAGGAGAGGGAAGAGGATGAAGGGGGAAATACCTTGCAAGCTTTCTATTTCGAAGTGTTGTTTCAGGAGGCGGGTTAGGCGGGCGAGTTGGACGGTGTGGACTGTTGCGTTGCTGCCTGAGCCGTGGAAGGCGAGGAGAGTTGGTTTCGCAGATCCATTGCTGTTGTTGTTGTTGTAGTCTTCGCCCGAGCGGGTCATGAATGTCGAGGGTGATGCCATGATTTTCCAAATCTTCTTCCTTTGTGTTTGTTCTCTCTTTCTATCTTCTTATCGAACGTCTATGCTCTTTAACCTGAACAATCTCAACACAGTCTTGTCGTATCGCACGTGCAGTTCGTGACGTCTTGCTCTTGATACGCGTAGAAAACAAAACTTCAAAACTGGTGTATAAACCCCAGGAATCCCAAAGATATCTCTTTTTTCTTAGTTAGGGTTCTTGTGCTCAAGGACAAATGATCGATCTTATCAGATCGTTCACCCGTCTGTTATGGCGTTTTGGTGAATGTAATGGTGGAGTAGTGGGTAGGTAGATAGTGCCGGACATCGGAGCAAAGTCGTCATCCTCATTCGCCAAGCAAAGATTGCGCGTATGAGGGGCTATCAGGTTTGGAAAACGACCCTTTCTGATAATACATCGATAGATGGATGGATGGCTAGCTAACGAACAGTGTTGTTGTCTTGAGGACTGATCTAAATTGCTTTGTATGTTCAGTATGAGATCAAGCGCTAGGGCATTTCACGATCAATCAACTCTCGAGACTACTCTTCCAGAGCAGACAACACGAAGCCCAGCACATCACACTGACAACCAGTCCAAAGAAGTTTTTGATTCATGCATTCCTCATTTTGATTCCGTGACAATAAAGTCCCGTCTATAATCCATTGAACCCATCACGTCGTAACCTCACATAATCACTCATTCCTCCAAACTCCATACCATGCCCGAAGTCGAACCGATGCAGCGAATAGAAGATGATGCGCGAGCGGGAGATATTGACACGCGCGGCGAAGCACGTTTACTGCTCGGTCTGGAAGTAGTTGAGGAGGATGCTGCGCTCCTGGGACTCCTCACCCCAGTCCTTGACAACGACGCAAGAGCAGTTGACGACCTTGCGGGGGTTGCCTTCGCGGTCGATCTGGCCTATATACGGATTAGCCCATATTCACACACCAAGTTATGATATCATCAGGGAACACGTACAAAGACCGGCCCACTCGCCGAGCTGCTTGCCATCGGGGACCTTGATGAGGGGGATCTTGTGCTCCGAGCACAGCGCAACAACGAGCTTCTTGTACGCCTCCTCCTCGCACGCCTCGTTCAGGACACACATGTGTGCCTGACGACGGTCGAGGGCCTTGGACGCCTCGCGCAGACCGCGCGCAAGTCCGTCGTGGATGAGCGCGAGCTTGAGAACGCCCTTGAGCGCCTCAAGCACGGACATCTGTCCGGTGCCTGCGGAGGCATCGGCAGAGACCTCCACCTCGGCGGCGGCGCTGACCTGGGACTTGGTATCGTCTTCTCCGTCCGACTGTGAGGATGAGTTAGCAAATGGTTGAGGGGAACGAGTGGCGGGGCATGGCTGCGCGCAACCCGAGTCTGGATCGCGCAGTCTCGCAGATGCGGTTGAATTTGATGCGATTGAGGGTGCTGTCGTACCATGATGATTGATTTCGATCTGTCGGGTTTCCTTGAAGAGTGGTTGGTGTTGATAGAGTGATAAAGGAGCTCAAAATTCGAGAAGTTCGGTGCGCCGAAGCGAGTTTTAGCGTCGATCTCACGTGCAGCCCCACCAAGTACGATGGATGCTGCAAAGGGCTGGATTCGTAGATCAAGTGGTCAGGAAGATGGTAAGCATGGTTATGTTGCTCAATGAACAGCATTTGAGCTTACAAGTAAATTCCATAAGCCAGGCTTACTTTTCGAGTTAATGTGAAGTTCAAACAGTAACAGATATCATCATCACTCATCATGACACGGTGACCACATATTTGAACAAGACTGTTTATTTCTACACATTCTGCCACTCTCAACGCAACCTTGCTGCTGCTTTGGACCAGCCGTAGCTGTAGCCATGTCTCCCGTTTCTGCGTTGATCATGTGTCTCTCTCCTTTCTCCACCACCTCACCGCCTCAATGACTTAGATTGTACGAAAGAAGCGCCGAAAAACGCGCCGAATTGACTAATGTTGAGAACTGAAGTAACGCCAATCTGTCTGTGCCCACGAACGAAATAGTCTAACAAGAAAAAGACAATGAGAAAAAATGTCTGAAGAGCAGACGCTTGCTGGAGAGATGAAGTAATGACATCGCTTCGAAATGATTTTGCACGAGAGTAGGAAACGAGATCGCTGAACGCTAACAGCCGTGTGGAAAAGAAAAAGACTAATAGTACACCCGCCCTATTCATAGGAACACCCTAAGCGCCATATACACAAAGAAAGGTAGAGGACGTAGTTTGCACGGATCGCGGAAGGAATGGGTATCTAGGAAATGAAAATTACATGACGATGCAGCAGGCGCTCTTCTTCTCTTTAGCCTCCTCCACAGGCTCCGGAAGGCGAGTGGTCGTTGGCTTCGGCGGAGAAGCCGCACGGATAGGTATGGGTTGGGGGGAAGGATTGCGAGGACTTTGGGGTATCGTTGGAGTAAGCTTATACCCGGACTGCTCGGTGTTTTGAGTCTTGTTCGCGTTCGAGTCGATATCCTCAAGTGAGGGTTGCTTTGCCGGGGTTGACAGAGGCCATTCCTCGTACTGCTGTGCCTTTTCAGTGTCGATGCACAGGAGCTGAGACAGCCGCTTTTCTGCCGGATCGTCGGTATTCAGCGGCTGGAAGTCCTTGTCGTACATGGACGCCACTCTGCCTTCATTCACCCATTGCTCTTGTTTCATCTTCTTTGCATGTGTGGGAATAATCTGCTGATCTGGTGGAAGACGTGGATCCGGCTTGTACATGGTTGCGAGCCATGGCGCTTCGCCTTCTGGTCGGTTACTGGTAACGGGACGAGGTATTGAACCACCACTCGTGCCGGGACGCTTTGTGTTTGAGGCACCAGAAGCCAACCGATTCTTCGATGCACTTCTTTGTGCGCTGGTCTTGCGTGCTTTAGATGTAGGCGTTGGCTTTCCCGGGGTCTTGGCTTTCATGGGAGATTTCTGAGGTGAAGAACCACTTCCAGACGAAGAAGCGTTGCGGCGATGGCCTTTGGGCGGCGGCGTTGTCTCTCGCGGCCCTCGCGGCTCATCAAGTAGAAGTTGGCTTGATATACTGCTTGCTCGTACTCGTGCACCAGCGGCTGCAATGGCATCCCCAGTCATGTTTGCACTGCCTGCTCTCGATCTCGGCAGTGGTGCGTCGCGCTCTACCACGGAAGCTGAAACAGGTATTCCACTGCGCCCAGGTAGCGGGATGCGAGAAGTGCTCGGCTTCACAGCATGGGATGTTCGTGGTGACGTTGGTTTCTCATCAGTGATGAATGCATCCGAGGGTGCAGGGCGCTGGATATGGTATTCTTCAGTTGCATCTTCGTCCCCAGCTGGTATGGGAGATACGACTCGACGGTGCTCGAGGCGTTCCTCGGCATCCTGCGCCCTGTCGGTGGACTCGGAATTGGTGCGAACCCGTGGCTTTCGACTCGCACTCTGCGATCTGCTGTTGGATCTGCTTGAGCGGACAACTCTGTAGCCCAGTTCCTCCATCTCCTTGATCTCGATTTCCTTGAGCTTGTCACGATGAATCCAGTTGTTCTCGTCGTGTTCGACTGTATTCCAGCCTGGGTCTGCTTTGCCACCCTTTCCAGGCTTCGTCTGAACCTTCCCCTTGGCCTTTACTGCCTGCGGCGCCTTCTTGTTACCGCCTTGGACTTTGTAGTAGTCCATTACGCTGTCTTTCTCGCTGCCAATGGCGCTCATGTCTCCACTCGCCTTCTTCTGCAGCCCATTGGCTGCGCGATATGTTTGTTCATTGTCGTATGGGGCCTGTGAGTCCCAGGTGGTCGAGCGAGCAGGGTTCACGAATCCGTTGGCTTGCAATGCAGGTGACTGGCGGGAAGCATGAGCTTGCGCAGACACGACGTTGGCGGGCATGTAGGGCTCTTGGTTGTAGGATGTTCTCTGCATCCCTCTGTCAGCAAGGGCGGGTTGTTGTCGGGAGACGAAGACATTTTAGTGAGGCGGCCCAGAATCTTGGACAACGACCCGGACTGCGAGCCACGCTACTGTGTAGCATGACTGACAGCCGCAGTAGTGCCAGTAGTGCGAACCCTGACGGCAGACATATGTCATAGGGACACAAGAGGGATAGAGAAAGTCTACGCACCTGATTATCCAGAGGCACAGCCAGGTCCCACGATCCGGCGCCACCGTGCGAGCTGCTCGGGGGTGTCAACTGCTGGAGGGGCGCTGGGGGCTGACGGGATGATGCTAGAGCGGCCATGGGGAATGCTTCGGGCGGGATAACACACGGTCGGCGACGCACCTCTGGCCCTCAGAGAGTGGACGAGGGTGTTTTTCAGAGAAATGGGGCGGTATGGCTATGGCTGTGCGATGACGACCTAGTCAGGCGGCTCGGTGCACGTGGAAGGGGCGAATGATGGAAAGTGCGACTGTGGTGGGTACGGCGTGGTGGACGAGGGTTAAAGAGAACAGTTCTCCGCGATATCGACCAAAGTGCCTATGGACGCAATGCCACAGACAACTCAGACGTATGCGTACAGGTGGGGAGGCAGGACAGCTGTTACTGGGGCTGTCGTTGCATACGCGACTAGGTCTTCCCAGCAACCCGCCGCAAATATTAAGTTGGAGATGAGGCTGCGCGGGTGCAAAGCAAAACAAGGACAGAAAAACGAATGAGTGGTAGCGACCGGAGATTTTGTGCAGCACCTTCGCTCAGCGTCCGTCGTGATCCTCGATTTCTCGAAAACTGATGAGGACGCGAAGGAGTCGCATGCAAGGAGGATCTGGGAGAAAGTCGCTATGATGCTTGGGGAACGCGGTGATTCGCTAGTGCACCGGCCCGTACACACCGCAGATGACCGGCCCTGCAGACGAATCTATCGGCTCCTGGTCGTTGAATGCAGGCAATCAATCTCGGTGCTTCAATCACAACACCACCCATGACATGTTGATCAGGGGCATTGTCCTCACCCTGCAAACCTCGCCGGCTTCACCTTAGACTTCACTACCCTCTGCTCGCTCGTGGAAAAAGTTTCCATCTCGATCACAGCTAACGGTATGCCGTAACCCCAATCTGCCCAATGCACTCCAATGCAGCTCTGTCACATACCGCCTTTTGATCGGCCTGAACAATACCCGATGCACAGAAAGCGTGCGTCGGACTGGGTCCAGAGCGCTGATGCGAGAATCGAGATTGGAAACGGAAAGTTCGCGCTTGTAGTTGGCAGCTCGTTCTTCGTGGAACATGTGCTGGAGGTTGTCCATTCGATCGCCGCCGGAAATGACGATGCGATAACAAGAGAGAATTCTGCACGAAAGCGTCTTCAAAACGTACAGCCATACAGCTTGCGAGAAAGGTAACGTGAGCGGCTGGTCACTGGGTTTCGTAATAATATCGATTCCAACCACCAAATGACTGGTTTCATGCTGAATGCGCCGCCTCACCATCCAAACGTTTCATCATACCAAAACACATCATGTCCCTTCTTCACCCAAACCTCGACACTCCTCTTCAAGTCCTCAGTCAGTCTCTTCGGCCCGCAGCAAACAACTGCAGTCCTCGTGCCCTTACTAAACACCTCGTCGACGACTTCTTTCATCTTGGGCCTCCCGCTCTTAACCACCATTCCCTTCCTCGGCTTCTCCATCTGCTCCTCCATACTCAACAATTGCTCATTCTCCGCCATCTCAAACTCCTCTGCCTCATCATCGGCATCCGGGTCCACAGCAAAGGTTCGGTCAATTTGGAGACTCGGCCCTGAGGGTCGTGTGACATAAACCTCCACGTTGGCGGAGATGCGTAACAAACTTTCTTCGTTTCCATTTTCATCTTCATTGACTTCTACGTCGCCTGCTGCATCACCCCCAGGAGAAGAAATTTCGGGAAACGCCCACTGCGTGTCGGCGAGTTTCTGTACAGCCCATATGCACCGGATCCGGGTGCCTGCTGGGATCGGGTTTTGAGATTCTAAAATACTCCGATAGATCGGGATGACGAACGTAGCACCAACTCCACCAGCCACGAAAAGCACTTTGTCATATTCCGAAAGGTCTGGTAAGCGGGTTGAGGCGCCGTACGGTCCTTCGAGGACAATAGGGAGAATTGGTATGTCGCCACCAGCAGTAGGTAGCATAGGCACATTGCTACCGCCTTGTGCGAGTGAACGGGCTAGGTCTCCGAGGTACTTTGTGTTGCCGTTAAGCGTTCTGGCAATCAGTAGGAGTTCCTTGTCTTTGGCCGGGATTGATGCTATTGTGAAGGGGTTGGTTTTATTGGTCATAACCCATTGATCGTAATAGGATGGAACCTTTGCTCCAGCCCAAGGCCGACTCAGGTACACGTGCTGCCCAGGCTTCCAGTTCAGCGTCGAGCTCTTTGGTGGTAGCGGGATGCGGATCTGGACAAGGTTTGTACCAGGAAGAAGCCTAATGGTGCCTTGGTACATCTGAAGACGCACGGCGCGGAATATGAGGTGCAGGGCTTCCACTGCAATAACCTGCCAGACATATACCCTGGCACGCGTTAGCATCCTGCTGAGGCGTTGTTTGCTGCTAAAGCTTACCGTATATGAGAAACGTGGAGGTATAGCGGAACAATGATAAAGTTTGCGATGGCGATGTGAGAGATGTAGAAGACTCGGTAGTTGCGTCTCCTGATGAAACTCAAAGCGGTCGTGCTGATGGCAGCGAACAAGACGAGACTGGTTGTTCCCCAAATAACGTCCCAGTCTTTTATGCGTTTCGCTAGGACACCAGACATGACGAAGAAAACGAAATAGAACACGCCATGGAGAATGAAGAGGAAAAAGGTTATGCGACCGAGAATTTGATGCGCGGCTTTGAGTTCTTCGTGAGACAGTCGCGTAAGCCATTGGACTGGCGAGTATGGTGCTCTCATAGCGAGCAGATAATGCACTGGTAGCTGCGAAGCACCGATCTGCCCAAACCGTTTGGTGAGGTGGAGGTAGTCTGCTGGTGTTAAAATGTACAGGTATGTCCATCGAGGTTCACCACTCACCTTTGCCAGTGCGAGCGACGCAAAGATAGAGCAACCAGATCGTCCAAACACTCGCGCCAATCCACTCTCCTCTCGTACCCCAGCCCCGAATCACATCTTTTCGTGACCACCACGTTATCGTATTGCAGCCGCTGTGAATCGTTCTTAGCCACCCTCGCTTTCCGTCTGGATGTTTGTCGAACGATGGCGACTTCGGAGCAGCATCATGTTTCAACCCGCTCCTCACCAGCCAGCCTAGGAAGAACGAGACCTGAAACAGTGCAAAGATGACCAGAACGGACCATTGAGCGATGAAGCCGTACAACTCGAGAAGCTCTCGCCGTTGGTGCTTTTGTTCTTTGGTCAATGTTTCGAATGAGTAGCCAAATGACCAGTATTTATCTTTGGAGACCTCGTTGTGGCCTTCATGCCGTTGAAAAAGGCTCATGTCGAGGTGTTCGACTACCGTTTGGCCAGGACCTTCGTAAAGTGTTGGCTCCTAGCGGTAGTCTGGGGTGACCAATCCTTGCAGAGCACCGCAATGCGTCGAAAACAAGAAAAGGAACAAGCGACAATGTCATCCAAATATATCTGGTAAGGTAGCGTATCTGTACTGTCAGCCGCTAATGAGCCTGACTGTGTCTGAAGTGCTCCCGGCTCAAAACGGCAGGAGCCAGCTGGAATAGCCTGTGAAAACAATCCTTCAGGCCCTGTCACATCATCGACATCAAAGTGTCTGAGTGTTTCGAAGACGACAGATACTTGTCAAAGGGATGGATGCTGAGCATCAATAACACTGCGCCTATTGAAGGTGTAGAGATCGAGGCTCATCAGCCACGTTGCGCGATCGTGCATGACCCCACGAAACGTCCCACATGGACCCTGCATCACCCGCCGTTGGACAAGCCGTCTCGATTTGAGCTCTGCTTGCTTGTAACACAACCAATTTCTTGTCAGAATATACATTATGGTCGATATATCTCGCAAGATCCCACTCTGGCTCGACTGTGTCCGTAAATCGCTCGCAACTTCTACGACAGCCGTACTGACATAACAAGGACACCGGGCATGATGTGAGTCCCTAGCTATCACGCCTCGCTGTCTTTCACTCACAGTGTCTGCAGGATGCATACGCTCTCCTCCTTAGCGCGCACGATCCCCGCGTTCAACTCCTAGGTGTCACGACTGTACACGGCAATGCCGCACTTGATCAAACAACATTCAACACCAGAGCGATACTCGAGGCATTGGGAAGGCGCGATGTGAAAGTCTATGCAGGCGCAGCAAAGCCAATTGTGCGCGATGCTGTACATGCCGCCGATATCCACGGTATTGGAAGGCTTGAAAGTGTGTGGACAATGGCTGATTCGAGTAGGCGAGTCCGGTCTGGATGGAGTCACATTACTGCCCCAACCCTCGGAGCCAGCAGCCACCGATGTTAACTATCTGGAGGCCATGTACAATGCTCTCATTGCTACACCGCCCAACACAGCGTGGCTTGTCTCGACAGGCACGTTAACCAACATCGGCTTGTTGTTCCAGAAATACACCGATCTGGCAGACCATCTCAAAGGGCTGAGCATAATGGGAGGAGCAGTAGGTGGAGGATTTACTGACGCCCCCATGGGGAAAGTAAAAGGTGAGGGCGAGCGCTTTGGCAATTGGACTGCCTATGCCGAATTCAATGTAAGTTAAACTATCCAAGCTCGTCCCACTTGTAAGCCAAGGATATGCTGACATCGTCTTAGATCTACGTAAGACCACTTGCTGCTACTCTCCATTACGAGACTAACATCAGTAGTGTGATCCTGAAGCATCTTACTTCATTTTCTCACATCCGATCCTGAAGTCGAAGATAACCCTCATCACACTCGACCTCAGCCACCAAGTGCTCGGCACAAAGGCAGTTCGTCGCACACAACTCTACGGCTCCGACGATCCCCTCGATCCATCCACCGTCAAAACTGATCGCACACCTTCCGCGCTTCGAGCGTTGTTCACCCAGATAATGTCCTTTTTTGCCAGCACATATGCTGAAGTCTTCTCTATAACCGAGGGCCCGCCTCTTCATGATCCTCTTGCAGTTGCTGCAATATACGACCCTGAAATCTTCGATGACAAGGGCGGCGAACGATTCCAAGTCGACATAGTCACCACAGGTGTTCATTCGATGAACCAGTCAGAAGTCGGAGAGTTGGGCCGGACAAAGATCACCAAGCTCCAAGACGGTCAGGGTGGCTGTAGAATACCAAGAGGCGTGGATCTAGCTAAGTTTTGGGGTAACGTAGAGAGCGCGCTGAAACGTGCAGATGCAGTCAGTCCGATGCCTAAAATACCTCGCGAGGAGTTGGAAAGAGATGGCGTGTTTGTGGGCATAGACTAAGCATCATTGTTGACGCGTGATTGTTTTTGCAGGCGAACACTGATCATAGATCGATCTGAGAATAGACTAGAACACGGCGCAGCAGGCACCCACGAATAAACGAAGAGCAATTCCTTAAACGACAAAACCTGCGCGGAGTTGCATTTACATTTAGCCTATTCACTTCCATCCCCCCCCTTGCTGACTTGGCACCCCTACCACCGAAATCTCCGCAGAATTGCGGGGTGCGGATCCATTAATTTATTCTACATCAGCCGCCGAAAGAAATCCTAGTACCTCTCCCGCCTTCGATCTAGCTCGTACAAGCCACATTTCTATACCTAAGCCGAATCTGCACCCTTCCCATTCATCCGCAATGATCCTCTGTCCCTTTCCAGCCTGACGCTTGAACGACCTCAAAGAAGAAAGCCCGGGTAAAATAAGTGCTCCTCTGAATATCCATATTAGCGGTGACAGAATGTCGAATAGTTCGCCACGACGAGGGGTAGCCAGCAGACATAGATATATATCTTGGACTGGAATTGAGCATCCAAAGACTATCCACATCATCATCCAACCCCAAGGACCTAGTCGCCAAGGTATCTACCCTCACGATGAAGTTTACTTTCGCGGCTTTCCTGCTCCCTCTCACCTTTGCCTCTCCAACACCTAAGCTAAACCGCGCTTCTGGTCTCGCCTCCCTCGCCAAACATGCTGGTCTGAGATACTTTGGCACCGCCGTCGACTCGCCTGCCCTCTCAAACCCCCAGTACACATCCATCGCCTTCAACAAGTCCGAATTCAACTCCGTAACCCTGGCCAATGGCCAGAAATGGATGTACACGGAGCCCCAGCGCAATGTCTTCAACTACACGGATGCCGATATAATTATCAACTTGGCGGACAAAGCAGGCCAGGCTCACCGTTGCCACAACTTCGTTTGGCACCAGCAGCTCCCCACGTGGCTGACGAGCCAGTCGTGGTCAAAAGCCGAGTTGATCAGCATCCTGGAGAACCACATCAAGAACCAAGCGACGTACTTCCGGGACAAATGCTACGCCTGGGATGTCGTTAACGAAGCCTACAATGACAACGGCACATACCGCTCCTCCATCTTCTACGAGACCATCGGCCCCTCATATATCGAACTGGCATTCAAGTTTGCGAGGAAGTACACCAAGCCCGGCACAAAACTCTACTACAACGACTACAACATCGAGACCGTCAACAACAAGTCTCTCGCCGTCCAGGCAATGGTCAAGGACTTCCAAGCCCGTCACATCCCCATCGACGCCGTGGGTCTACAGTCTCACTTCATCACCGGCATGTCGCCCTCGTACCAGCAGATCCGCGATGCTCAAGCCCTATTCACGTCCCGTGGCCTCGAGACCGCGATCACAGAGCTCGACGTGCGCACCACGCTGCCGGACTCCCCGGAGAAACAGGCGACGCAGGCAAAGAATTACGCAGACAGTGTGAAGGCGTGTGTGGACGAGAAGAGGTGTGTGGGTGTTACGGTGTGGGACTTCTGGGACCCGGCGAGTTGGGTGCCTTCTACGTTCCCAGGGCAGGGCAATGCGGATCTGTGGGATGAGAACTTTCAGAAGAAGCCGGCGTATTGGGCTATTGCGGATATGTTGATGGGATATAAGGGGTAGTAGATGGAGTGCTCGGAGATGAAGGACAAAAATAGTTGTGAATTGTATGCGAATGCTATTTTTCGAAATCGATTGCTTCGCCTAGTTTTTTACTCATTGACTGGAAGTTGTATATGTCCGGTACTGGCTATGTTGTATCATGTCTTTCGTACCTTCCGTGTAATTCTTATTATCTTGTTCGTGATCTTAACTCGACGACCGGCAATTGAAGCAGAGACAGCGGGTCAACAATAACTTGGAATGAGAAACAACAAGGTTCGTCTTGAGGACGACAGTCGTAAAATTAGTGAGTCTTAAAGCTGGTACAGGAGCCAAAGTCGCACGCATGAAATTCAATGTATTGGCAACTTGCCAAATCACAACTTCCACATAACACTCAGTTCCCATCCACAACCACTAAGTTTCTCGACTAGAAACAAGATCATCATGATAATATACATAACCTGTTTTGGGTACGAGAGAATAGTCATTAAGTCATACACTCCAAGACTGCCTTAGGAAGAAAGCAGCTAGCGAACGTGTTCACGCAGAGCTTGACCGGGAACATCTTCCGTCATCCTTTCTCGAAACCCGTCTTAATTTGCCAGGGAAGCAAAGTAGGCAAGCGCATCTCGGACGCATATTTCGTACCCTGCTTGGCACAAATTCCGCTCTAGCAGTCCGGCATCCTGTGATTTGCGGAGAGTGCGGGACAAGGCGGAAGCTTGTAGTTGGTGTTTGACACCAAGGTTTCTCCAGCGTGCAGAAGGACCGCAAGATCCCGGGGCTTTGGGTCATCGCACTCCTGCGAATATTGGGCAGCTACATCTGGTGGCGCTCGTGGCTCAGTGAGCATCATGATGATGTGCAAACCTAATCTAGTGCAGTTTGGGGGGAACTCCATGCACCTCAAGGGGGTGTTTGGTATTGTTAGTAAAACGAACTTAGGGACCGAGTCGTTTCCGGGTACGATCTTCGTATGGTCTTGTAGGGCGGTTCCAACGTGTGGCTGCTAGCATACGGGTGACAGGATATTAGGTGAATATGGAATTTGGGATGGGGATCTACTCGCCTACGCAAGTGTGTGGCTGGCATCCGGGCCGTTGTGTACTCGTGGAACGTTCTTCTCGTTATTGACTGGTTCTAGTGTGAAGTCAGGGGCGAGGTACCACGTGTAATATTCTCAGTCCTCTGGAGTGCTTTTTGCTTAGTAGACCACCAAATTGACATTCTGGAAGTACTGCCATAATGCCAATCCTCCTCATACTGACGTTTTGAAAGCACACGTAAGGCGCATACTGCTGAAAATTTAGGTATTAACCTCATACCCTAAACTAAGTTGTAGTTGTCATAAGACATTTTAAAAGCATTGCCGTCTTAGTCATATGACATGAACTGGAATTGCATTCAGATAGAAAACCTCATAGAGCGACCGTAAACAGGAAGCCGAACGAACTCACACGTGTCCGTGTGACAATAAGAAACCATCCCTATCCCAACCCAAACCCTTACCTTCGGCTTAAAACACCCCGACGCCCTTCATCAGACCACAGCAACATGACCTACTCTCGGCCTTCCCGAACAGCTCGAAGAACTGGGTACAAGTTGTGCGCATCATCGTCGCTCGTCTGACGCTCCTCTGTGACCTCGGTATTCTCATCGTCGGTGTAGTCGTGAGCGTCGAGCCTGTCCTTGAGGTACGCCCTGAGCCGCTCAATCGCCCGAATGTTCTCAACCCATAATTGCTGCGACGAATCACCCGTCTCTGTAGGTGTAGGGGAGTCGACGCTGGGTGATCGTAGCGCTGGATCGACGTTGGGCGAATGAATTGCCAACTGGTGAACCTCGCGGTGCAAGCTGTCCTGATCAGAACCTCGGCGAGCATTCTTATTCGAGGTGCCGTCATCCGAGATATCCATGCGCTCGGCTTCTTCCCGGTCCGGCGCAGCTTTTTGCAGGAGATTTCCAGAGAATCGTCGACGGCCGTCGGCATCAAATGCAGGTGCAAGACCAGACGAGGGAGCGCCAGCCGACATGTCAGACATTGCGCTGACAGAAGGAAGGGTGGGATACATGCTGCCAACTGGAGCCCTGGACGGGGGTGAATGGTTGCTTCCAGAGTGCCCGGCCCCAGGAGAGTGTTGGGAGCCGTAAGACAGCACGCTCGACGCTGGGGTCAAAGCGGGAGTCTCAACTCCGGCCGATCCGACTGCAGTTGCATGAGACGACGGCGAGTGGCTGGATGAGAGGCCAGGAGGCGAATGGCTAGAGCGGTAACCCGCGTGGCCACTGTGTACATAATGAGCACCCGCTTGGTGGACACCAGCAGCTGCGGCATGGTTGGGATTCTCGTAGACAGTGCTTTGCAGCTGTTCCAGGAACTGGTCAATGTTCAACAGGTCACTCTTGGTCCTGAGGTTGGGGAGCGGCAGTGAGTATGGGTGCATAGGCGGGTGCGATGCTTGTGCGACCATCGTGCCACTGTGTCCGTACTCAGACATGCCGCCGTGATAGCCGGCACCACCAAGAACAGGAAGTTGAACTCCCTGGAGACCCATGAGTCGCTGGCCGACGTCATAGTAAGTAGATGGATCAATGGAACGGCGTTTGGCATCTCCAAAGAACTCGTTCAAAGCATCGTATGCCGCACGCTTTCGGATTTCATAGTCGTTGGTCAGCTGCTGTTGTTGATTGACAGCATAGTAAACAGGTCCGTATGCAGAGTTCTGCGGTGGGCCTCCGTAAAAGCCGGCCGGGGCGCCTCCAGGGTGCTGCTGAGCATAGCCTCCGTTGGGACCGAGCGCACCATCAGGATACTGATATCCACTCGCTGTAGCGGCAAGCGCCTGCAAGTCAGCGACCAAGTCTGTAGAGCGCCAGTTAGATAACGAAAGGAAATAGGGACTATAGCCGATAGGCTCAGAGGCAAGGACAGAAAGGAAGAGGACTTACGTTTTCCACCCTGTCCGGGATATCCTGGCGCACCGTGTGGGCCACCGCGGTTGGGCTCGGGAGAGCGCAGCAACACAGAATCATCGGCGTGAGTCTTCACGTGCTTTTTGAGATCTTGAGGACGCTTGAACGCTTTACCGCAGAAATCGCACTTGTGCGGCTTCAGTGGGACGTGGACACGGATGTGAGAGGTGATGTGATCACGCTTCACGGTGGTCGTGCGACAGTTGCCCCACTGGCAAGTCAAGTTCAGGTTGTTAGTGCTCTTGCGACCGACATGGCGCTCGCAAACGTGATCCTGAAAAAAAGTGAGCAAATGTCAAAGACTGCAGGGCGCCGCGAAAACAAAGAGAGCCAGACTGCATCGCTGCGGTACTAGACCATGCTTCGCAAAGCGACGCATGGCGAAGCATGAACGCACAGCCTGGCGGCTGGGGCAAGGAGCGACTTACGTAGAGCTGCTCAGCGGAGGGCAGACGCTCGCCACAATTCTGCCACTGACAGACGAGAGAGTCGCATGCGCCGCCAGAGAGCGAGGCAGGCGTCTGCGCGTTCTGCTGCAAGGACGCGTCTGGAGGCTGCTGTTGAGGCGATGTCGCCGCCGCTTGCGCTGCTTGCGCTGCTGCTTCGGTACTCATGATGAATTCCGGGACAAGAGTGGAGGAGAAAGTGGGAGAGGAGATGCCGAGAGAAGTTGGGGGGAGCCCAGAATTTACGGGCGGAAAATGCGGAAAATCCGGAAATTTGAAAACGCAACTTGGCGACTCATCTCCGTCGTCGCCACCGCCGCCGGCTCTAGCCGGTTCGAAACCGCTAGGGGGAACTACTGTTGGAGAAGGCGAGGGCACGCGCTTGCGCTTTCGCCGTGCATAAGCCTGCATCTGTATTCGCCTGGTTAGCTCTTTCTCTTCTCTAGAAAAATGCAAATGCAAGTGGAATACAAGCCAGTGGTCAGGCTACGCATACGCACGCTGCTGCGTTGACTCTGGGCCAACGTGTGCTGCAGTTCAGCTTCCCCTGGGGGGGGGAAGGTTGCCTCTGCAGAGGCAACCCCCCATGCATCCCAGCAATCCTCCCCGTAGAACTCGAAGTCGGGGGCGAGAGCGGCGGGAGCAGGAGCAGGAGCGGAGGAGGAGGAGGCGGGAGCGGGAGTGGCAGCATCCATCGCTGCCTGGATGGGATGGGATGGGATGGGAAGAGCGATGGTTCATTTTCTATATATCGATATTTCTCTCGTGCAAGTAATGTTCCCCACCTTCCTGTGTTGCTGGTGGTTGTTCCCTCCTTCCTTCCTTCCTTCTCCTGTGTTCTCACGTCTCACCACACCACACTCCAGCCTTCAACACTGGCACAACACAACACAACGTGAACCGACCTGAGTACAAGACAAGACCAACTCGACCCAGCTTCGCGCAGTCTGTAAATACAGACTCCAGGCTTCTTGACTCGACACAACCCGGCTTCGCAGCTCAACTCAATTCAACCCAGCTTCGCGCAGTTTGCAATGCAGACTCCAGGCTTCTCATCTCAACTCACTCAACGCAACCCAGCTTCGCGCAGTTTGCAATGCAGACTCCAGGCTTCTCAACTCCACTCAGCTCAACCCTATTCAAGTCAAGTCAAGTCAATCCAATCCAATTCAACTCAACTCAACTCAATTCAGCCCAGCCTCGCGTAGTCTGTAAATACAGACTCCAGGCTTCTTAACTTCACTCACTTAACTCAACCCAATCCAGCTTCGCGTAGTTTGCAATGCAGACTCCAGGCTTCTCAACTCAACTCACTCAACCCAATTCAAGTCAAGTCAATCCAATTCAATTTAACTCAACTCAATTCAACCCAGCCTCGCGTAGTTTGTAATGAAGACTCCAGGCTTCTCGACTTGACACAACCTAACTTCGCAACTCAACTTAATCCAGCTTCGCGTAGTTTGCAATGCAGACTCCAGGCTTCTCATCTCAACTCACTCAACCCAATTCAAGTCAAGTCAATCCAATTCAATTTAACTCAACTCAATTCAATCCAGCCTCGCGTAGTTTGTAATGCAGACTCCAGGCTTCTCGACTCGACACAACCTAACTTCGCAACTCAACTCAATCCAGCTTCGCGTAGTTTGCAATGCAGACTCCAGGCTTCTCAACTCAACCCATTCAACTCAAGTCAATCCAACTCAAGTTAATCCAACTCAAGTCAATCTAACTCAAGTCAATCCAACTCAAGTCAATCCAACTCAAGTCAATCCAACTCAAGTCAATCCAACTCAACTTAATTCAATTCAATCCAATCCAATTCAATTTAACTCAATTCAACCCAGCCTCGCGTAGTTTGCAAACACAGACTCCAGGCTTCTCAACTCCACTCAGCTCAACCTAACTTCGCAACTCAACTCAATCCAGCTTCGCGTAGTCTGTGAATACAGACTTCAGGCTTCTCAACCCGACACAACCAATTCAAGTCAAGTCAATCCATCTCAACTCTCAACTCGACCCGGTTTCGCAACTCAACTCAGCCCAGCTTCGCGTAGTCTGTAATACAGACTCCAGGCTTCTCAACTTGATTTAACTTAACTCAACTTACTCAACTCAATTTAACTTGATCCAACGCAATCCAGCTCACTTTAACTCAATCCAGCTCACTCAACTCAGTCCAGCTCACTCAAATCAATTCAGCTTTGCGTAGTCTGTAACTACAGACTCCAGGCTTCTCAATTTACTCAACTCAATTCAATTTAACTCGACTAAACTCAACTCAATTCAGCTCAATTCAGCTCAACCCAGCCTCGCGTAGTTTGTAAATACAGACTCCAGGCTTCTCAACTCGACTTCTACTTCGCGTGGTTTGCAAACACAAAGTCCAATCTTTGCTGAATTTCACACTGACACAGACACAGATCCCAAAACTCTATGCTTCTCAACTCAGCTCACTCAGCTCACTTAACTCAATTCAACTCAATTCAGCTTAACCCAGCCTCGCGTAGTTTGCAAACACAGACTCCAGGCATCTCAACTTGACTTAACTTGACCCAGCTTCAGTAGCCTGCAAACACAAATCCCAGGTTTCTTGACTTCTGCTTCGAATGGTTTGCAAACACAAACTCCATCTCTTTTCTGAGCTTCACACTGACACGACTGACACAGATCCCAAAACTCTATGCTTCTTGACTCAACTTCTGCCTCGCGTAGTTTGCAAACACAGACTCCAGGCT